ATACCTGTGTTTTTTTTTAAGGCATGAGGATTCTGTCAATTTAATGTTGTTTTAGATTATAATATCCACAGTGAAATCTTGCTTGCTTTGAGTGGTGGCATTTTGTTAATTTCAAAAGATCCAACTGGATTGCATGTCATTTTATGGTATATTTTTATTTTGCCAATTAGGAATCCTCAAGTCCAAGTGGGAAATCTGGTGGGCAAAAACTTGTAAAAGAAGAAAAGCCTTCTGATAAAAGACGGTGGAGATGTGTTATTCTATGATCACAAGGCTTAGAATTCCATGAACTTAAAGAATCAGAAAAATTATATATATTTTAAAAAACTTTTTGCCAACGTGACTCAGATGCTGTAATATTTGTACTGTAATGCAGGCATGTTGTCTACTTAATTTTGGATGGTTATGAGCATGATTTGTCTTGTATAGTGGTATTTTATAAAGATATTATAATTATATATACTATATACTGGACAGATTTTACAAAGTTTTGAAGAGGTTTGGTGAGTGTGAATTAGTTACAGATGATGGTATTTGGTGATTGTGTTTTGCTTCGAATTTAAAAGAACAAAAACTGCTTGTATTACCATTTTCCAGCCAGCAATATCTTAGCAAACTCCACAGGTTATTTTTATTTTTTATTTATTTATTTTTTAATTTCACTTTACGATGAACCTTGGTAAAGCAAAGGCTCTGAATCTTATGAAAGATGTTATTTTGAATAAAAACTTTTACAAAGACCACTATCTGCCATATTAAATGGATTTCCAGTTTCATTACCAAATGTTTTTTCAAAAATACAAATATCATGACTTGCTAAGGTGACGTAGTACTAAATAGAAACATACTACTTTATTGCTGGATGGACTGTAAGCCTGCTTTGGAATGGTGTACACTTTTGTTTGGAGGGTCTTGCAGTGTTAGAATTTTGTGCCCCCATTTATTGTGGACATTTTTATTATATCAGCATGCTAGTCCATGGATTTAGTTGAAAGTTTAAACTCAAGAGTGTTTGTTTACGCAACTTGCAAGTTTAAACATACCTTTTCTAATTAAGGGTGCAATGCCATTATAAGGAATTGATATTTTGAATGCAATTGAAAATCATAAATAAGGTTGTTTCAATGATGTATCTGTAAAGTGCATAGTAAGTTTGCAAAGAGTTTATAGCGATGAACTATGGTGTTTAATATGGTTCTTAGGGTAAACCTGCAACAGAATATCATACTTAAGAGGAGTATTGGAAAAGAAGGGCTTTTATTGCAGACAATTTTCCTCTTGGCTATTGTTGGTCCTTGTGCCTGCGAAAGGAGTCAGAACTATTGAGGTCTTTCTGTCCATAAAACTCAGAATTATCATTACTTTGTGTAAATTAATCTCATTCAGCTTAACATATACAGGATGTACACATTCAAAGAAATGCCAATTCCTAAGTGTTGGAAGGAAAATTGCTTAATTCTTGATTTTGTTCATATATATATATACGGTATATATATTGTATGTGCAGGACATCCCAAATGTCCTAGTGATTCTACATTTTCTTTGGCATAATTATTTGACCACTGCTTGGACATACTGTGTAATCTAATGGTGATTTTCCCCACAGTACGAATCATCCACCCTATCCAACAAGCCACTGCGAATCGACAGCAAGAAGCGGAAACGTTCAAGCTCTTGGAGATTTTGTACTCTTTTGTGACAGGATTTTATCAGAGTAATTGGACACATGATCAGTTGCCAATCTGCAACATGCTACAACGCAGTCCCATATATACTCCACTTGTGGAACTGCAAAGTTTGTTGGGCACTAAGAGGTGCGCTGCAACTGACATAGAAAATGTGAATTAACAAAGGGCAGTTACATGACTCAAGAGTGTTGGAGAACAAACACTTGGATTGGTTGAAAATCGATCAGTCAGGTTGAAGAAGATATTTTATGGGTTCATGTTAGACTGTTCACTGCCCTATGAACATATCAATCAAGAGCAATGATTTAGTATATTTTGTTAATGTAAAAAAAAAAGAAAAACATCAGTGTTTGGGCCGTCTGCTCATCTATCTACCAAGTTTCCATGATAGCAGAATTGACACAGACATTGGTAGGTAATCATGACCATGTACAGAGGGATCTGTGAATGCTGATGGCATTCTTATGGAAAAATAGCTGTATACCGTCTGAGTGTTCTGATATGTGTTAATATTACTGTATTTAATACAAAGAACCCTAAGCTTGATTGTTTTATTTTTTAGAAATACTTTTTCACAAAACTGAATTGATATGTGCACCTGCTGCATCTGCCATTTTAACACGACTCAAGTGTTAAAACTTCTTAGTAAAAACCTAATGACAGTCATGTGGAAGTTTTGTCAGTGATTTACTCTTTTCCATCATTATTTTTCAAATTGAAATGTTTAACTATCATGTCTCTGGAATACATTTATTTTGAATTAATTTCCAGCATTATATCATATCCATTGCTTTTGTCTTTTTATTTGTTTAAATTGTTGACTTTTCTTGAAAGAATGGTGCTTTTGTGAATATATTGTAGTTGTTAATATTACCATCTTATCCTACAGGTAGAATTCCCAATTTTATCATCCATATGTCATTGTCTTTGCTTGAGTTTGTTCAACATATGACCTGTCTTAAATAGTGTAAATAAAGGACTATCAGTTACCATTTCATCCAAGGTGGTGTTTTTTTTTTTTTTTTTTTTTTTTTTGGTGTGTGTGTGTGTGTGTTATATAACTGTCCAAAGCTGACAATACGCGATTAAAGCTGAAACTACCAGCCCATTCATTTTCAATTCTTAACATCAATGAGATTTTTAAAAATTGGGGGACAGTCGTAATCCAGGAAAGGGGATAGTGGGAACAAAAAATGAACAGACACCACTACCATTGTTGCACTTGACAAGTTTTACAAAATGCAGCAAGCAAGGGGTCAGTAGCTTTTATGGTTCCAGAATTAGTGCCTCCAGTTTTGGCATCAAATGGCTGCTGCTTATGTGAAAATGCACTGATATACTCAAAAAGATGAAAGGAGACCCCAATTGTAAAAGCATAAGTCTGTAGTTTCCGAAAATTGGCACAAACAAACCGATTGACCCCAAACTCACAAAGTTGAATGGAGACCCCAAGTGTAATTTTTCACCAAAATATTAGGTCTACCAAAATTGGCAAAATTAACATTTTACATAATTTTGGCTCATTAGAGCTTGAAATATAGGTAAAATGTCAAATCCAAGGTCAAATATCAAAATTTTACTTTTGATCAGACTTCTATAGTAACTTATAATTTCACTTTCATTTTTTGTGACTGTAAAATATTGGGACTGTTTCGAACTCCATATGTCCCAAAGCAATTACCTTTGAGTCAGTTAACTTGAGTACAGCTCGGAAGTCAAGCCAGTCCCATCCAAACACCGAGGTCAAATTACCTTATTACCAGTAATACAGTCCTTCCTATTGGTTAGAAGTTATAAATTGTTCTGACAGGACAAAGAGTTGTACTTTTAACTGACAACTTTCAAAAATTTTGGCGCATTTAGTGTGGTTAACAGTCTTCAATATTTTAATTAATTAATACTATTTTAGTAATTGAAAATGTGTAAACAGAAATTACACTTGCAAAAATGGAAATGCATTGAAACAATATTAAGGAACAACTTATAGACTGTGTTGGTCATATTGTGGAGTTATGTTTTTGAAAGGCCATCTCTTCTGATATAAGTGTTACACTTTTAGAAATATCATATCGAGTATCTGGGTATATGATTTCATTTGCTCTTTTCTGGATTGCTTCAATCTTGTCACTTTTTTGTCTTGTAATATATGGGTGTCAAACTTGGCAGGCATATTCAAGTGTAGACCTTACTGCTAACACGTAATTTTCGTACAAGTTCATTTACAGAAACCCCTGCTCTTTTCAGTTTTTTTCAATAATGTTGGAAAAAGAGTCATCAGGTACAAAAAGACTTAGCCTTTACAACTAGTGGGGACTGTAATGTAGGATTTTTAGTGATAGCATTACAGTAAGCCCATAAATACTAACTTTAAATAGAGCAAGATCTTTCAATCTCTTAATACCAAGAAAATGTTTCACAATGTACTGTTTATTTTCAGATTATTGTTTGATAAACATTTTCTTAATGTCATATACATACATAACAGAAATATATGTTTAACAATAACATGTATACAATTTCAATTCAAAATACAGATTTTAAAATGTTAGTTTTAATTTAAAGATCTGAAAATGTAAATCTTTGATGCACACTTAAGCAATACATCACATAACAGCAACTAGCACTGAGAAAACACTACAATTATACAAAAACAGGCAATTATTTGTCATTCCACGCCCCCCCCCCACCCCCCAAATCCAACCCACCCCCAAAAAAAGGAAGTAGACACCCAGTAAGAGACATATTGTCAAAACTCCAGACTGGAACACAAATCATTTTACATGTATATTCAAAGCAAGCCCAGTAACTTACAGCATTCACACCACCTGAGCTGCTCTCCTGCAATTCCCCTGAATCTGTCTAAAAAGTAATCCATTTTATCTTCTTATCTGCACACGAATATCTTATCTAAATACATTATACCACCCCATTTTCAATTTGGTCAAATCTATACAAACAATGTATTTTCAAATCTGGAGAACAATCTGCAAAGATTTCAAAATTCACTCGTGTAAATACTATCTTGATGTAAAACTTCTCTGTCAAACAGACAGCACAAGGGAGTACAACTGGTGAAAAATAAATAAATAAATAAATAAATAAATAAATAAATAAATAAATAAATAAAAGAATTATAGACAGAGTGAATTGCACATGATGAATCAAAAATTTCAATTGGTCCCATTTTCTACAAATAAGCATTATTAGCACAAAGCACCTTTACAAGTTGAAAAAAAAAGCTGGTACTGATTTCTCAAAAACTAAGACTCTACTAATGGGCCAAATTTTAACACCATGACCAGCATGAAATGATTTTGTGCATGTCTTAAGTCTACATATAACTAAGGATTTCTACTATCAATGCCATGTTATACCAAAAATACCCGTTGATCTGAAATTCATAATTATCTGACATCACAAGAAGCAACAGGGACTAGATGGGCAAGACAAGATGGTTAAAAAAGTAATCTCATTGAAAAACCTGACACAAGCAATGGAATGGAAGATTAATTTTTTACCAGAGTGGAAGCCCCCAAATATCAGCTAAAACTGATACAAGATGCTCCACAAAACCACAAATGCTGATTTCTCTATACTAAAACTTCTTCGTATGCATCAACTCAAAAAAAAAAACAAACAGTGTCCCATTTTCTTTACCTCTTCAGGTTTTGATACAGTGCATTTTAACTACAAACAGGAATGGTAATTGGACTAAAAGACAGCCAAATGCAATTGCCCAAGCTCCAGTGATTACTTACTTATTTTTCCCAAGACAGCCCAAATATCATGATGTCAGGGTCACAATATGCAAAGAAACACAGGCAGAGTATGTGTTTTTAAACACTTGACTCTCTCCATGTAACCTAAAACTAGTAACTTGTACTATGTCTGTCTTTTTGAGCTGATGAATATGCCCACACACTACATACATTTGTAACTCTTCTAAGAAAAAATATTTGAGGCAGATTTATGATAAATTTTGCAGTCAAGTTGAACTGTACTTTTATCATCATTCCAAATCATCCATTGTTAACTGGAATGATCTATAAAACTAGACAGAATCAACCTGAACATGTATCACAACGTATATTTTCATCATTTGTCTTATTATATATACATGTAATAAACTAATTCTCTATTACATTATTAAGGTCATTGACTTGGAAAACCATTCAGCACCATGGCCACTTTTCACCCAGGAATTGTACTAAACCATTTACAAACAAAACCATGGTTTCATTAATTTTGCTGGTTTGAGGTAATTGTAGTATGGATAAATGGTTAAACCCCAGGGAAAACTGAATATCTCAGAAATTTGTTTTTATCACTGTATATCAATGAAAGATGTCATCTCCCACAACAATTTTTCTTTTCCTCTGTTGTATTTTCTAGACGTACAGACCCCTCTGCCTGGTTTCCAGCAAGTTCTCCATTTTGTCTTATATTGTACTGTTCCAATCCCTCTATGTGAAGATCAGGTCTGTTTTCTATCAAGTCTATTAATTTTTTTCCAACTTTCATGAAAGCATCCTGAATACCTGTAAAGATGACAACTTGTCAATGTAAAGTGAAAAGTAAAAGTTGTTAAATAGTTTGATGTTAACTATTTTGACAGAAATAACTGATGCCAGCTACGCTGGGTACCCTCTACCAGGGCTAGTGATAGATTTTTTTACAGATATTCACAGATATGTCTCTAGCTAGATAGATGTTCATTTTCAAGTCAACTTCACCTATGTCTGATAAAGCAGATGTTTCATAGAACAGCGCATCAATGGAAGCAGCATACTCCTGAGCCTCGTCTGTCTTCACCTCCCGCTCTGTTTCGGATAAATCACATTTGTTTCCAAGTAAACAGAGAACTAAAATGTGGCAAAGAACTATTAATAGCAAAAGTAAAAACAATTCTTACAACTCCATAAATGACCATCTTACAATGTATCATTGTATGGAATTCTAATCCCAAAGTTCTATCGAAATGGAGTGGGGATAAAGAGAGATACCCTGGTATTTTCCAAGCAAAAAGCATAACTGGGAATTTACATGTATGTTGCTGCAAAATACAATGTATAACAGTTAAACAGTTATTCATTTTCTAGCAATATTCTGGAACATCTTTGCAGGGGCATGTATTTTTGTTTCTGATAAAGGAAAAGGAAGCACTTGTTCCATCTTCTATGTAATTTTAACACCTTACCTACATAGCTGTCAATGTTCTTCTTCAACTCTGAAATATAAAAAATTACTCAAGTTAATTATTTATCATTAATATAAATTGTGTATTTTTCATTATTCGTAAGTACTGCTGTTGGCAATGAACAGTTTTTTTTCTTTATGCAACATTTGATTTTGTACTTATGTAATACTTTATCCCTATAAAATAAGTTTGATGGTTGACAAAAATTGGTACTTTTCTTGTTTAACAATATTTGGGGACTAATATCATTTTTCAAATACCTTGTATCTTAAACGTTGCCTGATGTTACAGACAGTTTAAAATTATATATGTATTACTACAACTTAAATACAGATATGTGCAGAACCACTACTTACCATTGACCCACATTTTTATATCATCAAAAGAATCTTTATTAGAAATATCATATACAAGCATTGCAGCATTGGCTTTCCTGTAATACATGGGAGCCTGGAATGACAGCAATAATAATATAGTGACATAATCAGCACATACATTCAATGTACAACTCTGATTAGTAGCCTCCAAATGACCTTGTCACAGAAATAACTCTTGGAGTCCAGCCCAGTAGGTGTAATCAACTGTTTATATATGTTTAAGATAAGGGGCAAGGGACTCAGATAATGAGCTACATATATTTACAAATAAGTTTCTCTATCTGGGCAGACACCATCATAGCAAAATTACAAAAATCCATATAAAAGATATCCAAATTCTATTTTATAGGTGTGGCAGATCAACAGCAATAACGCATAGGCAGACAACAATACATGGGGCTTCACTCCACTCATATTACTCAAATGAGGCAACATGTCACGTGAAGTTCACGAAGGAAATATGATATGTGAAGCTCACCACAGCAACAAGACATGTACGTACCATAGATCTGAACCTCTCCTGACCTGCTGTGTCCCACACACTCATTTTCACTCTGTAGTCCCCTATGGTCCTGAAAAGTACACATTAAATCCTGATATTTCTACTTTTTTATCAAGAGAATTTTAGTAACTGAAGCATATTGATTTCTACCAAATAATACAGGCTAATCTTGGTGTTCTAAACAATAAATTAAGACAGTCCATCATCATCCATGCTTTAACTAAAATTACAGTATATTACACTGTCTCTGAAGCTGATTTGTCAATCTGACTACAGAAGACACTTCATAAATTACACTGATAGTGAACTATAAAACACATGACCAGAAGTCTAATGACAGATGGTTATTCACAAATGTATGAGAAGTTTTCAATGCAAAATCTGAAAAATCATTTTGAGAATCTGGTATATAATACAAATTATACCTAGGCCATTTAACATTTGTAGGCCAAAAAATATCAAAGCAAACAGATAGTTTATCTACCAAGTATCTAATTGATGATTGCGACTTACACTTTGCAGGTGAAAAAGGAGGCCCCAATGGTAGGACTGACATGTTTGTATGTTTGAGTAACATATCTGGTCACAACACTGGTTTTGCCAACTCCTAGAATATCAAATAAATATTAATGATTTATTGGGCAACTAAAACACTGTCTGCAAAGAACAAATCTGATACACATATAGTCTCCTTCTTTTGTTATCAATGCAGCACTGGAGTGAAGACTAATAGGTGCAGTATATACTGAAAATCATCTCAGATTGCCTCTCTCCAATGAGTTTCATTATTCTCTAGAGGAATAGTATAGTGTAAGAATGTATAAATGAAAAGTGTTATAATACTGTTGCTGTATTAAAGGGATAACAACTCTTCACATGAGATTCAAAATTCCCCAATAAATACATTGTAATCAACACACAGAAATATAATAAATTCCATTTTACCACCAAAACAGTGCTTATTCTGAAACTTGAGCTTGCCACTGAAACTGCATGGACATTCACAGATGGCTATCCTCAGTAAATCTGTTAAGAGATTATTACAGAAAGCACACTTAAAAAACAATCAACTAACTGTGAATGCCCACAGGAATTCATTAATTATTGGAAAGTTAAAAGAATATAAAAATTTTTGTTTACCTCAGGAAAAACTACTTTATGATACTTTTGTTATTTTGTTTAGTAAGTAAATAAGTGAGTACCACATGTAGCTAACAATTGCTTGACCTATCTTTAACCTTTTTGTCATCATTGTATTGTAGTAATAAAAGCATTCAAAAAGATGCCCACACATTATGTAACAGTTTAACTAGTGTATTTGACATCAACTACCTGCAGATAAGTCTTCATACACCAATAAAAAATATTTGAGATAAGGCTGTCAGTACCACGTACTGAGTGATGTCATGTGAGACTACAGAAAGGATGTCCTTAATAAAGTATTTTCATTGTCTTACCTTTGTCATTGCAACAAATAACTTCACAGGAGCAGATCTCTTTCAATCTGTTCAATTCTTACTATTGGTACTTTATAAAGTTTACAACACAACTTCATTCAAGCAGGGTAATGGATTCCCAATATTGTATATTTTACAAGTAAACAATTTACTGTATTTTAATTTAAAGGTAATCTTTTATTTGATGAACATTCTGCCCAGCAGTTTGTTTTGGGGCTGAAAACATCACTTGTAAACATTTCTTGCATACTGTATTATGTGGATGATAGCCTTCATTAATTAAAAAAATTTATTGCAGCTTTACTGGTAAAAGAGTTGATAATCTTAACTAATTAACCTACAGCACTATTAGTGGCTATTACTTGTTGGCTTAAATATTTGTAATATGTGTTAAATTGAGAGGAAAAGCAAATGGCACATGCTTGGCTCTGTGACTTGAAGCTGAAACAGAATAACAAAGTTATCTACACCTACCTATCTTTAGCTCTAGCATGCTCAGTAAATACAGAAAATTTGAATAGGAGTGACAGAGACAGAAAAAGCAAGCTAAAAATACATGCAGCATTTGAAAAAGATCGCCTTAAATTAAACCCCAAACTAAATTACACAGCGATAAAATGGGAAATTTTGGGATAAGATAGCCTTTAAAGATACCGATAGCACCAGGTGTTGTTTATGCACGTGCTCAGGAGTCATGAGACGGTGTTATTCCCTCAAGTGCAACAAGTGGGGTTGAGAGAGCAAGGGTAACACATACGCAGTACCCATCCTAAAACTATGGTAATTTTTTCAGTTAAAGTATTCACATACTCTTGCTCTAGAAATCTAACGCTCCCTCTTGTAGCCTACTGTACGTTATTTCCTTACCCTGAGAGCCAAGTACTACAATTTTTGCTTCTATCTGCTTCATGTTAGAAGAGCAACGACAACTCTCATGTTTCCTGTTCTTGACAGCTGACCCAATTTATGCGACCTTGACTTTCAATAAATAAAATATTTTCGAATTCCAGACTACGGTGCGCATTATAAACAAAATTTCAATTACATTCTTTTCATTTTACCTAAAATAACAGTTGATATGCCTCTTCTTACGAGGAAAATTTATGTACAAAAATTGCGAAACTCGATTACTTGTACAAATCTGACTCTGATTAAATAGGCAACACGATGTCCGAGGTGGAGAAGGCTCAGACCGCTAGCGCCGGTGGAGACACGATATTTGGGAAAATAACACGCGGTGAAATACCATGCAAATTCATACACGAAGACGATAAGGTTCTGGGCGTAATTTCAATTTAGAAATGTGTGCATATATAACAGATTTCGCATAAAGCATTTGTTTATTTGTGTTTGTCTCTACTGCTGTCTGGTTCACTGGATATGTTGTATCATTGTAATATAGTTTCCTTGCTTATCACCTGGTAACGGACCACACTGTGATTTACATAGGTTTTATGATGCGTCCATTAAATCAATGTATTACTATAGTTACTGAAAGGGCATCTCTAGACATGCATTACATTATTTAGGCTTCACCTCTCTATTGTTGTTTTCATCTTACTGATTCTTAGCAAAAACATTTTCAATTCAAGACCTCACATTTGGCAATCTAGCAGCCATTTACAAAATTTGGTAAATCAGCATTTTCTCGTTTTCAATTCCAGTGTGTTGCTTTTCATGATCTCTCACCTCAGGCACCCATTCATTTCCTGGTTATTCCACGCAAACCTTTGTCACAGCTTTCAAAGGCCGAGGATGGAGACAAAGAGGTACACACTGCTTTAGTTAATATCAACAAAATCTGTCAAATGTTAATTTTAAACGTATTAAATTTAACAGTAAGTAAAAATCTTTCATGCACATTTTTCAAAGGTTACCACACACACATTAGCAATTAAGCCATCAACAAACATACAGTACAAGCAATTATTTCAAAACTGTAGCAGTGTTGCACTGTTTTAGAAAAGTGTGGTTCACCTCCAGGATTTTACCATATATGCAGAAAATCATGCCTCTTTGTTTTGATTACTGTTCAAACTGCTTTTTGTGGATAAAATCCTCTTTGTGGACTGCATTCAGGAAGTCACTTATTTATCAGGCAGATTGTTTCCACCAGCTTTTTTTCACCCAAATTTCCTGACACACGCACGAACACCAGAATGGTATGGTTTAACACTTGCAGCTAAGATATATCTGAAAGTGGACGGAGTTTGTACATAAATCACATGTACAGTTTTAGTTGCACCTGGGTGTGCAGTACATCTTGCATCCAGCACAGGTGTATATTATCATAGATCTTACACTGTCTGCAAGTCACTGTATGGTTACAAGCTAACTGTTAACTGTAGAGTGGAATTGCATCATAAATGAAGAATTATTTGTAGTTTGATAGATGAGTAACATATGGTGAGTAGTGATTGAGTGCAAAACTGAATCACATTATATTAACCCCCCTTTAAACTGAATCTGGTAAAGATGCTAAAAGAGTGCTTTCTTCATGCATTTTCAGATGCTAGGCCACCTACTCCTTGTTGCCAAGCAGGTAGCCAAGGAGTTGGGTCTGGAGAAAGGTTTTCGTCTTGTTGTCAATGATGGTGCAGAAGGGGCACAGTCTGTGTACCACCTCCATATCCATGTGATGGGTGGGCGCCAGATGGGCTGGCCACCTGGATAAAGCATAGGAACAGCAGAAAGACATCCCATAACCTAGGTTATGAAATATTAAATCAACAATGATTTTTTGCAATGCTATTAATAATCATAGCTGAATTTATTGTTCAAGAACCCCATCACCTTCTGTGAAATTTCAATTTACTTTCAATTAGTTGATCGGATGACTCTTGTCTCTAGCTCAAGATATTTGATATCATGTTGTTGCATACCTTACTTAAAATTCCATAGTAAAAAGTACTTTATTCATCAGTATCATGTTAAGTAACATTTAAGAGATAGTGGTAAATAAAGTATTGATCTTACAATTGTAGTGCTTGTGATGGGGTGTGAAGAATAGGACCTATCATAAAAATACAGATTTTAATGATCATAAGGTCTTGTGTCTTAATTGCAATAATGCTTCCAAACAAACATTTGTCTTCACACCAGCCTGTTATAGATTGTGACTAGAAGGAAAAAAAAGTGAATGTTATCATAATGAGAATAGCATATTTTTCTGAAAATACGATTGACTAATATATTACAGGGCATTGCCTTGCTATGTGCCACTTTCCAACAAAGTTTTGATTCTAATATCACAATGGACACTTGGTCTGAGCTACTTCTCCAGCAAGTATCACAAGGGCTATGATATTTTTTCCAAAGATCAACTACTAACTGACTTATCTCTATGTTTATTTTTCTGGCTGAGAGATCAGGAGTCTCCTAAGACAGGGACAATCCAGCTATTGGTTCCACTGACCACACAAACTTTGATGATCTCTGATCTCCAATCCCTGATCTTTCTCTGATTACAATACAAAATTCTCCTTATGTACTAATGCACACAAAATATTCCTAAAGAAAGGCAGAGATATTGAAGCCAGTTTACAAAATTAAGACATATTATTAGAAACCTTTAACAACATAATTAAACTGACCCTGATACAAACTTTAACTAGGAGATGAAGCCATAAATAAAGTTTTTCAATTCTTTTAAAAATGAAAACATCCTTTTAAAACTTGGTTACAGTTCTTTGCAATAAATAAAATACATTAACAGATTCATGTAATATTAAAATTGAGACATCTGAACAATTTTTACCACATGTTGATTTAATTTGATTTAAATGTGAAAGTTTTTAATGAGGTTTGGTCGTGAAATCACCACTATGACACTAATGAACAATAGTACTTGGTATAAAATTCACAACAAAGATAACTTCCATATTTACATTTTTTGGGCTTGGCATAACACAAGTTGCAGTACACAATCAGACTGTAAGGCAGGCAATATTTACATGTACTTGGCCTACTTAAATTTGCACAGATAAAGCTGATTTATAAAGAATCTTAAGGCCTTAAAGGCTGTTGACCCTGAGAGTAAACACATTGTTCTGAGTAAAAAAATATATACTCCTCATGTAACATCAAGTCTCAGTCAGATTGAATGATGTCATTATAAAGGGATAATAACTCTTCGTATCAGACCTATATTTTACAATAAAAAACATTGTGAATAACTCATAGAAATATAATTTATTCTGTTGTACCACAAAAACTGCAGTTATAGCTATTATTCTGATATCTGAGCTTGTCTTTAGACCACGTGACGATGGCTATACTCTGTTATAATCTCTTAAGAGATTATAACAACAAACTTTTTAGAAAAAAACCAGGGACTAACTTTGAATGTAAAAATGGATTCATTAACCATTAGTAAGTATGGGAAAATTGTTGTTTACTCCAGGAAAATTCATTTTTTGGCCAAGACAAAAAGTTATTATCCCTTTAAGTTGTGTCAGAAACTTCACTTCAGTATCACTATACCGGTTTCACCCATGGAGTCTGCAGGGGGATACATAGCCCAATGTTCAATAGGCTTCCCATGACAATTATGATGACTGACTAATAAGTTAATTATAAAACTGTATGCCCATTAGATGTCTAAGAAGAGTAATCTACCAATAACCCTTTTCCAACTTATCACGCTGGTAAAAATGCAACGCGGGATCAGTGATGATCTAGGTTACTTCAGGCACAGGTTTGACTTGTCATCAATTTCTGTTGTACTAGATGCCCTGTGATGACCCTCTGTCAATCTCTGAATATGGGGGTGGTGGGGCAGCATCATGACCTGATGTAAAAGAATAGCGATAATCAGTATACGTCTGAATGTGAATAATGCAAGACCCAAAATTTTTATTTTATTTGATATGTCTTTGTCACCTGTTATTCATAATGCCCTGTCAAAAAAAAAAAAAAAAAAAAAAATTAAAGTGACTCTCAGTTTAAAAAGTATTTACTCTATTTGTTGGAAATATATATAATTGAAACAAGAAGGAAAACGCACCTTGATTCATTCTAGGGTAAGCATGTTCAGGGCTTTGATTACTGTTTGGCACCGCTTGTCCTGAGAAAGATGGTAGGGGTGAGTTGGTTGCTGGGTATCCATGGGCTTGAGATGGTTGGTTTTCTTGGTTTGCTTCTTTCACCAAACTTGGAAGGCGGAAGAAATCGATGATCCAACCAATACCAAAAAGTCCAAATGTTAACAAGTACAGCAGGCCCCATTTAAACCTACGGAGGTAAAAATGATGTAGACCAAGGAAACCCAGTGGAAATATCAAGCAATAGGCATCATCTAGATAACATGTAGAAAAATATTTCCATGCGATTTGGGGCTGTCTTAAGGCTTCCTCAAGTTCCTTGTTGCTTCGTTTCACCAGGAATGGCATGCGAAAGAGGTCGAAAATAAATCCTGTCCCTAGCCCACCAATAGTGAGACTATAGTACAATCCTATCCCAGGCCGCCTCAAATAGAAATGATGTAAACCTAAAATACAAGAAGTTAGTCATCATGAAAATTATACTATTTTAATAATTTTTGGTACCCCAGAAACAAAAATTCTAGAGCTTCTGAAATTCTCAAGAGCATACATGTACAAAGTCTAATGCCAAATAAATCCAAAACTGGATGTTGATTGCCCTGCAGATATTCCCCTCCGTCTTCTTTTCAAATGTCACTTAAATTTTTGTCTTTTCTGTTCTACTAGCACACTTTTATAGTGAATGTGAACAAGAGATTATGAGTCAGTATACCTGGAATGTATAATATTGACATGCATGAAGACTAGCACAACAATTCCCGTAGACTATTAACACTGCTACAATGTACTATTATTTACTAATGCAAAAATTTACGTGCTACACGAAAACATAAATATACAGTATAATACTAATATATCAGAAGTTAAAAATTTTGTTTAATATTTACATTGCTTGTTTTCATAAATATTACATGTGCTATTAATTATAAGACCAAATGGTTACCTCAATATACATGTATTTTGTATTAGTTTTTCTTGTACATTGTAAATCTTACCCCAAAGGCCAAGTGGTAACCACAATGCATACGCATCTCCAATGCTTCTCTTTCTGAGTTGGATAGGTGTCCGTTCTTCAATCCGTTTGTTGGCATCTTTTACCAGGATCGGCATTCTGAATAAGTCGATCACCCACCCGCAACCAAAAAGTCCAACGGTGGTCAGGTACATCACACCAAAATATGGACGATGCAAGTAAAAATGATGTGCTCCGAACAACCCAAGTACCAACCACAGCAAGTAAGCCTCCAACAGCGATTTCTTTTTAACAACTCTTTGGTGAGAGTCGGTTATATTTTGCGCTGGAGAGGTCTGGGACACCGGTGGGTGCACATATTGGCAGGCCTCGGGAGAAGACGCCGTGGCCACGAACCCAGTACTCGGCTGTGCTTTCTCGTGGTCCTTTCTTCTCAACTGTCCTTCTTTACAGATTTTATAACCAACCCACACCGCCGCCATAATACTTGTCTACGTGTGTTGCGAAATGACTAGGAGCGTGTGATTGTATAACTACAGGATTAAGCCAAGTTGCAGCATAGTTGACATAGTTGCTAGGTTTGAGAAATCTTCATGTCGGAAGTAGCACCGAAAGTGTCAAACGCCCGCGCATGTGCAGCAGCGTTTCTATCACTTATTCAAAACATAGAAGTAGAGAAATGGAATGCATTTTCTCTACTTCTGTGTTCAAAACTAGGACTCAAATATGTTATGTGAACTGTCTGCAAGGCTGAAGTTCACTATGTCAGTTTTCATGATGATATCTTATTGACTGGTAGTCAGGCCTCTCATAGGGCCTATAGGCTACTGTTACGGTGCACAACCCTTGAGCATCAACAACAACAAGTCAAATGTACCGACAAAAACTGGAAAAAAATGATGCACAAATAGATGTTTTCGTCAATTTTGATGCAATAATACCTAATAATGCTCAACAACAAATTTGTATAAATTAGAAAAAAAATAAGTAGGCCTAACGCTACTTGTTTTTAGGGCCTAATCATCTGCTATAGGCCTACGTAGTTGGTCATTCAGCAAACGTAGGCCTAACTACCATACGGTTCATGCCCGTGGGTATTCTAAATCCAACGTTGAAATACCAAAATGAACATTTCACAAAAACGGTCCAACTAGGCTGTTTTTCTGATTCAAGCTGTATTTCAGTCCGATGAGTTATTTTTCTGCGAGTTTGAGAGCCATAGGCCTATGTAACGTGGTTTTCCTTTAAAGGTCAATATGGTGGCAGTGCCAAAATAGGATTTTCGCCAATTTTGATGCAATATTAGGCCTACATAATGCTTAAAACCATAATCACCACCAATTTTTATTGTGTAAGTAGGCCTATCACTGATGTTAACAAATGTGACTACGTAGGCTAAAGGCCTTCAGGTCAACAGAGGTTGGAAGTCACACCTTGAATATGCCATTAGTAGGCCTACATAACGTGTGACCTGAAAATATAGCCAAACAACTCAATCTCAGGGTTTTGACTTTTGACTATCACTTTTAGTGATAGGCTAACACTGTAGGCTAAGTGTCTTTAAACTTACAGAACTAATGATTATTCATACAACAAAAATCAAGTTTGAAAATCAGCCTGATCGGACCATTTATTCAAAAGTTATGGGTATTTCCCCTTTTTTCAGATAGATAGGCCTACAACACGTAAAACATATTTTAAGGAGGACCGACAGGCCTATTAGCTTGAAAATCACAGGAGTAATAAATGTTACGAAATTACAGGTTGAGTCCAAAAATCAGTTTGATCAGACCATTTTGACAAAAGTTATGCTGTTTTTAGCTCCTTTTGGCATTTTTGAGAGCTCTGGTTTATTGCATTTTGTAGAGCTTGCCAAGCACAACTCTGGCGGTGGTATCCCTTTTTTGGTTTTCCATATGAATGTGCCTACTCCAGCTGGTGGTTGAATATCCGGAGGCGGTATCGCCCCTCTGATCTTCTAGTTATAGAATAATTAATAATAAAATTCTGTGTTGCATTTGAGGTGCTTTTTCTGAATACGATAGAAATAAAAGCCTGCATTTCGGTTTTGTTGCTACTACTCAATAGAAGTGTTCTATTTTTAAGAATTTGTTTTAAAAAGTGCAAAAAATTCCAAATTTTGCCCATGAAAAGATCGTGTCATTTATTTATTTATTTATTTATTTGGTTTCATATTGCACAGATGTATAAAACTTAAATATAATACATATATTCATTCAAACATCGCATATCGGATATGTGTACTCTATAATTTTGTTAATTTATTTGGGTTTTAAAAACTACTTTTCCAAACTGTGCAAGTTGTTTGCTATCTGAATAATGTTATTTTATTTAATTTCTCTTTTTGTTTGTTTGTTTGTTTGTTTTTCACCAGCCTAACTAAAATTTATTAATGGATTTTGATGAAAATAGCATCCACAATTTATCAGTGTTCGGTCTTCGTCGGCCAGTGCCCTCTGAGTGCTGAGGGTTGACAGTGTTCTATCTTTAGCTGAGATGTTTATTAGTATCAGTACATGTACGTGCAACATATCAGGCGTTGCTGATACTGCCTGTCGCAATAGTTTATTTTTATGTATATAATTGGAACAGAAAAGCTAGTTGAAGTTAAATATCTGAACGTGACGAGCTTTTTATCATGCTTTATATCACCCGATTACTTTATAAAAGAATAAAACAACACATATTATCACAATTCGAAACGAATTCGTCGCGGTTTGAGATACTCCTTTGTTCATTTTTTAACCTACATGCTAACACAGAAAGGAGACGCGACTGGTGTTAAGATCCCTCTACCAGCTCTACATGGCCACTGAGAGAAGTCGGTTTATTTGATGTTCACATGTATTTTTTGGCTATTCGCTTGCTTTGAACATTTCTGTTCTGTGACTCTGTGCTGAAATGCAAACGATCGTAAAATTACAAGATTGGTAGCTGTCACATAACCAGCCAGACACCGAATAATCAAACACTGTGTAGCATGCTACGAGAGGGTTCCAAAGGCACAGTGTATATTTGAAAGTACGAGGACAGCATGGAATGGGAAAATAAAATGAGGGCGGGGTGAATAAAACAAAGTGAAGAAGCTAAAAGCAATATGAAAATGTGTATGTTATGGTAATACACGTATTTAACAATCTTTTCCGATATGATTATGTACCGTCTACCAGGGTCACATGTTCATTTTTCACCAGATATTCACAGATATTGCTCTGACGAAGTTAAATCACTTCTCTTTACTGTGACCCAGTGACGAAATTCATGCAATAATTACAGAGTTGAACATTTCTTTGCATATAAACAACAAGCAGGTCTGGAGCCATCAATTTCAAAGGTGGGACCTTTTACACCAAAAGTGGACCTTTTACGATGAAAACTTCGTGTACTTAATCAATTTTACCTAGAGTGGACCTTTTTCCGTCAAAAAGTGCCTGTTCGTTCGAACCCCGGCCCCTCCCTGGCCACGGTATATAAGTACTATTTTAACGAATTTAATTTAATTACTATGTTTGCGCCTAAGAGCACTATTAACTAACAGAAGCTGCTTAAGCTATACGTAGTCCTACTAGGTTCTGGCTGTTCAAAGTAGCATTTTTGTTCATCATTATTATAATTAAAATGAATATTCCTCTTCTTCATATCCTAAACAAATCAGACGCCGTTTGGCATCTTACGGATAGTTTTTTTAAGAAGGATCGTTGTGATATCTTGTGACAACTGTCATCGAAATAAATAACAAAATAAGAACATAAATTAATGTGACTTTTCTTGAGGTGGTGCATGAGGTGCCAGGGCACCATAGTTGTTAGTGTATTGTTGTTGTTGGAATGGATCCCTTTGTTGTTGATACTGGTATTGCTGTTGTTGTTGACACTGGTATTGCTGCTGCTGTTGTTGATACTGGTTTTGTTGCTGTAAACCAGAGAAATATGGCTGTGACTGCCCTTGGTTGTACTGGAAGCCATGTGATGTTCCTCCGGCAATCTCTGAATAAGGGGGTGGTGGGGCAGCATCGTGATCTGTGACATAAGACAATAGCGATGATAAGTGTATGCTTGAATAGCAATAAAGACCTTTTTAACGTTATTGGCTTTTTCACCTGTAACATACCACGATTAGTTTAATGTGACAAAAACACGTTCAAAATACATTGATTTTTCAAACTGATGGTATACCATTTCTCATTTAAGATTAATTTTTTAAATTCTTACATAAGAAATAGGAAGACAAACGCACCTTGAGGTCCCCCATGGTAAGTTGGAGGGTCATAGTTGACTGGGGGTCCACTGTATGTATTAACGTGTGTAAATGTCCCAGACTGTTCTGTTGTAAGCGATTGACTTTGACCGCTGTTTGGCACCGCTTGCCCAGGGAAAGATGGATGGCGTGCTGTGGTTACTATGTATCCATGGGCTTGAACTGGTTGATTTTCTCGGTTTGCTTCTTTCACCAAACTTGGAAGACGGAAGAAATCGATGATCCAACCAATACCAAAAATTCCAAACGTAAATAAGTACAGCAAGCCCCATTTAAACCGGCGGAGGTAAAAATGATGAAGGCCAAGGAAACCCAGTGGAAATATCAAGCCATAGGCATCATCAAGATGACAACGGTAACGATATCTCCATGCGTCTTGGGGACGTTGGAGCGCTACTTCGAGTTCTCTGTTTCTCCTTTTCACTAGGCATGGCATGCGAAAGAGGTCATATATAAATCCTGTCCCTAGGCCGCCCAAAGTGAAGGAATAGTACAGTCCTATCCCAGGTCGCCTCAAATAGAAGTGGTGCCACCCTATAAACACGAAGGAACGGAGTTATTTGCCGAAAAGTCTATTTTCTAAATACTATTTTCATAATCTTCCTTGACATTTTTTTCAGAATCCCATCATTTGTTTTAATCCTGATCCGATTCACTATTTATGCAGATCAATGGCTTCTAATGTAAACATAGATAAAATATAATATTTTGAACATGGATTTAAGTCAATAACAAAACTTGCCGTCTTTTAATTTATACTGGTAAATTCGCCCGTGTCCTTTGAATGAGTGAGGAATTGTGCAGATTATTGGCATATGATTTCAGCAAATTTACATGTTTTGCATATATGTGTTTGTATTAATTTTTTCTCGCAAATCTTACCCAATAGGCCAAATGGTAACCATAATACATAAGCATCCCCAACGCTTCGCTTTCTGAGTTGCATAGGCGTCCTGTCTTCGATCAGTTTGTTGGCATCCTTTACCAGACACGGCAACCTGAATAAATCTATCAGCCACCCGCAACCGCAAAGTCCAAAAGTAGTCAGGTACATTATACCGAAAAGTGGACGATTCAAGTAAAAATGATGTGCTCCAAACAATCCAAGTGCCAACCACAGCAAGTAAGCTTCCACCAAAGATTTCCTTTTAAACCCCCTTTCATGAGATGCGGACATTGTTTGCGCTGTAGGGTACGTAGTATGCGACACCGGTGGGACATTTCTGTAGGCCTCTGATGAAAACCCTGTGGTCCCGTACCAAGGCCTAAATTGTGCATTTTCGTGGTCCATACTTCTGATACTTCACGACTCTTCTCCCATTCGAATTTACGGAAAAAACCCGCTGTGGTATAATATATCACCTGTGTCGAAAAATAGCGCCGAGCGCGTGACTGTGACATACAGATCAACTAGAATGGATCATCTCAAAAAGCCTTTCATGCCGATCGTCGTTTTAAGTCGAACCACCGTAACATTCATTGTACATGTATTTAGTAACCAAAGAGCAACATGTATTTCACAGGTTCGTTAGGGACTTAATGAAAGGACGCGGTCATACCATTACACAGCATAAATATGGGATGGGATTAACTTGATTGAATAGGTAAAACTTTTCATACAATGCCTAAATACTTTTGTTTTTTTTTATTTGAGTTTTGACTCCGACCATCGCAAATATAAAGAACAAACATGGAAATTAATTAGGTAAATTAGATNTGGTATACCATTTCTCATTTAAGATTAATTTTTTAAATTCTTACATAAGAAATAGGAAGACAAACGCACCTTGAGGTCCCCCATGGTAAGTTGGAGGGTCATAGTTGGCTGGGGGTCCACTGTATGTATTAACGTGTGTAAATGTCCCAGACTGTTCTGTTGTAAGCGATTGACTTTGACCGCTGTTTGGCACCGCTTGCCCAGGGAAAGATGGATGGCGTGCTGTGGTCACTATGTATCCATGGGCTTGAACTGGTTGATTTTCTCGGTTTGCTTCTTTCACCAAACTTGGAAGACGGAAGAAATCGATGATCCAACCAATACCAAAAATTCCAAACGTAAATAAGTACAGCAGGCCCCATTTAAACCGGCGGAGGTAAAAATGATGAAGGCCAAGGAAACCCAGTGGAAATATCAAGCCATAGGCATCATCAAGATGACAACGGTAACGATATCTCCATGCGTCTTGGGGACGTTGGAGCGCTACTTCGAGTTCTCTGTTTCTCCTTTTCACTAGGCATGGCATGCGAAAGAGGTCATATATAAATCCTGTCCCTAGGCCGCCCAAAGTGAAGGAATAGTACAGTCCTATCCCAGGTCGCCTCAAATAGAAGTGGTGCCACCCTATAAACACGAAGGAACGGAGTTATTTGCCGAAAAGTCTATTTTCTAAATACTATTTTCATAATCTTCCTTGACATTTTTTTCAGAATCCCATCATTTGTTTTAATCCTGATCCGATTCACTATTTATGCAGATCAATGGCTTCTAATGTAAACATAGATAAAATATAATATTTTGAACATGGATTTAAGTCAATAACAAAACTTGCCGTCTTTTAATTTATACTGGTAAATTCGCCCGTGTCCTTTGAATGAGTGAGGAATTGTGCAGATTATTGGCATATGATTTCAGCAAATTTACATGTTTTGCATATATGTGTTTGTATTAATTTTTTCTCGCAAATCTTACCCAATAGGCCAAATGGTAACCATAATACATAAGCATCCCCAACGCTTCGCTTTCTGAGTTGCATAGGCGTCCTGTCTTCGATCAGTTTGTTGGCATCCTTTACCAGACACGGCAACCTGAATAAATCTATCAGCCACCCGCAACCGCAAAGTCCAAAAGTAGTCAGGTACATTATACCGAAAAGTGGACGATTCAAGTAAAAATGATGTGCTCCAAACAATCCAAGTGCCAACCACAGCAAGTAAGCTTCCACCAAAGATTTCCTTTTAAACCCCCTTTCATGAGATGCGGACATTGTTTGCGCTGTAGGGTACGTAGTATGCGACACCGGTGGGACATTTCTGTAGGCCTCTGATGAAAACCCTGTGGTCCCGTACCAAGGCCTAAATTGTGCATTTTCGTGGTCCATACTTCTGATACTTCACGACTCTTCTCCCATTCGAATTTACGGAAGAAACCCGCTGTGGTATAATATATCACCTGTGTCGAAAAATAGCGCCGAGCGCGTGACTGTGACATACAGGTCAACTAGAATGGATCATCTCAAAAAGCCTTTCATGCCGATCGTCGTTTTAAGTCGAACCACCGTAACATTCATTGTACATGTATTTAGTAACCAAAGAGCAACATGTATTTCACAGGTTCGTTAGGGACTTAATGAAAGGACGCGGTCATACCATTACACAGCATAAATATGGGATGGGATTAACTTGATTGAATAGGTAAAACTTTTCATACAATGCCTAAATACTTTTGTTTTTTTTTATTTGAGTTTTGACTCCGACCATCGCAAATATAAAGAACAAACATGGAAATTAATTAGGTAAATTAGATATCTATAGGCTCAAAAATTGTTCTTGTCTTGGTAACCTGAGAACTATACCGATGTACACAAGACACCGTGATAATTTAACTGATAAACCATTTACTGACATTTTTCATACGACCCCTTTAAGATGATTAGAATTAATGCAAACGAGGCTGAGTATGGAGCACCTGACGATGATGAAATTACTCTAAAATAAACGCGCCTTGCGTAAACACTGTAATGTAAACACGTCGTTTCTTATCACGTATATTGTTTTAATACATGTACTATGCCCAATGTAATCGTGCTCGTTTTTAATTCAAGGGAAAAGATTGGCGTAAGAGAGTACTTTCACACAAGCTATTAAACCGCTGATTTTCAGATATAATCTTACATATTCGGGTTTTATTCAGGAATAGTTATCAAAAGTGAAACCGGTAAACGATAAAAATGTTATTTATTGAAAGGAAGGCATGTTTGAAATGCCAGGTAGCTAGAAGCGTACAAATGTGATAAGAACGTCGGGAAAATGTGTGTCACTTTTAAAGGCGCTTTCTTCTTTCACGGCACTTTTAAAACTATAAAGTATACGGTATTACGGTGCAGTATCTTTCAGTTTTTTTTAAGAAGTGTATTAGCCATAGAAAAGGAAACACTCGAGCGCTTAGAAACGCCTTTTATATGCCCTTATAATTTGGCCTGAAAAAGGCAGGGGTTTTTCGAATATTTCCTTTTTACAAGTTAGTAGTAATAGAAATCTGCTCTACCATATTCAGATGCGCCGTGTCTTGAAAATATTCCAGATTCCTAAAATTTGCTCTTCCACATTTTGATTTAGATATAATTTGTATCAATATGTGCAAAAATGTGTATATCATGGAATTGACGGTAAAGCCTTAAGGCCGTATTTTTTTTAATCTGCCAGTACTATGGCCAAAGATTAATCAAAATATTGGAATGTTTACGTTATCACGAGGAATATGCAGGTGTTAATAGGAAAAAGAATCAGCCGTAGAACCAGTCGAGCTAGAAATCACGGTGCTATAATAAAATAGGGTACCAACAGGGAAAATGTTTCGTGACATATTAACCCCCCTCCCCATCCCCCCTCCCCCGTAAGGCCACGCCCGGGGGTGATCCTGAACCTGCCAATGTTTTATAGTACCTAATCTAAAAATACCGAGTACCCAGCACAAGGCGTTTACCTGTAACCGGTTTACCTGTACAGATACGATGAAGTCATCGGTCCGCCCGCCTGCCCCTAACAATGGCTCACGCCCTGGTGGCTTTGTTTGTTCCCAGGCGAAGTGTTATTAAGGGCAACACATTATCCGCACACCCCTGCGTATAGGTAGGCCAGCGCAATGGGCTCAGTAAAGCTACGAGGCACATTTTCTACTTGATATCACCATATTCCATATAATGTTAAGAAGGATACTCCAAGGCATCCCGTGGACTTGTATGTAGGTGAGTTCTAGAAAAAACGTCTCTTATTTAGGATATAGTATAGGCGTGGTCAACAGGTAGGCCTATAATGTAAGTCACGGTTGTAGGTACTACTCATTAATACGTGTCTAACTAACGAGCATCTGAAAGGCATGTTGACATCAAGTTATGATAATTGACATTTAATGCAGAATATTTTCTAAAAGAACGGCTATGTGCAAATGTTTATGAACTTCCAATAACCGACCCCCAATCCTTTTGACACACTTTCGTTGTATCGGTGCATATCTGTCTCCTCAATATTACACCCAGGCCTGTGTTCCCATTGGCACATACATCATGAGAACTTTAATGGTATTTTCAACAACTTCGCTTTAAAGATAATATGTATTCAGTCAAGTGTTATGCGGGAGATTTGAAAATTAAATATAACGATTCGTGTTTATTTTGACAAAGTAGACCTGTGATCTCTATAGTTTAGAGTAGCGCCCTTTATTTCACCATCACTTTGGCTATAAGTAGTTAAAACAGCATTTTTTTTTATTTTGTCAGAATGCCTTGAATAAAGATGGAAATCTATTGATAATGTGAATAACCATTATTTTTGCGTGACATAAGTTTTCGAATACTCGTTACGTATAGCCTACATTTGCATAAATATAAGACCATGGACCTGAAGGGCCTACTGTTGAAGGCTATGTCGTGGTATATTCCAGGGTACATGTACACTTGGGCAAGACGTTGTAAACAGTTTCTTGGCTTGGGACTCCTCGATTATGTTGGATGTGTATAAATAGAGTTTCTTCCAAAAAAAATATTGAATTCTATTTATACATTAAAGCCTAAACTAATTAACATCTTTCTTTTTACAGGTGGGTTGAATACCAGCTTTCAAAGGAATGGATCGTATGCGTTTCACCATCCTCTTCTGTTTTTTGATGCTAGTGTCACTTTCGTTATTCATCAATGTTTTCTTTTTTGCCCGCCAAGGACCTCTTGCAGTGAATTATGGGGATTCGGATGAGAGCCGACCTCCAGTTGACGTAAATCGTGACAGCAGACAACGTGACTGTAAATGTAAGGAAAAAATAATTATTAATTTGGGTAGCAAAAACAAAGATGCCGCTCCTATAATCTCACGAAAGCCGACAGGAGACGTTCTTCCAGACAGACACACGAACTTCTTGTATCGAGGTATGTCGGATTTGAATCCTTTGAAAGATATCCTTCCCTCGTCAGCAATACCGAACGTTTTCCATTACATCTGGTGTGGCAGTAGGGTCTTTGAATTTCAACATTATTTGAGCGTTCTTAGCGCCTTCAAAATCCACCGAGCGGACAAAATTGTCATCCATTTTGAAACGATGCCTCAGGTTGACTTACGCCGGTACAACCAGTGGATTAACGACCTTAAAGAAGAGGTGCCAGTTTTAGTTTTAAAGAGAGAGCCAGATATGGCAGGTTGCCAAACCGACGACACGAAGAAATTAGATAAAATATTGAACGTCTTGAGTGACCATGGCGGAATATACTTAAACGAAAACGTCGTGATATCAGATCCTCACTTTCTTATTAGGAAAACACAGCGTCTTTACCTATATTTAAAAGGCACGGTGACATCTCAAGCAACTTTGACGACAGCTATTGTTCAAGGTTCCATATGGGCAGACAGGACTGCGGTTACAAAAGGCATATCTAGTCAGAAATTTATCTCCGGTTTATTAAATAAAACGGATAGTAAACTTCCTGCAATGACTAGTAATTGTATAACACATATAACTCACAGTGAATCCAACCGTTCCTATTGCCTGCACATAGATCATACACTTTATCCTCATCAAATCTGGGAACGAAAGGACGAGTTTGGGGCTTTATGCAGACGACTGTTTTATGGTTCAGAAGAGATCCGCGTTCCTGCTCCGTCGTACGACACACTGATACCTAACATTGCTCATTATGTGTGGATGGGAGGAACAGAAATGCCGTTTTTAGCATATTTAAGTGTGAAAAGCACTTTGAACGTCCTTAAAGTGGATGCTGTGTATTTACATGGAAACGAGGAACCCAAAGGACCATATTGGGACAAATTAAAAGGGAACCCAAAAGTCCACTTTGTTTTTCGAGATTGGCCAGAAACAATATTTGGAAACCCGGTTAATGATTATTCACATATCAGTGACGTTTTTCGGGTGGACATACTTTTGAAATACGGCGGAATATACACAGACTGGGATGCCGTCTGGGTGAAGCCCATCGACGATTTACGTGGCTATGACGTGGTTGCCAATTACGACTGGCCGGATTGGCATCCCCCATTTCCTGATAAATTTAACATGGGTACTCTCCTTGCAAAAAAGAATGCGAGATTTATGCACTATTTTTCAGATACAATGAAGCGATATGAAGACACTGGGGACTGGTATTACAATGCTTGTCTCATGCCTTACAAAGCATATGAGAGGCACCCTGAACTTCTTTTAGTGGAAAAGCATTTACAAGTAATATGTTTTGATTTCAAATGTCACCCGATATTCAAACCTGGCTATAAAGACCCCAACATACATCACCTTAACAACGCTACGTTTGACTGGCGAACTGACGTGTACGCAGTTCACTGGACGAGACCGAGCCCGCCAGAATTTGAAAATGAAAATACTTTAAGACAATCAAACTCCATGTTTAGCGAAATTGGAAAATATGTCTTAGATAGAAAGTAATAAGCTGCTTATTGCATCAATTTGCCCAAGGTAGTATCACATTTAGGCATGCTCTACATAATAGGCACATATTCCAATTTTCATAAAATGATTAAATTTGAATGTTACACTACAATTCAATGTCAAAGGGCACATAATTACTACAAAATTAATCATTTACAAATGCTAAAAACCCAAGATCATTTTTGTTAAGCTTTATTTATCATCTTTTTTGACGGATCTTTATATGTGATCTCATTAAGGACCGACAAGTGCGAAATAAGGCCATGTTCTTAAGGATGGCTCTGTTTAAGGTATATGGCACTGCGTGTTCCTTTTTTTATACTTATCAACTACATCTTATCTACCATAAGAGCTAAGTACCTATTGAATTGTATAAAAACGTACAATAATATCAAATCAATATACTGAAGACGTATAAATCCACTGTCCAATGTAACTATAATGTGATATATATGCACGGTTATCTGACAGTTGCATATCTAATGTCTATTTGGCACCTTTAAAACACACTGGCCGCCTAGTTTGCTAGACAAAATTTTCCCAACTTTATAACCCTATGGCAATTGGCTGGTTTTTAAGCAACTTAAAGCTTTGAAGTATTTAAATAATCTAATCGAGACTCTAGTGCTTATGCATTTCTTTAAAACTTGCACAATTTCTGGTACTTAGAAAATGTGGTACCTGCTCATATAAAACCTACAAATCCTCCTACATACATGTACATACTTATAAAAAAGTTGCATTATATGTGTAGCATGCACTTAGTATAATACATTTTTCAAAACAAATCCTAGTTTTACTCCATATGGTTACATTCATAGACTTTGCTGTTTCCAATAGAGATACGAAATATAACCAATATATGGCTGCCTTCTTTAGTAGAAATTTTCCTTGCATTGCACAGAGGCAAACGAATAATATTGGTGAAAAAGAAACTATGATAAAAGCTACCGATGAGAAGACGAAAAGTTATCCCCATCCTCTGAAATTTCCCTTATTTTTATGTTTTGCTTGGGTCATCGATGTTCATGATGACACGTACGTCATTAAAACAAGGATTACATGGAACGGGACTCGCACCAAAGGCTGATAAAAGCCAGTTTAGTTTCCAAAAATAACTTTTTGGTCAGCTCTTCAATAATATGCATAACTACGCTATCACATTGCTCTCTAACTAATATGTTAAAAGTATTGCATTGATTTATTGCGTATGCTGTTCCATCAGATTCTAGAGGGAAGGCACCCCTCCTGAGGCCTCCATGCTCATTTAAAAGTGCCCATTATGGCTAGAACAACGTTGTTGTGACCCTACCGTCGATTTATGAAAACGCATTTTCTAAGGAATTAAGGGAACAAAAATATCTACGTAATATTTTTCTGTTCGCACTTGTGAAGGGTCCAGCACAAGATGGTGACAATGTCGAACTTCTGCAACTGGACCAGAAATTGTCTCCTGTTAATGTGTTTGAATCTTTTTATTTATTTTTTTCATGTGACACCATGAAAGAACACAGCCTATACAGCATGCTGGCAGGGCATTTTGGAAAAAAACATAAGCAAACAGCCTTTACACTAAATCTCAAAGTTCTTTTTTAGTATGTAGTTGTTTATATTTTTAGTAATCTTAGTTTTTTTTATTGCAATTCCTTGTTAAGCAGCAGGTTTGACCTCTATGATGGCGCTACCGGTGATGTCAGGGAGCTCCACGGTGTCGAAACCGACTGCTATTTGGCGAGTGCCGGTACGGCGGGGGGTCATCTGATACGTGAGGTCAACGAGGGCATTTGCTGCCACATCCCTATGGAAGGAAAGAGAAGCAATCATTTGAAAACCTAAACCGCTGGACAATACTGAAGTAAAATGTGCCCACTGCTGAGACATTAATAACGGCAGCATTGCAGATTGAGGCAGATAGAGATGTTGCCATTTAATTTTGGGTAGACCATAGAGACGTAAAAAGTATTTTTTTCTTTTTAATACGTTTCAAACAGGTTTTAATGCATTTCAAACAGGTTCTAGGATAATCTTATTTTCAAAATAATATTAAAGTCTAGTTTTTGAATTACAGTAGTGAGGGTCATACTTACGACGCGTGTTTTATCCTCTTAGGTTTCTGCAGTCCAGGTCCTTCAATAAACCACTCGCACTTCGTCAGCTGTTTGTTAAGAGGATTGGTTAAAGAAACCACCAGATCGAATGGTACTCCAACTCTGAAAATTCCAGAATCGTCAAGGCATTTCGCCTGAAAATAAAGAGGGAAACAACAATTAAATTAGGCCATTTTTCTGTAACAGGATCGTGTGAAGAGGCCGGTTCTATCGCCTCCCACAAAACAAGTAAATAAAATTCAAGATGATGACGTTTTTCTCATTGACTGGAGAGGTTTGGAGACATTCTATTATCGTTATTATTTACCTCTACTTTGAGATCAGGTCTTCTTAGACGGAAGTCGTCGAGGTCTGCATGGACCTGTCCAGTCTCCTTCACCCAGGCCATACCACCTATCTTCATGGATGCTCCCTCCACCAGTTTTGGAAGGTACTCGTCTACAGTACACGCCATCTTCACGTTTTGTTCTAGACAGAAAGTTAACAGTTTATATTCCTAATGCTAGAATGAACATTGAAACAAAACGCCCGCAGGCGTGTGAAGACCAAAGCAACGTCAGAGTGGCGTGTTTCTTGAAGAGATTTTTGTCCATTATTTTTCTTAAAGAACATTCTGCACTGGTGACTACGATGAAACAAGCCGATTACCGATAATGCACCAAATGCTTCATGGACAGCTATGGAAATAAGGTTACTTATCGTGCGAATTGGAACAAGAACTAAAAGGTTTTTCTTCTATAGAGTTTAACTAAGGCATTTTGTTATGCAGGTTTTGTTTGTATCATAACTAAATTGAAAAAAACCCAAACTTGTATAAATGGCACTACTGAATAATGCATGGTACTGTCACAGAAAATAAGGGGACTAAATTGTTCTTAGACACATGACAAATCAAACCATGAGGACATAACAGTTACAAGATTCATTTTACGTAACGGTTTAAAAAGGGAAGGGAAGTAAAAAATCTCATGTAAGTGAAAAGCACTAGAAACATGGATTAAGCTTGGAAGAAGCTCAAGAGTACGTGGTAAAAGTACTAGAAACATGATTTAAGCTTGGAAGAACAACAAAAATACGTGGTAAAAGTACGCACGCACCCTGACTAACAGAGGATGCATGTACCTGCCCCTATTTTCAACATGCCTGACCGTTCCCAGTATCCTGGACACGGCACAGACATGATGAAAGAGTGGCCCCTGAAACTGATGAACAAATCTAAAGTGAAAAAAGCCATGCTGTGACATTTATAGAAAGGAAAGAAATACATGTAGGCCTACTGTTAACTTGCGCGTAATTGCTCGTTTGACTCTCTTAAATATAACACTAATACAAACAAGTTTGTTTAAAAGAAACAACCAAAGTGCTTCGCCGTGAAGAGCAAAGCCATAAGATGTAGAAAGTGATTTTCCAAAAGTAAGCAAGCTTACAAAGAAAAGAGCAGCAAACGGATATAACTGCCGTAAGCGAATTTCATAACGGTCTAATTGAAATTGAAGAAACGGGTTTAGCAGGTAGTGTACCTCAGAGCAATTTTAAAATTAAAATAAAAAAACACAGGGCAAAATCACATCATTGTAAGGTTGATGGAACACAAGGTGATTCAGCACCTGCACTGGGCCATTAATAAGCAACAAACAACGTGCCTGTATTTACCGTTTCTAATTATCAAAAATATTATTCTGAAAATCTCATTTATATTCGAAACAACAGCATATAGGTCTGATAAAAATTTGTCGGAACCAGAAATTATGTTTACATTGGTATTTCTGATACCGTATCAGATTACACATTTCTTCTACTGAAGACTTATTTCACTCAAAGCCATCACACTTTTGTAAATTCATTTGTGAAAGAGGAAATAGCGGCATATAAAGACAACGGGTAAAAAACATCACGCGAAACCCCACAAAAGTTGGACACAATACACTCCTGAAAGCAACATATATAAAGCAATTATACTCGCCTACCTCCTAGTAAAGAACATAGATAGAGAAGTAAGAAGACGAATTATGAAAGACGGCATCAAAAGAATATCTGAATAAGATAGTTATAATTAAAGTTAATTTTTTTTTCAAATAGAAACCGGATAGAGTGATAAAAATAATGAAAATCATGAGAGGGAGACAAAAGAAATAGCCCTGGAAAAGAAACTGGTACAATCACTCTTATACATACAGGGTTACCACTTAATATGGAATATTATTTTTTGGCGAGTNGACTGGATGTTTGTATCACTCAGTGACATACTTTTTTTGATGAATCCAACCAAAAAAATTAAATCAGCACTCAAAAATAACAATGATAAAAAATATTCCATATTAAATAGCAACCCTGTAGTGTGATAACATGGTAACATTTACCAAAATCAAACTCTCTCTCTCTCTCTCGTCTGTTTGTTAAATACGACGCAATAATGCCATACACCAGGGCGAAGAAACTCAAAATGCATGCCAAATGATGAACAACCGTACCAGATTTAGGTTCCAGTTTTATTTGGAACTGTTCGTTTTTCAGCTGCGCCACTGGCACGCCTGTATATCTGCACACCGTGGCAGACAGGGTGATGGTGACATTCCTCTCCTCGTCGCTTGTGTTTGTCACCTTGACCTCGACGTCAAAGTCTGAACCAATGAATATGTCATCTTTGTCCACAAAGTTGAATTTCACATCCTGAAAATATGCAAGCACAAAGTTTTGAGTAATATAAAGATGTGTTCCAAGGTTGCCCAAACGAAAGCAGTAAATTACGTTGAACCACTGTAATCTTGAAATGAACAATAAACAACCAACACGGCTAGCACACAAGGGGATATCAAACACAGTTTTTATAATGATAATAATAATAATAAAGAACTCAAACTCAAAGATAAGATGTTCAGACACTTTAAGTGAAAAAATATCGAGTGTCTCAAAAGAGCAGAATGCTGGTTAATCCACAAAATTGTAACCTGTAACGTCATTCAGCATTTCCCTGTGATAAAATAGACATGCTGTAAATTGGCGAACTGAGCTGAAATATAAAATGATATACCACTTACGTCGCCAACGTCATCGTATATATCTTGTCTTGTGGAGGTCGAGATGGCTTTCATCAGTGCAGCCCTCTCCTCTGCAGTACCTGACAGAAAGGGAGGGGGATCAGATATAAACACAAATATAGAAAAAGGATCTCTTTTTTATTCCATCATACTGAATTTTAAAGTAAAAAGATATATCGTAAATATCAAAATAATTTATTTTTCCCTTTACAGCAAGTAAAATGTTATGACGTTTATTAAAAGACAAAAAAAAAACAAATATTTAGTCCCGTCTGTTCTTTTTTATCTATATTTTTTTGAAATCTTATTTTGTTAACTGAAATGTGACAACATTACATCTACATTCAATCATTTTCTTGCATTTGACGTAATTTTGTCAAGTGGTTGCACTAACATGTAACACGTGATATACTGCTGTGTGTATGCTAAGACGCGATGGCATTACCTTCCATGTACTTATACTAAGACGTGACGTCATTACCTTGCATGTGCTTATACTAAAACATGACGTCATTACTTTGCATATGCTTATACTGATATGTGACATCATTACCTCCTGTGTGCTAATACTGAAATGTGACGTCATTACCTTCTGTGTGCTTATACTGGGATGTGATGTCGTGCCTGTCGGGATCATCTATGATACTTCCAACCACCGCACGCCTTGCAAAACCGTCTGGTAGCCGAGTACTAATACGCTTGCCAACACTGTGACATGTGAAAGAAACAATGTTGATACACAACGTCTCAAATTGTTCAATGTGTGATCATGAATGTATTAGTCAATAAAGTACCTCAAACCCAGCAAACACGTCACGTTGGTAACACGTGGTTAATCCGTCGCTATGACGTTAAAAAGTGGTAGCAACGTGCTAGCCACGTGATCCGAACATGACGTGTGTGCTGGGAACACACCTTAAAAAGATAAGCGTGCCTCATTCTTTCGCCTAAATTTCATCAAATATTTGATATTATTTTTTAGGAAAATAAACACGAATATTTGGATACTATTTTCTTACATGTCTTTCTGAATGACGCTCCTAAATTCTCCATTTGACTTTTGAATATAATGAACCTTGTCTGCGTTCACTTCGGCAAAGATGAAAGGACCGTCATATGGCAGAGTGATTACGCCGTCACGTAAAGCGTTCACCGAACAAGGGCCAGAACAATAGATACCTGATAGAGAAAAATGCATTGTTTACACGAAATAAACGTCTAACTTTAAAAATAACCTAAAAGTACGATGTGCACTACCTGGCTGTAAGTCTGGACGTTTAACCCAACATTTCAAGCTGCATATATTGTATAGCCTGCTGTGTGACTTAATACGTGAACCTGGCATCTTTACAAACAACATAGAGGGTCCCTACCGTCGCTGGTCTCCTGGGGTGTGGCATCGATGGCCTGCCAGCCACTATACCCTGGGGGAAGATCGGGGCGAGCCATCCACACGTCATTCCAAACGTGAAAGTTCCAAATGGAGTCGAAGTTGGCGTCCTCCATCGGCTTGCCGTCTGAGGTCCAATACATATCGATTGTGATAGTGGCGTCCACGTCGTGGGCGGATGCAAAGTTGGTGACGCTGCGACATGGTATGCCCAGAGCCCTGCATACTGAAATATATTTTCCTTATACTTAACAATCCAAGGCAAGGGATCCAACAAGGAAATAAATTATATAGGCCTACTCGACTGATACCAACACTAGATGAAATAATAAAAAGTGCAATCTCAAAGTATACATTTTCTTTAAAAATAACTCATAACTAATGTTTGTATAAGGAGAATTTGCTTGCCTGGTTCATTGTTAAACATCCCTTAACTAGGGTTTATTAATGTACGGCAACACCATTTCTCGCCATTAAATCACACTTGCAAGGTTTAAATTGGTGTGTAAAATGCACTATAAACCCAAAGAGCATAACGCTACACAGTATGTTTCTTCTTCAATACACTACGTGGACTCTACAGATAAATCGCACTGAGGATGTTAATGCCATTCTGGATTTTCTGAAATAATATAATACACTGTGCGATGAGGAAAGTAAGGTCACGTGAAATCGTGGTTCTAAAATATAGATATTAGTGTTTATGTATATATGTGTGAATGCCAATGACATCAAAGCTTAGGTAACAGAGCGATTTTATCCACACAGTTTCGTCCGCCTCCCAATTTTCTTTCCCATTTTGATGCATGTCGGAGCTAGAAAGGGTAATAACGAATATAATGTGACCCAATTCCTGGCGGTCTTGTATGAAGCTTGTTCAGCATGTGAGTAAAGTATGCTCAGCTGCATGCCTAGAGGGCTAAATGAGTATAAAACACCCGACATTTTCCTAACCACGATATGAAAATATAGACCCTAGCCAAGTTCAAGGTAGATTTAACATATATGTCAGAAAAAATATGACCAGCGCTTCCTCATTTTTAATCAACTATAAATTGCTGGGATACCCTCTTCCCACGCTTTGTGCACTTCAGCACAGGTGCGGCTATTGCATGGACTGCTATCGCTGGCAGATCTTGCTTCTCTCTCTCTCTCTTTTTTTTTTCATAACCTGATACGCCTTGAACTAATAGAAAATTCTATCCCGTACGCGGATCACATTATGAGATAACATGCCTTCCCCTATCTTCATATATTTAAAGTAATGTTAACTGGGATACTATAAGGACCCTATTTGGTTGAAATATTTCAATTAACGGTAATGTGGATAAATATTCTGCACGGAACAGTAGACAAAACACATCTGCACAGTGCAGCATTAACATCACTTTAACAATATTTGTGCAAATTAACATTCTACAATATATACATTAACATTAACGAGAAAAGTATCAACCCAAGTTCAAGTTTCAGTAGGCTCGTGACAATGCTTAAAGACCCATGTGTGGCAGCGCAAATCACGTGTAACCATGTGATAAGACTCACGCGTGGTGACGACCCCGGAGAACACCCAACACTGGCCGAACTTGACGGGCTGCTTCGTCTTCCAGTACTCCTCCAAGATGGCGACGCTCCCCACCCAGGCAGTGGGTGCAGTGCCGCCAGAGTAGTCGCCGGACCAGTTACCCACCAGAATTCCGTCGTCGTCCAGAGAGTTGGTCTGGATGGGACAGCAAACATTTTACTCAAGTTTGGGTATTGAGTATGGTCAATAAAAAAATATATATATTACCATGGGCGTCCGCAGGGGGGGGGTATCAATGGGGTCACTTGATCCCCCTGGAATTTTGGCGGGCACGTTAATTGCGGGTACCCAGCCAATCATTATCTCCCCCTTCAATGACTCTGATCCCCCCACCTAGAAAATTTTCTGCGGACGCCCATGTATATAACTACTGTTAGTGGTAGAATTAGGCCTTATGGGCCAAACCATTCATTTCAACAAGAGTGGCAAAATATAGTGCACAAAATTAAGGGATAGGCCTGCTTGGCCAAATGCAAAATGTCACCCTGCCATTGGTTAGGTAGCTGCCACTCACTAGAGAAACTGGTGAATTTTTTGTTTGTAAATCTAGTAGTTGAGCTAAAATTGAAAGCTGCGTAATTACAACAGTGGCGCTTTTCTATAGTTTCCGATTTTTTTTAAAGTAAGAATATTTTTCAACAGAAATGCGTTTTATGTGATTGCAGTAGGTGATGCTGTGATGTTAAAATGTAAAATTCAACGGAAACTCGTGTTTTGGTAAGATAACGACTGGTACTTACAATTGCACTGATTTTCCTGACGACACCCACGGGGTTGTTTCTGCTTCTGTACGGAAGTTCAGCCTTGTCAAGGACGTAGAACGCACAATCCAGGACGAAGTCTTCAAACTGAAACATGGTCGCATTTAAAACGTAATTTTCATTCTAAAGTTTTTAAAATACGTTCGATTGACGTAAACAAAGCTATCTTTTTACAAAGAAAACAAGCTTTCAAGGTGATGGTTAAATGCACGGCTACAAAAGAGGCGCAGTAGGTATATATATATACCATACTGAAACTGACCTCAAACCATTGCAATCGCTTATAATTAAAGTAGGCGGATTGTCAAAGGGATGTCAATGTTCCATGAAAACGGATTTTAATGGCGTTTCGCCAATTCCACTTTAACGACCAGTGTGACGCATTTAAAATACTGCACAAAAGCGTTTCTATTCATGTAAAGAAACTCAATTCAATTTCGTTTGACATTTTGAATGTCATTCATAAGTGACTGTCATTCTGACCAATGACCCCTACTGGTCCCCACAGCGTATTCAACCATGCTTTTTACAGGTACGCTCGAATTCCAACAGGAAAGTATCTCAGCGTGATAGCAAACAAAGTTTAGCAGCGGGATCCAGATTAATTTCCAAGAATATTTACAAAAGGGTGCCTAGAAAAAAAGTAAATCTTAAAAGTTTCAATTACCTGGCCGAATGTCCAAGGTTTTGACCCGATCTGTTTATAGTTCCCGGCATAAATCTTGCCCATGTCATTTAACACGTATTCCAGGATGAGGGTTTCATCCTCCAGGTAACAGATATCATCTGAAAACACAGTTGAAGTCCATGCTATGTAAACGGCTTTATAGTTATTAATTAATCCAAATACTGGGACCTCAAAACTACAGGATGGGTGTGCAAAATTGACTCGCGGGAAATAGCATAGGAAACATTGGCAAAACTAGTAATAAAAACCCGGAAAATAATAAATGGTATAAGAAAAATGATTCTGTGAAAATAAACAACGAACAAAGATAAAACAGACTTAATACTGCATAAAAAGTCTTGAAAACACATCGGAGATATATCACTAAGTGCAGGGCAAACTTATATCTTCGTGAACTCTCTGAGAAGATTTGAATCAATACCACACGCATTTTTTTCTCTCAGAAAACACGTTCGTATCCAGCAGGTGCAGAGCTCTGGGTCTAGTTTATAACGCGGTGTTTTCTCTGTAGACGCAAGTTTCGGGGCTTTATTGCCGGGAAGCTATTATTAGCACATGAACTCAAGAGGGAGGGCAGCGAAAGATGTTTTATTCCTTTTTTCCTCGCATCTGATACTTTCACCTTTATACTGACGCAATACATCAAAACCTCGACATTACACAAGAGGATTACAAGGTATCCCGAGGCAACGTGTTTAAGATTTATGCAAAGCTGACTTACGTTTAAATGATAAACGGAATTCATAGGTCATCATTATAAAATGTAAAGTAACGCAACATGGCGATGCACTTTTTAGAAAGAAGAATCTACCTTACAGTTACTTTACTGATAATATCAAAAGTGAAATCCCACTGAGAGAACATAGGAATCTGTCCATCTAATCTGGGATCTTGCTATGCACTGCAGAGTTATATCAGTTTTTATAGCTGCTCCGGGAGGGGGAGGGTAGCTAGTGAGCCTGAGATGACAATGGTAGATATTGCCACAAAGAGGTTCTGAAGACTGTAGCTTGGCAGCGCGATAATAACTCCGGAAACCATGTAATATTAGAACCGAAAGCCAAGAGCCAAAGGCGGCGGGGTATGACGAAAATGCATCAATCAGGCGCGCTTGTAGGCTTCACACTCTAGTGTTTTCTGTCTTTGAGAGACAGAAACATAAACAGTTTTTCTTAACATTTCTTAAAAGGACAATTTCCCCACGTTTGGCCTTATTCCCAGAGCAAACCAAGGCCCCGGCTGTTGCCGGTAGGCTACCGGTTTGTTCAAGGCAAAACTTTCGTGCACTCACGAGTGCAGGGTGAATGTGACAGACTTAAATGTGTACTCTAATGCGGACAGCAACATAACAGAAACACACAACAAAGAAGATCGGTGCATTTTATGTTAAGTTGTTAAAAGAAATAAACAAATACCTTAAAATGGGTCTAAATAAATGAGCGAGTGAATCATACGGAACAATCAACAACGAAGCCAATAAAAAAAAAAAAAACATATGAACAAAGTAGAACAAATGTATGAACAAGTCATACAAAATGAATTAATCACTAGGTGAATCAACAGATCAACAAATGAACTAATTAATTATGAGGTAAATGAATAAACGATAATCACCAGGGCACCAGGGGTTGAACAACATGTAGATCGGGTCCTCGTGGACATATCTATACTTCTTCACTTCCTCTTCGGGTTTGCCAGTACCAGCGTCCTTCAGCAACTTAAACTCCAGTTTAAGCGTCCATTTCCCCACGATACAGTTCCCAGGGGTGAAGATTCTCAAGGTGACGTCTTTACCGTTCACCTCTTTGATCATAGCCCCCCATTGGTTCGGCTTGTCCTCGTCAGAGAGGACGATCACCACTGATGTCCCTCGGCTTGGAAGCGGTCTGGGACCTGATAGGTGGAGAGAGATGGAGCAACGATTTCAGTATACTTGACATAATAAGAAAGTATGTGTTATATTTTCCATTTTCAAATTGTAGATTGTGACATCTGAAATATCGTAAGAGTAATATTTAGCATGTTATCAATCACTGGAAACCATTCTTTAAAGTGGCACAAGTTATGTAAACATGAACGAGCGTAATGCCTTACCTCTTGTATTTTGATAAGTGTAAAGCTGTCGTTTTGTCTATTTGAAATTATGCAATTGCATTTTAAATGAATACATGTCCATCGATTGCGTTCTTAGCACTCACCCACTTCAAGTATAATTTTCAAGTCATCTTTTTCTTTTTCGAAAGCTCGATCAAATTTAACCACGATATCGAAAGGTTTTCCACGTCGGATGACTAGATTTGGTTTGATCTTCTTCCCGTCCTCTTCCCGCTCCTCTGTCAGCTCGTACTTGTCCGTGATATGGTCGTAGGTGTTCTGCTTGATGCACAAATCCACATCTTTTACATGAAGAATACGCTTTCCCTTTGGTGGAACTGGAATGGAGTATATAATTGGTTCTGAATCATTACATATAAAATATAGAATGAGTTTGATTTGGAAAAAAGTAGTCGCCCTGCTTATATTGAGATATGCAGCAGTTTCTGTTGTTTCATTAGAGGGTGAAAAGTCATGTCTCTAAATATTGGAAAATCATTCAAGTGTGCTTGTTAATCGTAATTGGTCGGTGGCAATATGTACGAATATGAATAAGAAAAACAAAAGCATTGGCTAGCGAGCTACTAATATACTTTTGGATGCATTTAAGCCGATTCCACTGAATCCTGTTGTCATTCTACTTTTCCATTTTCTGGTATTCTGGGAGTATTCATTCTGATGAGGGCGGAATTTTGTAGCCCTCTTTGAATATCCCGGGCTTCAGACTTTGTCCACGTGGGGGCAAATCATATTAAACACCCAGCCAGGCATACAGGTACGTCTAAAGGCGGCGCGTGTGTAATTATGGCCAACTCATAGTAATGATGAAAGATATATGTAATTTAGAGGTAAGAGCACTAGAGTCAGATACCAAAGCTGAGTGAATGCTAAGTTGCTGGTACTTGTTACTTCATGCCATCACGTTCTGGTGTCTACATACAGCAGGACATTAGACGAGGTGGAGCAATTAAGAAAGACAAGCACCACGCCTGAGCTTCACTATGCGAGGCTCGTTGAAGGTTGTACCGTTTTATACATTTACATACACCTTATACCAGCTGGTTGAGATACTTTTTCTTTCCCAGTATTGTACTTGTGGTGAATGAAGAGTTCTCAGAACAGACATATCTTTCATCATAAATGTTCTTGTTGTCACATTGAAGTGGCTGCCGCAGGTATCTTGCTTATTACCTGGATTTAATGCAGCCCCTCTATCCAAGGCCCAATTTCTGAAGCTGGTGCAACTTGCTCACTCCTTTAATAAGAATAGTTCATCTACGAACTACTTGGCTTCGGTAATTGTTACCTTAGCCTTAACAAATAGTATCTATAAAACTTCAAGATAACGCAGGGCTATGGGTGTTCGTGAGCAAAAGCGGGTGAGCGAGAGAAGTGAACTTCTGTAAGAGGTGTCATATCCATACTGTAATTATGTCTTTGCAGCTTACGTGATTAGATTTCAAGTCATGCTCGAGAATAATAAAACACGCAAGGAATTACTTTTATCTGTCATTTTGGGGGTTTGATGGCAATATATGAAAAGTTGCCTTTTCAGTGTGAAGATATAACCGTGTGTAAAGAAAGAGCCCCCTATTCTGGCCTCACTGATGGTATTTAGGTGTAATGAACTACGAACAAAACATAAGTTTAGTGGAAAAGACTATCTTTACCGCACAACTACACCAAAACAGGTACTGCAAAACTGATACTTAGAGATAAAAACACAGGTAGGCCAGGATAAAAAGCAGAGCAAGACTGAGCCAGACTCGGAACCACAGACGTTAAATCGGGGCCGGTGTTTTATAATGCTGGATTACGATTGGCTATGGCAGAGATATTTTTGTCTTTTTTGTCTTGGTTGACTTTTCTTTTTTTCTTTTTTTTTTTTGGATTAAACTATATCTAATAAATGTATCCTTATGATTATTGTTATTTGAAATTGTAATAGACTCTTTTTGCCTTTACTCAAAATCTCTTCAGACAATGTGAAAGTAAACCCACGACCCTATGAATACACAATTCGTTGAAAATTGCAACAAAAAAAAAAAATAAATAAATAAATAAATAAAAAAAAGCCAAATTATCCAATTTTCTGTGGCATGTGCTGTTTTGGAAGGGCACTAAACATCCTTGGACATTATTTTCTAGTAATGGACCTTGTGTGTTGTAATTAATTCTCCATAATGTTGTTTGCCTGGCACATGGAACATTCTGCTATACAATTTATAGAGTAACGGTGGCTGCCTGCTTGTGTTTTCCACATAGTATGACCACACATTAAGTCAAGTTCATGTTAGGGGCCGCAGAGAGCATCTCGACTGTATTCCTGAAGTTCGTTCCACTCATTCTTTGTTACAGAATCAGTCCAAGAAACAGGTGTAGGGTGATATCTTAAACAAAGATCAGAAACAGGGTGCATTTCAGTCTTAAACAAAGGACTTTCTTATACTTTCATCATTCTTTTTATAAATGTAAATGAAAGCTAAATCCTATCATCTAAAGCCGCGAAGGTCAGCGTATGCGGAGGCGGTAAAGAACATTAAAATTCTTGCTTAACTCGTCTCTGCAGAAACACTTATATACATTAAATATATTTATAGCACAATATGTAACAGTCAAGCCCAATGACTAAACAAAGAACTTTTATCGACCGCATACCTAGATAGTATCATTGGTCGTGCTGTCAAACAGCTGTGGGATTCTGATAGTGACCGGACAGATGTCGCATGTGCTCGTCGACAAAAGAAAAAAACCCAAAAGAGTGCCCTTGTCCCGTACAAGAATCCTGACTTTTACCGGCAGCTTATGTCATTTAATCGTTGGGGTTTTAATCCTGATTCATCATACAATAACCATGAATATCATAAACATTATAATTCTCATTGTCATGGATCTGATGTTTATCACTTATATGTCAGGATGGCACCTGTTAACCGAAAGAGATATCGCCAAACATGTATCTAGGACGCACGAAACCGTTTCGTATGTCCTAGCATGTACGTAGAACAGGTCTTTATGAGCAGAGTCGCCAGTCTTGAAATGAAATACATTAAAGGCGTGAAACACTGTAAAGATTACTTTTTCCTTCTGACATAATGTATTCACTTCGAATTGCATTATTATTCAAAAGTCAAACTTAAAACAGGAACTCGGTTTCAAGTTCACAAAACATTGGATTATAAAGAAACTTTGCTCCTAGCGATACAAACTGGTTTGTGATTCATCAGTAGGGTATGTGTGGGGGACGCAGGCGTTTAAAGAAACAATATATTAAACTTTGAAAGTGCGTGTTTAAAATGTTGTGTCCGCGACTTTCTTGTTCGTTTTCACACCTGGTGATCACACAAGGTGGGCTGCGCTTCTTTTGGTTGACATGATTAATTTCAACCTGATACACTGAAGGTATTTTTAACTGCACCAAAGAACTCTTTTTCAAATACAATTTCCATAGCTTTACGACCTAGGGAATGACATTTACTTAAAGCTATAATTTTTTGGGGAAAAACTCTACTTACAAAAGTACCCCTATTTATCATGTTTATGTTTGCTGTCTGCATTTTGACCGAGTGGCAATATTTGCTGTCAAACACGTCTTCCTCCACCTTTCTCCCAGATCTTTGATCTGGGGGGTGACCAGGTACACTGTGACATTGAGTATTGTATTCTGATGATATAACCAGGAGATGTATTAAGTCAATATGTTATTTACCATGTGATTTGACTTCATATGTTACCCATCTACATCTTTGTGAGACTGTGTATATTTTAGCCAGTTTCTCTGACGTTAGACTCTTCATTTTAATCATTTAACGTGAACTTTCTTCGGTATCAAGAAATCACACAAGAATATTGGATTATAATTTCTAAGAAATACATTGAACCTTGTTTTTCCAGACAATCGTATCTGATGTATATCACGTCTACTCATGTTTTTATTCATCTATTTATTTATTTTTGTACGTCTGGGTCGGGTAATAGGAAAACAGTATAAGGAAACAACTTGACTTTTTTTAACCAGATAAGCTCACACTATTACTGCACACGAAAACTGAATAATTATAAATAAACAAACAATTTCTCAAAAAGATCACAGGCAGACGCAGCAAGTCACAGACCCTTCAAATATAGCGGATAATCTTACCCCAGCCCGCATATATATATCACTGCTATAGCTGCATAAGCAGTGTTTCACGCTTAGCGGGCGGGCGCATGAAAAAGAAAAGAAGAAAAAGTTCACGCTGTATTTGTGCAAAGTTCGCTCTCATTAGCAGAGTTCACTTGGAGTTGGAGAACGTCCAGTTTGAGAGGATATTCTTCAAAGAGTCTTCTGAACTCTGGAAATAGTGTTATATGTTATATGAATAAATGCTTTATGACCTATTAGCACCGTGCAACGAACAACCCTAGCCTTACAAATTTTACCGATTATGATGTACCCGTTTTGTCAAAAAAAAAAAAAAAATAAAAAAAAAAAAAGATTAAGCTTGCAGCGAGTTTGTTAATATGAAGATACCCTGTGACAGGACCCGGTTCAAGGCCGCCAATGAAATACTCCCAAGGAGAGGCCAACTCGGTTATGACGTCATTTTTGAAATTTTGAACAAAAATTCTCGCTGGATAGTACAGAAATGCGTAGCTTGGTTAGACATCATTTATTTATTTATTCATTCATTTATTTATTTTATTCGTGCAAAGGTCCTCGCTGGATAGTAGAGAAATTTGCTCATAATTAGCCAGAGAAATATATGTGAAAATTTAGTGTTAAAAAACCTCTCTGTAGCCCTGGCGAGGATGCTAATGAAAAATTAGCTAAAGCCTATTATCATTATTCGCCGTCAAAATAAACAGAAGCATTTGTAGTGAAGATGTGGCCTTAGGAATGGTGAAATATACTCGTATTGATAATGAATATTATGTTTTATCATTCTTTACCCGGTAAAAGAAGGAGACCGGTTGAATCCTTGACGATAAAGATAATAGCTCGCCCTATAATAAATTTGGTCTATATCCCGCGTTATGTTATTTTTATCATAGCACATAGAAAAGAAACAAAGTGCACACACGTATCACTGCTGAAATTTTATGCCAGATTTTTAATGGCTTTAATGTGGCCATACTAGCCTGATTTTTATGCGACTGACATAATTATAGAATTTAAATGCATTTGAGTAATTGCACAGCCTGCAGTAGCTTCAAGGTTCTTCATGTGACAACTTTAATTGTCACATGTTTTGACTGTGGAGTTCTCATGTGACTCGTTATATCACTATAAACAGAATAACTTATTCAAGGACAAAATGAAGTCAAATTGTTATCAACAATTGAAGGCCTTGCTGGAACTTTCCATCGTGTCCGATTCCTAGTCACGTGGATTGCTGCCTCTTTCATTCCATAAGTTCAAACTTTCCAGTTGTTTATGTCTGTAGCCAAGGCTACAGTCGTCACGATTATTTTTGGGGAGGGAATCCTTAAAAGTTAATTCTTGGCTAGCTCCTGCCAGGCCTATGATAGATGTTCCCATTTTGTCCTTAAACGACTCACATCTGTGATGTTTTTTTTAATAGCTTAATACAGACTATAACAGAAAGGTCATTCTGTTTCTTTTCAATTAACTTCATTTTCTCTTTTATTTGTTAAAGGTTAAATATGTGTCCTCCGTCGAGCGCACTTAAAGTGAGATAGGGGACACATTATTCCGATGAGGGTTAAATGTGGCATCATTACATTATCAAATTACTTCTCTGAGTCATCCTATTAAAATTTATGTGGGAAAGGTAACTAAACACTTTCTTATTATCTGTAATGGGTAGTTGTTATTAACCAATGTGTTTTCCGCTGACATTAAAGTAGAAGAAAATAATTCAAAACAATATGACTTGTTTGTTTAAAATAGAGACATCTGACACCAGTTTTCACCAAAGTTCTGATTTCCTCTCAAACAATTATTTAATGCAGTAATAGGGATTTGGATACATCATTACCAATATGGTGTAAGATATAAGTTAAGAAAAGATTTATATATCTTTAGTAGGACAGATCTTTTGCAACGAAATTCACAAGAGCGCAAAACATATCATTTAGCGTACTGTCCCTACCTTGTAAGTTTCTGTCTTCAGGAGACACTGCACTCTCAGGGTGGGGTTTCAGGCCGGACCTACGTGCGTAGAAATCATCCCTACGAGACCGGTTCACGCCCTCCCCTCGTCCCCGCCGCTCTAGCTCACTCTTCGGTGGAGTCGATACCTCGTAACGAGTATGTTTGCTTTTTAAATTCCCCATCGTTCAATCAGGTATTCAATATTACGTGGTTTGCAGCTTTACTTTAACGTGTATCGACTGAAGGTCCCAATCCCCAACTATTTGCACGTCCCGATGTCCTTGAAAGCGTCACTGTACAGACGACCCGGCAGCAGCACCCCAGTTCGACCCGCTCAACACCTTGGAAAAGACATTTTCTTAGATTCCGTGCTAAAATTGGACGGCTGCTTGGGAGCAAGGATGTAAACCGATCCGCGGATCAGAGTTCAGCATGCGAGAGCTTCATATATTTTGGCCCTGCCCGTCTTTATGAGCTAACCACACTTCAGTCGGTGTGCGTTATGTTGTTGTGATGCGGCCCGCGCTGGTTTTTTGGTCCGGGGATTCAAATTCTGACCCACATAAAAAGACATACCTGTTTAGTTGGAAAAGTTGAGCCGGTTTTAAAAAGCTTGACTGTCAGATGAAACAAAAAGTAATTTCTTGAATCTGATCCAAATGCCAATGCTCTTTTTGTTCCACTGATTTGATTCCTAATAAATTTACCAGATTTTTTATATTTCTAAATTGATGTACTATTTTTAAACGCAGTGCTTAAACTTAATTTGAACCGACGTGTGCTCAGTTTGATTTATGCATTAGAAATTCAAAATTGACATCGACAGTAAAGCTTGTGTTTTATGCTCGGATTGTAGGCCTAGCCATTAGATAAAGACAACAGATTTGAGGTTAACATTAAAATAGATTGGCGGATAAATCCAACATCTAAAAAAAATCTTAAGTTTCTTATTCCTATAATTGACATGTAGGTCAGATTATTATAGGCGTAGAGCGAAGGTAGTAATTAAGAAGCTTCTCTGTCCTGGGTAAATGATTGACAACAGTCTCTCTCTCCCCCCCCTCGATGAGCTCTGCAGTGTTTAATGTGTCAGGTGAGATTGCGATTGTAGCGTGCTGTTGCTGGTTAAGGAGCGTGCGGGATGCTCGCAATGAAGTGGAATGTATTAATTATTATTTTTCATAATGAAGTCAATTTTTTTGAGTACAGAAATGAAAAATACAGAAAGAAATATTAATGCTATGCTAGATGTTTTGTATAGGTTAGAATATATTATATCAGTAAAGTATAACTAAATAATATCAATTATCAGTTATAATTATAAAATTCCCATCATTTAGTAGTAGCCATATTTGACAGCTCATTTGAAGACACAATTTAGACAACTTGTCACTTGCAGCACCATCTCACATTCTCCAATCGTTCTAGTTTATTTCGAGTTGGAAAATCTGCAACTTCTCAGAAAGCGAGTATATAGTGCCTTACGGCTCAGGAAAAGTCTAAAATGTTTATTTTAAATAACTCAATAAATAGCTTGCGTCTACTTTCGCGTTGTCCCCAGGTTTTTAAAAATATGAAAAAGAACAAAAAACAAAACATTCGTTACGTCTTTTGATGCAGGTCATCATTTTTAGTTGTTTGCTGTTTTATTTTATTTGTTAATTTTTTAAAATACTTTTTTTGCAACATTTTAACCATTAATACAGTCTTTAATCAGTGGCAATTTATGAAAAAAAACATAGCAATTGTCCACTCTCGAACTTATTATTATTATTTTTTTTTACTAGCTGAATCATAGTTCTAAACCGTAGGCCTACCAAATGGCACCGTACATTCGCCCTATAAAATGCAAAGTTAAATATTTTACACGCATTTTGAAAAATATTTAGTTGAGGTTGAGGACAAAACTTCTCAGTAAAATAAACGTTCAGCTCGTTATACCCTTTTAGCAGTCTCATAATGACATTTTGTTAGTACCGAGTATTAATAACGTGCAAATATAAAAAGGGTTGTAAATTAAAACTTCCGTGACTACTAGTAAAACAACAAGTGCTGTATGATTTAAACAAGAAAGCTAGCCTACATTTATCACTTTCTGTTACCCGAGATTTATAAAAAGGAGAATTCGCAAATATATCTTAATCCTCATTTTCCAGTTTCCTGTTTTCTTCAAATTACATGCCTGTATGATTGTTTTCAAGAATGAGTGAGCAGCGTTGCGGTGCAGAAACGTCCTTGACCTATTTAGCCTCGAAACCCAATAGTATATTAATTTGGATATCAGAACGCAATGGATAAATATAGAGAACTTTAGAAAACACAAAGAAAAGACATAAATCTCTAATACTCTAGGGAAAACTTACCACACGCTTCATTTTAGGAATGTTATTGAGGTGAGAGGCTATATACTTTACTTCCTTTGAACTGAATAAGAAGACAACACAAGTAAATCGCTTGACATGTCAGTACACGGTGCTGATATTAATACCTTGTTTTTACGACGCATGGAAAAGTAGGTAATACATACAGTGTATGTTGTTGTTGTTTATTACCATGGCCCATAGGAGCCTANTACAGTCTTTAATCAGTGGCAATTTCTGAAAAAAAAACATAGCAATTGTCCACTCTCGAACTTATTATTATTATTTTTTTACTAGCTGAATCATAGTTCTAAACCGTAGGCCTACCAAATGGCACCGTACATTCGCCCCATAAAATGCAAAGTTAAATATTTTACACGCATTTTGAAAAATATTTAGTTGAGGTTGAGGACAAAACTGCTCAGTAAAATAAACGTTCAGCTCGTTATACCCTTTTAGCAGTCTCATTTTGTTAGTACCGAGTATTAATAACGTGCAAATATAAAAAGGGTTGTAAATTAAAACTTCCGTGACTACTAGTAAAACAACAAGTGCTGTATGATTTAAACAAGAAAGCTAGCCTACATTTATCACTTTCTGTTACCCGAGATTTATAAAAAGGAGAATTCGCAAATATATCTTAATCCTCATTTTCCAGTTTCCTGTTTTCTTCAAATTACATGCCTGTATGATTGTTTTCAAGAATGAGTGAGCTGCGTTGCGGTGCAGAAACGTCCTTGACCTATTTAGCCTCGAAACCCAATAGTATATTAATTTGGATATCAGAACGCAATGGATAAATATAGAGAACTTTAGAAAACACAAAGGAAAGACATAAATCTCTAATACTCTAGGGAAAACTTACCACACGCTTCATTTTAGGAATGTTATTGAGGTGAGAGGCTATATACTTTACTTCCTTTGAACTGAATAAGAAGACAACACAAGTAAATCGCTTGACATGTCAGTACACGGTGCTGATATTAATACCTTGTTTTTACGACGCATGGAAAAGTAGGTAATACATACAGTGTATGTTGTTGTTGTTTATAGATATCAGCATAGATGGTTTTTGTAAAAGTTTTTCTCGAGGTCTTGCGGTAGGCCTAATGTTGAGTAGTGCTGGCACCGTTGCATAATAATATTAACGTGACTGCCAACATACAGTAATGGTGGCAGCTATTTGTACATAAATGCAGTTTGTCGCCCAAAATAACAAGTCTTAGGTATTGATTGTTTTGCTAAAACTCAGTTATGTGATAAATGTCACCACATGATAACAGAATTTAAGGGGAAAACATCTTAAATCCAAGACAAACTTGTATTAAATTTGGGGGGTGGGGGTGGGGGGGGGGGTGGAGACATATATACATTGTAGCACAAAATTCATACATTGGGTCTCCAATTTTAGTTTCTGATATGTACTTTCTGTGGTCAGGCATGGAAGCAAGCAGCCCCAAAAGTGTAAAATTATGACCAGCTTGCGTATCCACCACGGGGAGCTCTCAAATCTTGCTGACCCTATTCCCATAGACACCATATTGGTTTATACATGATTGACAAAACCTGGGACTCTCACTGTGCAGTCAGCTAAATGGTATGATGCCTACTTGAGCAGCTAAGATGTAGTTAATTTTCGTGTGTGCTCAGCTCCTGGGAGCCCTTTCACTTTGTTTTGAATATGACTAGTGTTTCTGGGTAGCTTATAATTCCGGAATTCAAGCCCACACAAAAGTTAATAACCCCCTAGCAGCTTGGGGAGGCAGGTAAGCTGATTGCACTCAGCGAAAGTCCCTGCAGAGTTGGATGTAGACCAGTGGTGATTATGGGAATGGGGGCCTTTCTTACCTCTCATCTCCTCAACTCACTCTCTTAAGTCAACCCGTTTTCCTTTCGACAGAGCCATGAGTAAGGTAAGGTCCATCTGCTTGTCTACCAGTTAGGCTGCTGTGAAATTGAACACATACTTTAAGGGGTAATGACAACAACAAACATACTTCTAAATGTGAGAAATACCTCAGTTTACCTCCTGGAAACAAACTCTGGAATAGTGACGTTGGCCATGCAACTTCTTTTGTACACCATGCTATGCAGAAGGCTACTTCTTGGAGACAAAAAATGTGTGGCATTATTTGACCTACCTACCTCTCACAATCAGAAGTTCGTTATTGTTTTTCTTTTGTGGTTGTTTTAAAGTTAAATTTCACAACAGCCTAACTGGTTGTTTTATATCATGTATAATATAGACTATTTTGTTTCTAGTGCCAAGTCACAAGATGCTATGGTTTGGATTTGCAAGGTACCAACATATTATACTTCGTATAAATGTTTAATTGAGAGTTTTATCAATTTTTTAGTTCTGAATTTAGCAAGGACAAGAAGCTTTATGGGATCAAAATACGACTTGAACATTTTCAAACACAGGAGGGATATCTTTAAGAAATGTTATCTAGATCAGTCAAATTTATTATATTTAAATATCCTTAAATCTGTTATGACCTTCCCAAAATCCCATATAGAAAGTTTCAATATAGAAGTGAAGTAAAATTGCCTGCAAGGAGTGTTTATTTCGTTTCCTTTAAGGAGAGCTGGAAATTAAATCATTGCACAATTTTATCCATATTACAGGAAGGTGACATTTCTGATTTGAGTTTTTTGTTATGCAGACACAGGTAATTTAAAAAAAATTGATTTACTTGTAGATTTCTTGGTTTTTGTGTCACAGTTTCTGTCTTTGGGACTGCTAATATAGTACAAGGGGGAGGGGGGGTCATATAACTGCAAGTTACTTTTTATGTTGCTCACCCTTACTTATTTGCCACCTTAATCCATAACCCAGCAAAAATAGATGACCCACCCATAATAGCCAATGGTTGACTTTCCTGAGAATATGCAATGACATACATGGATATAAAAGCAAAATCCAAGAAACAAAGCCCAGTGTGAGGAAAAAATTGTACAAGAGTACTAGTACTCTTCTTAATAGGAACAGGAAACGATGCGCTTATGCTGACCAGAGGTACCATATTTCACAGAAAATACACTAATACAATAAAATATAATCTACGTCAAGGATGTGAGAAAAATTGTTAACTAGTGTTTCTCATACTTAAAAAAAACTTCATATTTTATTGTCAGGCATGTGTGCTCAGTGCCTGTGGACTTCAAAAACGAGCGCATTCTCATCGAATTAAGCCAGGCTTTACAAAGCCGGTGACCTAAAAATGGCGGACGTACATGAAAGAAAAACCGCCTAATCTTTTAATAGTCTCTCCGCCTCTCACACGCCTCCCCACACGTCGTCCCTGCGGGGTACAGTAATTAAATCTCGGCTCCGAACATTAATATTTCCGTGAATATCTCTGGTGATATTATCTCCGTAGATAGTCGATTCATTGCTGCTCTACGGGCCAAATTATTCCTTTTTCGTCTCTGTTTTCAAAGATAATAGAACAGAAGAGCTTTTTTCCTTCGATCGCCTTCAGCCGCCATGCTTTCTTCACCACGAGTTTAACTGATGAGCATGCGCACTTAATATTTCTCAGGTAGCTTCCGCATGGTGAATGGAGCCGAGATTTAATTACTGTACCCCGCAGGGACGACGTGTGGGGAGGCGGAGAGACTATTAAAAGATTAGGCGGTTTTTCTTTCATGTACGTCCGCCATTTTTAGGTCACCGGCTTTGTAAAGCCTGGCTTAATTCGTTGAGAATGCGCTCAACGGTTGTTTCATCGACACAAACTACAACCATTCAGCATTTACTTGGAAGCTTGGAAAATAAAATTGATAAAATATCGTGTGGAACCAAAAAGTCAAACACCTAGTTGGCACAAACAAAATTTGCTGTAAACATTATAAAATAATTAAAATATGTGCCAATCGGTGTTAAAATCTCTAATAGATGCCTAAATGGCTCCTGAGAATAACAAAACTTTATGGTGTTACAGATACGATTTTGTGGACATACATTTTGGAAGTGCTCACCTTTTCTTCTAGTGTGCACCATGCTTTGATGATATTCTGCAAACCATTTTGGGTAAATTATATGGCATGACGTTGAATTTTTTTTTCTCTTTCAATAATTGCATAGAAATAATACTATTTGAAGCTACCATATAGACCTGGTGATGATCATAACTTTTGGGTCTTCTGTGCTTTAACTGTTCCCTTATATTTTTAGCAAATTTCTCATACATAAATACTGTTTTTTTAAACCATTTTCACATCTAGTAAAAGACTGAAACTTAAAGGTCATAATCACTGATTGAAAAAGTATCCTGTTAGTTGAGAAAACCTGCAAAAAAAAAATTGGATTGTAAGGTCAACCAGTGTGACTTACTTCCATTCCTAATAAATTGTACATCATTTGAATTTCTTCCTCTTTTTTAGAGCATTTAAGTCATATTTTGACATTGTTTTATGTGTATTTATCCCTTTGGGGTATCTTTTATTATGAAAGATTCAGAGACAAGGGGAAAAATGACATAAAAAAAGAGGCAGGTATATGTCCAGGCACCTTTGGCTATGGGTTATATCTATATTTCTGCAGTATAAATGATTTCCTTTTCCTTTCAAAGAATCAACTTGACAAAACAATGAAACTTATCACCTTTGATGTAGGTGACATATATTTCTAAAAGGCATTTACATCAGTGATGTGTCTATGAGTATTAAAGCAAGCTTAAGAGATGTGAGAGATTTCTAATTCATTTGGAATTTTTGAAAGCAGGGTAGCAAATGCAGAAAACCAGCCTGGTTGAACTCTTTTTCTTGAAGTTGTTCAATTTTCATTTTTCACTCACTGGCAATTTTTAAGTGTGGCTTAAATCTCCCATGGGCCTGAACCCTGTGCTACTTACATTTTCTGTATGTTCACATAAATAGCAAAGCAATTGAAAATTGGTGGTGATTCTGCTGAAAAATCTTATGTTATATTGCATCAGAATTCACAAAAATCCTATTAAGTGCACTGTCATCATTATTTTTTCTGTATATTTGAGATGTTTGCCATCTTACCACAGAGAATGGGTAAGATTTGTTATTTGCATGGTACAGAAACAGCCATAAAATTGGTCTGAGTTGTTTCTCACTCAGAAGAATGGAATCCTATTCCACCATTTTACATGTAAAGTATACTTTCTGGTGTCTCTATCCTGACCAAATTAATAATGCCTTTTTCTGACAAATCACAAGCTGTTGACTAAATATAGAATTAATGAACATGCAACCACTGTAGGTATTACAGAACTGATATTGACAGTTAGCTGTATTGAGGATTAGTGTTGCTCTTCATTAACACGGATTCCGCAGTCATGTACAGCTAGCAATACATAGATTTTTATCCATTTGTAATCCGATTGTCCATATAATTAACAGAATAAAAAAAGTGTGAACTTAATGATCAAAATATATTTCATTGAGCATATGAACCAGTGAGATTTTGTTGCAGTTCTGTAGATCGTGGGTGATTTATCCTAGTTGTGCTTCCAGCTGGTAAATCCTACATTCAGGTATTGGCAGTAAGGCAATAGATTTAAGGTTTTATCTAAAATATATTGTTTTCAAACATATTATTTTATTAGATGCCAAAATGTGAAGAGTTACACAATTGAATGTATTTATTCCCAGGATCAGCCATGTGTTTTACATCTTTATTGCAGTATTTAAGTACTTGTATGTATCAATACCTGTGTCTTGCAAAGATTTACAATTAGCACTTTATATAAAAGTGATTCATTTGGGGTTTCAGTGTATGATTTTGCTACTTTTCTCATGACATGTTCAGGGTTTGACAGAAGCTGTCTTCTGAGTCTTCTGGAAAACGGTCAGAAGTTTACATTGATGGGCATGGAATTTTTTCTGTGAGAAGACAGTGAAAAATTGAGGATGGTTCAACAAAGATAATTTGGAAGACTGCCAGAAAATATCTCTGGATCCGCCCCTTAGGTTTATATGATAGCATTCAGCATGAGTCCCTGAGTTGTAAGAGCACAGTTGCTTTTGTGACCTAACTCGTTCTGTATGGTCCCACACACTGGCTGTTGTGTCGTCAAATAAAGAAAGATCTATAGAAAACGGGTGTGAGATAAGTTTGTGTCAAGGCATTAGCCAGGCAACAGTCCAATTGTCTTTTGGACTCCCTATTTTTGTTTTGAACAGCCTTTTTTTTTTATAATTATTAGCAGATACATGTATAGCCTAGATGTCCTCTCTCAGAAAGAAAATAATTTTTGGACTCCCTTATTTTTAAATCTGGCTAAACCCCTCGTTTATACAATATTGAAATAGTATGTAATAGTTTTTCATTAAATTATTTTTTATTTATCATTATTATCAGAGTTGCATCATTAACATTTATCCTCAACTAGAGTAATGCGATAACTGATACCATGTTTGCCCTGCTTGGTAGAAAAGCTGCATATAGACAAGTGGCTGTTTTCCGTGGGCTCAAAGAAAGAGATGTACCATTGAGGCATGTCTGCTAGGATGAACTCCACCAGTATTCAGCAGTCTGTGGATGCCAGTGTGACAGCTGGATTTTCCTCAAAGTATGGTCTGCAAGAGACATGGGTGCAAACAGATTTGTCTTTGCATACACAGGACCTAGATCTTTTAGAACTGATTTACTTGTTAAAGACATCCAATATATTGGAGCTGAGGCCAGTAACTGGAGAGTGTCCTTTATGTGGCTATGTGAAGGCACCATGCAAAGATGGAGTACCAGGATATAGCAAGCAAAAGAATGGCCGGCAAAATCTTATCGAAGGTTTCTCTAACAAGCCAATTCTAAACAATGGAAATAATGAGTGTTGGAAACAGATACAGACTATGTCAAAGAAAACTGAAAGAGTCCAATTGAAAACTGCAGACCTGAGGAAAAGAAGACCTGAGAAAGAAATACCTCCAGCTGACCATCATAGTGCATGTGAAAATGACAGTTTAACTACAGGTAGTACATGAAAATTCTAAAATTAGAGGTATATAGATTAACAATAAGTAAAATATCAAAGTTTTGATTCATCCATTTGAAGTTTGAAATGATTAAATAATGGCACTTAAGTCCTGTACTGGACACAAACATGCAGATGCTATGAGTCCTGGTGGCCTTTCCATTTGTCAGTTGACATCAATGACAATGCATTAGCTAGGTTCTCTGAGGAAGTCACTGGGATCTGGAAAAATATAGGAGCTCATCCATCTGTACATGAGTGTCCAGTATGTGATTTAATTTCTATTCCTAAATATAGTTTAAAGGACTGAAAAGTCCTTTGTGCCTTTCTGTTCATATTGCTCTTATGATTAGCTTCAATGTTTAATGAAAAAAGGAGCAAAGAGGGAAGGTTGTTTTAATTTGAAATTATAAAATTTTGAATCTTTAAAGGTTGGATACAAGAGTACTGTAATTCTATTTTACAGATGACAAGTTAAGCAACCAAAACACTGTATCTACTCATTCTCCAAGGTTGGCAAGTCTCAACAAAAGAAAATCAGAAGATGTAAAGACAAAAATGCATAATCACCCAAATGTAAAGCATCAATGCAACCAAAATTTGAGCAAGACCTTACCAGTAGACAGCAATAAAGATGTTCGTATTAGCACAGATAGTTCAGATCATGTCCGCTCGCGTTCTCAACAGCATGCAGTTTTTCCAAGCACAGAAGCATCTTATGCCCCGTCTTCAGGGCACTATTATTCAGACTCACATCATTTTGTTGACAATGCTGGAATTTATAGTGCTGTCTCTTTTGAAGATACAAATACAAATCTTTTGACCTGGCATAAAGATCGAACTTTGAACTCTGAGGAAACTTCTTGTATGCCAATCGGAAGCCATCTTGCTTCTGATGATTCATCATTCCAGTTCTTGCAGTACTCACCTCTAAACACTGACAGGGTCCCCATGGTTAGCAGTGGCTTTTATGATAACCAAAAATCTCTTTTTCCAAGATCCACCTCACAACATGAGATTTTCTCAAGACAAAATACAAGGTCAAATGAACTAATATATCAAGAAACTAATACAAGAATTTCTAAACGGGAAGACTCAAAAAAGCTATTAAGTGGAGCTTTTGAACTTAGTGATAGCTCAAGTTTCACTTGCAGTGAAGATGATAGTAAAATGGACAGTTGCAATTCATCTTGTCTCCAGAAGTTCTCTTCTNAGTTTATAGATATCAGCATAGATGGTTTTTGTAAAAGTTTTTCTCGAGGTCTTGCGGTAGGCCTTATGTTGAGTATGTGCTGGCACCGTTGCATAATAATATTAACGTGACTGCCAACATACAGTAATGGTGGCAGCTATTTGTACATAAATGCAGTTTGTCGCCCAAAATAACAAGTCTTAGGTATTGATTGTTTTGCTAAAACTCAGTTATGTGATAAATGACACCACATGATAACAGAATTTAAGGGGAAAACATCTTAAATCCAAGACAAACTTGTATTAAATTTGGGGAATGGGGGTGGGGGGGGGGGAGACATATATACATTGTAGCACAAAATTCATACATTTGGTCTCCAATTTTAGTTTCTGATTTGTACTTTCTGTGGTCAGGCATGGAAGCAAGCAGCCCCAAAAGTGTAAAATTATGACCAGCTTGCGTATCCACCACGGGGGAGCTCTCAAATCTTGCTGACCCTATTCCCATAGACACCATATTGGTTTATACATGATTGACAAAACCTGGGACTCTCACTGTGCAGTCAGCTAAATGGTATGATGCCTACTTGAGCAGCTAAGATGTAGTTAATTTTCGTGTGTGCTCAGCTCCTGGGAGCCCTTTCACTTTGTTTTGAATACGACCAGTGTTTCCGGGTAGCTTATAATTCCGGAATTCCGTGACTATGGGAATGGGGGCCTTTCTTACCTCTCATCTCCTCAACTCACTCTCTTAAGTCAACCCCTTTTCCTTTCGACAGAGCCATGAGTAAGGTAAGGTCCATCTGCTTGTCTACCAGTTAGGCTGCTGTGAAATTGAACACATACTTTTGAGGGATAATGACAACAACAAACATACTTCTAAATGCGAGAAATACCTCAGTTTACCACCTGGAAACAAACTCTGGAATAGTGACGTTGGCCATGCAACTTCATTTGTACACCTTGCTATGCAGAAGGCTACTTCTTGGAGACAAAAAATGTGTGGCATTATTTGACCTACCTACCTCTCACAATCAGAAGTTCGTTATTGGTTTTCTTTTGTGGTTGTTTTAATGTTAAATTTCACAACAGCCTAACTGGTTGTTTTATATCATGTATAATATAGACTATTTTGTTTCTAGTGCCAAGTCACAAGATGTCATGGTTTGGATTTGCAAGGTACCAACATATTATATTTCGTATAAATGTTTAATTGAGAGTTTTATCAATCTTTTAGTTCTGAATTTAGCAAGGACAAGAAGCTTTATGGGATCAAAATACGACTTGGGCATTTTCAAACACAGGAGGGATACCTTTAAGAAATGTCATCTAGATCAGTCAGATTTATTATATTTAAATATCCTTAAATCTGTTATGACCTTCCCAAAATCCCATATAGAAAGTTTCCATATAGAAGTGAAATAAAATTGCCTGCAAGGAGTGTTTATTTCGTTTCCTTTAAGGAGAGCTGGAAATTAAATCATTGCACAATTTTATCCATATTACAGGAAGGTGACATTTCTGATTTGAGTTTTTTGTTATGCAGACACAGGTAATTTAAAAAAAATTGATTTACTTGTAGATTTCTTGGTTTTTGTGTCACATTTTCTGTCTTTGGGACTGCTAATATAGTACAAGGGGGAGGGGGGTCATATAACTGCAAGTTACTTTCTATGTTGCCCACACTTACTTATTTGCCACCTTAATCCATAACCCAACCTATTTGCAAGAGCAAAAATAGATGACCCACCCCCAAAAGCTAATGGTTGACTTTTCCTGAGAATATGCAATGAAATACATGTATATAAAAGCAAAATCCAAGAAACAAAGCCCAGTGTGAGGAAAAAATTGTACAAGAGTACTAGTACTCTTCTTAATAGGAACAGGAAACGATGGGGGTATGCTGACCAGAGGTACCATATTTCACAGAAAATACACTAATACAATAAAATATAATCTACGTCAAGGATGTGAGAAAAATTGTTAACTAGTGTTTCTCATACTTAAAAAAAACTTCATATTGTATTGTCAGGCATGTGTGCTCAGTGCCTGTGGACTTCAAAAACGGTTGTTTCATCGACACAAACTACAACCATTCAGCATTAACTTGGAAGCTTGGAAAATAAAATTGATAAAATATTGTGTGGAACCAAAAAGTCAAACACCAAGTTGGCACAAACAAAATTTGCTGTAAACATTTTAAAATAATTAAAATATGTGCCAATCGGTGTTAAAATCTCTAATAGATGCCTAAATGGCTCCCGAGAATAACAAAACTTCATGGTGTTACAGATACGATTTTGTGGACATACATTTCGGAAGTGCTCACCTTTTCTTCTAGTGTGCACCATGCTTTGATGATATTCTGAAAACCATTTTGGGTAAAATATAAGTTTTGATTCAGTGAAATAAAACAGAAATCATGTGGTATATGTGTTGATTTTACAAAAAAAAAGGGTGTTACATTTTGTGGGTCTTGCAAATCAGGCATGATGTTGAATTTTTTTTTCTCTTTCAATAATTGCATAGAAATAATACTATTTGAAGCTACCATATAGACCTGGTGATGATCATAACCTTTGGGTCTTCTGTGCTTTAACTGTTCCCTTATATTTTTAGCAAATTTCTCATACATGAATACTGTTTTTTTTTAAACCATTTTCAATTCTAGTAAAAGACTGAAACTTAAAGGTCATAATCACTGATTGAAAAAGTATCCTGTTAGTTGAGAAAACCTGCAAAAAAAAAAAAAAAAAAAAAAAAAAATTGGATTGTAAGGAAAGGTCAACCAGTGTGACTTATTTCCATGCCTAATAAATTGTACATCATTTGAATTTCTTCCTCTTTTTTAGAGCATTTAAGTCATATTTTGACAGTGTTTTATGTGTATTTATCCCTTTGGGGTATCTTTTCAGAGAAAAAAAAATCTGTATTATGAAAGATTCAGAGACAAGGGGAAAATGACATAAAAAAAGAGGCAGGTTTATGTCCAGGCACCTTTGGCTATGGGTTATATCTATATTTCTGCAGTATAAATGATTTCCTTTTCCTTTCAAAGAATCAACTTGACAAAACAATGAAACTTATCACCTTTGATGTAGGTGACATATATTTCTTAAAGGCATTTACATCAGTGATGTGTCTATGAGTATTATAGCAAGAGATGTGAGAGATTTCTAATCCATTTGGAATTTATGAAAGCAGGGTAGCAAATGCAGAAAACCAGCCTGGTTGAACTCTTTTTCTTGAAATTGGTCAATTTTCATTTTTCACTCACAGGCAATTTCTAAGTGTGTCTTAAATCTCTCATGGGCCTGAACCCTGTGCTACTTACATTTTCTGTATGTTCACATAAATAGCAAAGAAATTGAAAATTGGTGGTGATTCTGCTGAAAAATGTTATGTTATATTGCATCAGAATTCACAAAAATCCTATTAAGTGCTCTGTCATCATTATTTTTTCTGTATATTTGAGATGTTTGCCACCTTGTTAAACACAGAGAATGGGTAAGATTTGTTATTTGCATGGTACAGAAACAGCCATAAAATTGGTCTGAGTTGTTTCCCACTCAGAAGAATGGAATCCTATTCCACCATTTTACATGTAAAGTACTCTTTCTGGTGTCTCTATCCTGACCAAATTAATAATGCCTTTTATGACAAATCACACGCTGTTGACTAAATATAGAATTAATGAACATGCAACCACTGTAGGTATTACAGAACTGATATTGACAGTTAGCTGTATTGAGGATTAGTGTTGCTCTTCATTAACACGGATTCCGCAGTTATGTACAGCTAGCAATACATAGATTTTTATCCATTTGTAATCCGATTGTCCATATAATTAACAGAATAAAAAAAGTGTGAACTTACTGATCAAAATATATTTCATTGAGCATATGAACCACTGAGATTTTGTTGCAGTTCTGTAGATCGTGGGTGATTTATCCTAGTTGTGCTTCCAGCTGGTAAATCCTACATTCAGGTATTGGCAGTAAGGCAATAGATTTAAGGTTTTATCTAAAATATATTGTTTTCAAATATATTGTTTTATTAGGTGCAAAAATGTGAAGAGTTACACAATTGAATGTATTTATTCCCAGGATCAGCCATGTGTGTTACATCTTTATTGCAGTATTTAAGTACTTGTATGTATCAATACCTGTGTTTTGCAAAGATTTACAATAAGCACTTTATATAAAAGTGATTCATTTGGGGTTTCAGTGTATAATTTTGCTACTTTTCTCATGGCATGTTCAGGGTTGGACAGAAGCTGTCTTCTGAGTCTTCTGGAAAACGGTCAGAAGTTTACATTGATGGGCATGGGATTTTTTCTGTGAGAAGACAGTGAAAAATTGAGGATGGTTCAACAAAGATAATTTGGAAGACTGCCAGAAAATATCTCTGGATCCGCCCCTTAGGTTTATATGATAGCATTCAGCATGAGTCCCTGAGTTGTAAGAGCACAGTAGCTTTTGTGACCTAACTCGTTCTGTGGGGTCCCACACACTGGCTGTTGTATCGTCAAATAAAGAAAGATCTATAGAAAACAGGTGTGAGATAAGTTTGTGTCAAGGCATTAGCCAGGCAACAGTCCAATTGTCTTTTGGACTCCCTATTTTTGTTTTGAACAGCCCTTTTTTTATAATCATTAGCAGATACATGTATAGCCTAGATGTCCTCTCTCAGAGAGAAAAAAATTTTTGGACTCCCTTATTTTTAAATCTGGCTAAACCCCTTGTTTATACTATATTGAAATAGTATGTAATAGTTTTTCATTACGGAAATTATTTTTTATTTATCATTATTATCAGAGTTGCATCATTTACATTTATCCTCAACTAGAGTAATGTGATAACTGATACCATGTTTGCCCTACTTGGTAGAAAAGCTGCAAATAGACAAGTGGCTGTTCTCCGTGGGCTCCAAGAAAGAGATGTACCATTGAGGCATGTCTGCTAGGATGAACTCCACCAGTATTCAGCAGTCTGTGGATGCCAGTGTGACAGCTGGATTTTCCTCAAAGTATGGTCTGCAAGAGACATGGGTGCAAACAGATTTGTCTTTGCATACACGGGACCTAGATCTTTTAGAACTGATTTACTTGTTAAAGACATCCAATATATTGGAGCTGAGGCCAGTAACTGGAGAGTGTCCTTTATGTGGCTATGTGAAGGCACCATGCAAAGATGGAGTACCAGGATATAGCAAGCTAAAGAATGGCCGGCAAAATCTTATCGAAGGTTTCTCTAACAAGCCAATTCTAAACAATGGAAATAATGAGTGTTGGAAACAGATACAGACTATGTCAAAGGAAACTGAAAGAGTCCAATTGAAAACTGCAGACCTGAGGAAAAGAAGACCTGAGAAAGAAATACCTCCAGCTGACCATCATAGTGCACGTGAAAATGACAGTTTAACTACAGGTAGTACATGAAATTCTGAAATTACAGGTATATAGACTAACAATAAGTAAAATATCAAAGTTTTGATTCATCCATTTGAAGTTTGAAATGATTAAATAATGGCAGTTTAGTCCTGTACTGGACACAAACATGCAGATGCTATGAGTCCTGGTGGCCTTTCCATTTGTCAGTTGACATCAATGACAATGCATTAGCTAGGTTCTCTGAGAAAGTCACTGGGATGTGGAAAAAATACAGGAGCTCATCCATCTGTACATGAGTGTCCAGTATGTGATTTAATTTCTATTCCTAAATATAGTGTAAGGGACTGAAAAGTCCTTTGTGCCGTTTTGTTCATATTGCTCTTATGATTAGCTTCAATGTTTAATGAAAAAAGGAGCAAAGAGGGAAGGTTGTTTTAATTTGAAATTATAAAATTTTGAAAACTATCTTCAAAGGTTGGATACAAAAGTACTGTAATTCTATTTTACAGATGACAACTTAAGCAACCAAAACACTGTATCTACTCATTCTCCAAGGTTGGCAAGTCTCAACAAAAGAAAATCAGAAGATGTAAAGACAAAAATGCATAATCACCCAAATGTGAAGCATCAATGCAACCAAAATTTGAGCAAGACCTTACCAGTAGACAGCAATAAAGATGTTCATATTAGCACAGCTAGTTCAGATCATGTCCGCTCGCGTTCTCAACAGCATGCAGTTTTTCCAAGCACAGAAGCATCTTATGCCCCGTCTTCAGGCCACTATTATTCAGACTCACATCATTTTGTTCACAATGCTGGAATTTATAGTGCTGTCTCTTTTGAAGATTCAAATACAAATCTTTTGACCTGGCATAAAGATCGAACTTTGAACTCTGAGGAAACTTCTTGTATGCCAATCGGAAGCCATCTTGCTTCTGATGATTCATCATTCCAGTTCTTGCAGTACTCACCTCTAAACACTGACAGGGTCCCGATGGTTAGCAGTGGCTTTTATGATAACCAAAAATCTCTTTTTCCAAGATCCACCTCACAACATGAGATTTTCTCAAGACAAAATGCAAGGTCAAATGAACTAATATATCAAGAAACTAATACAAAAATTTCTAAACTGGAAGACTCAAAAAAGCTATTAAGTGGAGCTTATGAACTTAGTGATAGCTCAAGTTTCACTTGCAGTGAAGATGATAGTAAAATGGACAGTTGCAATTCATCTTGTCTCCAGAAGTTCTCTTCCTCATCAAGGGAGAGGTTGTCTTTGGACCCATATAGGGTTGTAAGTTGCAATACAGAAAATGCCAAGGCAGAGCAGGGCAGGGAAAGAAAGCATTGCCAAGTCTGCGGGGACCTGTCATCTGGATTCTATTGTGGAGCTTTTGTTTGTGAAGCATGCAAGGTGAGATTTTTTTCACATACAAAGTACAGTGTTATATGTGTGTTTCCATAGCCAATTTTGTATTCAAGGTGTACTGAAGGATATTGTACATGTCATCAACATTCATAAAAAGAGGTAGTAATGGTAGTGATGTTTGGATTTTTTTTTTCACTATTTCAGAAGTTCTATTTGCGTAGTCTTAAACAGAATTCCAAGAAATATTCTTGTCTAAAGAAAGGCCAGTGCCAGGTTTCCAAAGAAACGAGGACAGTTTGCCAATACTGTCGTTTCAGGAAGTGCATTGCAATAGGCATGACTAAACATGGTAAAAAATTTTTAATTTGTTATATTTTGAAATTTTCTCTTATTAGGTGTTATATGATTTTATATAATGCTCTTTGCTTATGATAAGTTTTAGAAAAAGTATGGTTACTTGCCCCACACTACTAAAGTAAAAGTATTGGACACATCCACGCATGCACACACACATCTAACATAAACCTGAATGGTTTTCCTAGGCTCCTCCTCAGGAAATGAAGCAGACATATCCAACATTCCGTGCCGTGTGTGTGGGGCACCTTCATCAGGATTTCACTTTGGAGCTGTCACCTGTGAAGGATGTAAAGTGAGTATTGTAAAAAATACTTAATTTATTTGGGAGAAAGTTATACATCAATGATATAGCTATTGCCTGAATCTGTCCAAGTCTTTGCTGATAGCCCCATCTACTTTCTTCTTTCAAGGATGTAAAAACAGTCAAATTTGAGCAGTAAGAGGCCAACTTGGCAGATTAAGTGTCCGCTTTATACAAAGACCCAAAGCATATCATTCCAAAGCTCTTTCTCCCCAATTTAGTTAACTTTGATATGGAAATGGAACGTTTTTATACAATCTTTATACAAAATTCCAGATGGCCTTTGCGGATTTTGTCAGTTTTCATGGGTTTATTACTACTTGCTACTTGGGGCTAATATGACAAAGAGATCCTGAACTTTGCCTTCAAATTATGCATGATATGGGTGTGTGTAAAGAAGGGACATAAACTCTTTTTAAGTGAAGCATGTAGGGGGAAGGGGTTGAGTAATGATTTCTGAGCAGGAAATAATTGCCCTTTTCTTGACATAAATTTATTTTGGCAGATAAATTCATGGAGAGGGCCTTTAACATCGAGTCATCTGTATTGCAAAGTAATTCTTAAGTAAGACTGCTGTTGGAGAAAGTTGTTCTTTATTTTACTGGAAATCCAAACATCACTCATAAGTGAAATTGAAGTGCCAGGAATTTGCTTTCAGCACTTCATAGAAGGAATTCCCGTACATAGAATACATTTGTAGATTCTTTCTTCTTTCAGGGCTTTTTTAGGCGAACAGTACGTGAGAGAGACAACTACTACTCTTGTAGCAAACGTCAGCAGTGTTCCATCACAGAAACAACAAGAAACATCTGCAAATACTGTCGTTATAAAAAGTGTCTTAGTGTTGGCATGAAAGTTGATGGTAAGTTTTCAAAAAGATGATATTTTTCCATTTTATCATATAAAGAGACTGTATGTGTGGCGATAGCAGGTATAATTTTTATGGTGGTCTTTGAGATCAGCCGTCCATCGGAAACAAACCAATGACATGGTGCACTGGGGACAAACACTCTTCTAGTAGAGCCATCTGGGCAGTATAATTACCAGTTAAAGTAATAATGTGCCTGTTGTAGTTACCAGGTTAATCTATACTCAAGTGGAAAAAAAAAAGATGACTATAATACAGACTGAAGACGAGGTCTTCCTGCATGTTCCAGGTAGTAGAATTGGTCGTCAACCAAATGCATTTAAGCATGCAGCAATGTTAGAACTGAAGCAGATGCATCATGCAGTAGACCACCAGAGTCTGAAACCACCCTCGCATCCGTCCCCAGTGCCTGTCAGCACAACATCACTGGAGCAAACTACATCTGTGTCACTGGCGCCATCTACATCATCTGCTACAACAGCTGTTCTAGACAAGGAACCTAAGGAAGGTGATGTAGAACCAGTGGCACCGAAGGAAGATCTAGCATCTTTGCTAATCAAGGAACCCCAGGAAGATGAAGAGGAACCAGTTGTGATTGAAGATTCTGCCTTAGAGGAATTGGTTCAAGTTTTGAGTGAGGCTTTTGAAGAACTGAAGAGGTTGCAAAGAAATGAATTAGTGAGTTTCTCAGTTGTGTTTATTGTTGCATTGTACAGATCTAGAGCTTCTTAAGGTGTATTTCTGTAAACTGTGATAGTTTTACTTATTGTAAACATAATTTCCAACCATAGATACTCAATGCCTTCCTTATGTCTGCTCCTGTTGAGGCTGCTGTTGTAATTAGAAGAAATAGCTTCCCTTCCTGGATTACCGAAAACATTAAATTAAGTTGACAAAGATAATTTAATTCTAAGGCTTTCTATGATTTATAGCTGAGGGGTAAATCTAGTGTGCAATTATTAAGCATTTGTTGTGAAGTTTAATGTAGAAATCCTATTTAAGTTATTATTGCTATTCATAGTCACTAGAGACCTAATGACGTGCCTGCTCAGCTCTAGATTCATATCCACAAGGTGGTTATGCCCCTTATTCCTCTACTGTATCTTACCATTGATCTCTTACTATGATTAGTTAAATGTTTGACACCAAATGAATGGTTACTCACTGTGAAATCACACGACTTAAAGCTAATTTTTTTTCAGCCAGTGGACTGCCTGACATGGGAATTGATGAATTATGGCAGCTGATGATGGAAAATTTTGAAAAATGTGCAAAATGTGTCCTATCCTTTGCAAAGAAGCTGCCATGTAAGATGATACCACATGCAGTATCCAAGAAACATCCACTCACTTTTCATTTCCTCTGCTGAATTTAATGAATGGCAAATTAAATGAATTTTGTGTAATTTTTAGATCAATCTGTCATGTGTGAAAATGCTGCATCTGATGTGTTTTGTTTCTTGGTTCCAAACACATAAATAACATTTAGCTTAAACTTCAATTAACTTTTTTACTCAAAGTTTCTGCTTCTCAAATATGACACACCTTTGTGCTTGTCTTCATTTTAATAAAACAAGCAATTGGGCTATGCAGGCCCAGGACCTAAATCTGCTTAAGAACATTGTTAGAACTTCCTTAGATCTTTATATCCAATACAGCTGCTTCATTTCCAAATCCTAGCAGTAAGCGTATGTTCTTCATTTCCAGGTATATTTTTTGAAATATTTATTGTCAATTCTCCATTTTATATATCTCTTATTTATATATTTATTTGTTTGTTTCAGACTTCAAGGAACTGTCGATTGAGGATCAAATTTGTCTGGTCCAAAACTCTATTTACCAGCTGGTACATACATTACTTGGAACTTTATATGATAGCGTCAGCAAGGAATACTGTTACTTTCATTTTCCAAAGCGCATTGAACAAAAAATCCTGATGTTGTTCCCTCAGTTCCAACCCATAGTTGACCACTTTCATGCTGCAGGGAGTGCAATTCAGCTGCTTAATTTGAATAATGAGGAGATGGGGTTCTTCACTGCACTGCAGTTATTTTCTTCAGGTAGCTAGCTATTTAGCTTTGATGTTTTAAAGAATATATATTTTAACAATACATACATCAAATGCAAAATTAAGATTATACAAAGCATGTCTGTGCTTCTGAGCATTTATATAATACTGCTGTTAGGGCCTTAAGCTTGTTGCTGTTGAAATGGTGTTTATTGTCTTCATTTTATATGTATGGCCATTTTGATAAAAATACTTTTTTAGTGATTTCTTTGTTCTCATGGCGCCCTTTCCTTTAATATTGTAGATGAAGGAGAGTATGAAAATGAGAAAAAGATAAATGATATACAAGAAAAGATTTCAGCAGGACTTTATGAGTATTTGTTCAGTAAGTACCAGTACTATATTATGAAACTCTAAAACTGCTGGGGAGATATGTTGATGGAGAGCATTGCTGTTAAAGGAGAACACCACTTTCTGGGGACTTATGATTACTACGGGAATTAACAAAATTTTCATTATGATATTTTTCTAGCAAAGGAAATGGTTTGTCATTTTACCCATGCTGTTTTCAGTTGCAGTAACTGTGTTTTCATTTATAGAATATATTCAGGTGACCTTTACATTGTTAGATCACTTAGCTTATTCCTGGTGCAATAACCCTTTCCTTCCTCTGTTTAGAGATGTCTCCAGAGAACAGTCTACAGCGGTATGGACTCATTCTTCTGCAGCTTCCAGTCCTGCGATTGATCAGTATACAACATCAGCAGATTATAAAAGACATGCATAAAAAGAGAGAAGATATTGAATTCCACCCATCTCCTTTGTATGAAGAGATGTTTATAGAAAATGGATAATAGATTTGAAAGATATTTGCTTATATTTTTATCAGGTGGGGCAATTAAAACTGCCTTGTTTTCTTAGAGGGGAAAATATAAAGGTAATCATAGTTGTTCTTTTACATCAAAAGCTTCATTGTGTCTGGTATTGGTTCGCAAAAGAAGGACATCTAATTTTTAAATTCCTATCTGAGCAAGAAGCTTTTCTTCAAAAGATTATTTAATGAGGAAATTTTCTTCAAAAGATTATTTAATGAGGAAATGAAAGTTAATTTATATTCAACTATACTGTGAAATAGCATATTGTATAATATTATTATACAATATTATACAATATTGTATAATAATATTATACAATATGCTATTGTATATTGTATAATATTATTATTGATGCCTTATTAACACTATTTGGGGAAAGAAACAGGAGTATGGTTTATCAGTTATGTTCACAAACCCCTGGCAGACGGACTTCTTTTTTAATGCATGGCATAACAGAATTTAGGCTATGATTTAACAGCCAGGGACAATCTACATCCTCTGTTTTTATTATAAAACAGTCATATTCCATCCAATATTTGGAATGTTATTGTCTCAGTCAATGCAATTGCATCAATTGTCATAAATGAGCTCTTCAGATGAATCTCAATTTTATTATTAATATTACTTTTGTAGAATTCTAGGCCTCTGATTGGCCGATTACTGTTGTCAAATATGCGTCGATGGCCTGTGTTTTGGGATTTTGCATTGATGTTAAGTTGTCACATGTGCACAGCTGGTTGTGACTTAACAATGGGGTACGGACGTGAAAGGTAGATATCATGTTTTGAAATGGAGTCAGGAAGGTTCATGTCATGTCATAACTGAGTTACCTTTCTTCAAACCTAGGTGGACAATCTGTTTAATATGTTACACTTGTAAAACTCTGCTATCTGTATTGCACAGATAAATATTTTCATTTTGTAAGTGGTCAAATGCTAATTAAAATTAAAAAAAAAAAAAAAAATTGCAATTTACGTAATGGAGTCATGCTTTTCTCAGACCACCTTCTTTTCTTGAGAAAATGTAGTCTAGGACCCCATTCCCATAAATCTACATAGATCAATCCAACTATGCAGAGACTTGCTGAATGCAATTAGCTTAACTGAATGACATACTCTTATAATCACTACTTTTTCTGTATTCTACTTAATGCAAGGAGGGAGCATGTCATTCATTTCAGTTTATTGCACTCAGTGTGAGTCCCTGGATAGTTGGATCAGTCTGGACCGATGGTGTCTATGGGAATGGGACCTAGGAAGATGAACCGAATTTGGGATAAACAGTTTGTTGCTGTAACACCACCAACCAATTTTCTGTATCTACTTCAGAGAACTATCATCTAGCATCTATTTTCACTTTCAGCAAGTGTATTTACCATGATATTTTAAATGGGTCATGCCTAAATGTGCAGGAAAAAACACATTAAAAAAAAAAACGGTATGTTTGAAAACAAGCCAGCAAAGTTGTCAAAAGTACACGACAAAAAGCAGAAAATAAAGATGCAGAAAATGTCATTTTGTCAATTTTGATGTAATAATAAATAATGCTTATAATAGCACAGTCAATCAACACAAAATTTTAATCAGAACAACAGGTAACATGGACAATAAGAATTTAGTTTCGGAACCATGAGAGTTCAATGTAAAATTTTTTCCACTTATAGTGTTATCGGTGTTGCATGTATACTGAAAAAAAAATGAAAAAAAAACAGCATAACTTTTAAGAAAATGGCCCCATCATGCTGATTTTTTTAACTTGACCTGCATATTACGAATATTTATCAGTTCTGTAAGTTTCAAGCCAAAAGATAAAATGGTTTTCCACTAATTATCACATTATTGGTTAAAGTACATGGTGATGACGATAGCAACGACGGCGGGATGACAGACGCAGGGGGATCCTGACATCCCCTTCGCTTTCCAAAAAAAAAAAAAAAAAATCACACCTATGGTCCCCTCCTGAAATTAGAATTTTGACTAGTTAAATCATAGTTCTACACTGTTGGGGGGGGGGGAGGGCCGGCTTTGCATCAGCAGTCCCCCCCTTCAAATAATTCTCGATCCGCCCCTGTATATGTATTCCTTTATTGATACTACGTATTATTCTATTTTCTTGCATCTTAAAGGAAAGTTACAAGGAACAATTCCTAACAGTCTTTAGGGGCCGATCCAGGATTATTTGAAGGGGGGGTCCCCAGATGGGAAGTCGACCCCCCTCCCCCCACTTGGCGTGGGGTTCGGGCCCCGAAAAAATTTGGTACGTATGTAAGACGGCAACTGGTGCCATTTGGAATGGTTTAAAACTATGATTCAGCTAGTCAAATTCCAAGAGGGGACCAAAATTTGAATATATATATATATATATATATATATGCGTGGCCCCTCTTATGAGCATGCTTTCCACTTAGAATATGCGTTGTTTTTTGCTTCGTATTCATACATTTTGGAAAATGTAACATTAACCACATAAAAAGGATTATCAGGAAAGAGTGCACTTCACTTAGCAGATTTGGGAAAGCTCCCTGCGATCCTGAATCCGCAGTTAAACAGCGATGACATTAAGTAGTTTTTCATGAGTTACATGCCAAAATGTGGGGACTGGATATAGCTAATTGGTCTCATTTTATATTCACGTGACCAGCTCATTATGTTATCAGTGGAAATCTCCACTCTTTACGCCACAAACAATTGAATGGAGGACACTAAACACAACTGGGTCATAATACATTGTTGTTTTAAGAAAAGCAGAGTGTACTTCAGATATTTAAAATTCCAAAATTGAACGATATGTATAGTTCATGTACATGGGGGACAATACTTTGTACTGAAGTTGAAAACCGACGTGATAGTAACACACAACAATCCATTTTCAACACCCATCAAAATTTGCGAGAAAGAGCAATTTTTGTTTTTCTCTAGTGTGTGTGCCGTGAATGATCCCCGATATGACAAAAAAAAAAAAAAAATATATATATATATATATACACATATATATGACAATACTATCTTTTCCATAATATACAGCTGCAAAACAGGCTGGTATATCTGTGCCCCAGATTAAAGTGTTGTTTAAGTGTAATTTTTGACTAAGAATTAAAAAGGTTTAAAATACACAGCAATGTTTGGAAACAAAAATTTGTGGTATAATAAGACAGATACACCCCCTATCACATAAAAGCACCCCCATTGTAATCCAACCCATGGGAATATATTGACAGACTTTCAACTGTTACCCAGTATCCCAGACATATATATATATATATAAATATATACACATATATACACACACACAAGTGTGTTTGTGTGAAGAGACATCCAAGTACATTATTAATTTGCGTAAAAAATTAGGGGTTTTCAATCATTAACGAAACTACAGTACTGGTAGGCCAAGTTTTCCTTGCCATTCATTTGCACAAAATAAGAGTAACTTATACCATGGCACTTCTAACAATAGGATAATTGTGCTTGTATTTCACATGCAGGCTTGTCTGTATTTTCATATGCTTCGGTGCATTTATCCTATTGTTTGAAGCGCCAGCCATGGCATAAGTCAGTTGCAACTATTTAATATTTCGTCCACTGTATGTGACATACAAAAGCAAATTGTATCTCGGCTGCACCTCGATATAATTTCACTATTGTATGTCACATGCAGTGGATGACTCGTGTTGTAACTAGGGCTCTATTCCCATAGATTTTAGATCGATCTATCCCCCCGGGGAGTCTCACTAGATTACTTTCAGATAATCCGACTTAAATGTCCGTCCCGCCTACTACAAGCTGTAAGGGGGTAATTAACTTTCGTGTCCGCCCGGCTGACAGCTATTTAGCGTGAACCCCCAGGGAGTTAGGTCGATCTAAAGTAGGTCGATCTAATCTATGGAAATGGGGTGTAGTACTTTTGGTCTTTTCATGTAATTCGTATTCATGTACTGTGTGTTCAGCCATGACCATGGCAATGTTTAGAGAAAAAATGCCTCGTCTGAAAAAATAATCCACAACTTTTAAAAAAAATTTAATTAGCCAGATATGTTTGGGTGGTATCTACAGTAAATCATTCATAGAAACAAGTTTTAACTGGAACTCCTTGATGGAAGATCGTGGAGGGCAGTTTTCCCTCACTGCTTTTCACCTTATGAATGAATTTTTATTGATAACACACTTTCACACCTGAGGTACAATCATCGGGTCACGGAATTTACATCTTACTATATTTAATAAATAAATAATAACACAATTACATAAAAATATACGGGTATAAAAAAATCTTGTTTTTGTTACCCTGAATTTATCCCCCCCCCCCCTCCCTTCAAAGACAATGAATTACGTCAATTATGGGGTATACAGTACAAAACGTCGAACATTTGAAAGTGTCAACAAAGCGCACGTTATATATAGCGCTGGAGTTTCACCGTCGTGGTCTCGGAAGTATATACAGCTTCTACCTCATTCGTGTTTCAAAGGCCAAGGACGATTCACGTCCACATCTGTAGTGCTCACGTGACAGGGCAATGGTAAAATAAAGATTGTTACGGAAACCTAAAAACTTTTCATTTTCCTGTCACCCGATTTTAGGAACGTGGAAAGAAGGGTTGTGAGATATTCTCTCATTTCTTCATACCCTAAGTTGCCTAAGAGCATTGTATGAAGGGTTATTTGATGTGAAGTAGGTATCAATAATATATATTGATTCCGGATATCTCCAAAGCCAGTATTGCTAGGTACTCGTTGATCCTGTGTGTTTTCTGGGTCAGAGCGCAGCGCAGAAGAATTTCGGACTCTCTCAACAAGCTCCAGGGATCGAGGTATTCGCAAAGGTATTGCACTGAAGAAATTGACTGTATGTTGATATTTTCAATAGCAAAACGGTTTGTAGATTTATTTAGAACGCCAAAAGCGGCTTACTGCGTGTAATGTTGCACTATGAAGAAAACAAACTAACAACAACATGGCGTCCACAGCCCCAGAGTCACAGTCAGAGTTACCAAACAAGTAACACTTCTTCTGCCACATTGCCAAACCAAGGACTAGATATAAACATGAACAATTTCACCGGAGGAACAAACATCCCTCCAGGCAGTTACGGAGATTACGACGATTATGGACTTTTTGATGACGATTTCTACAGCAACAACGGATTCCTTCAGTCGTATGGCTTAGGGGAGCCTTCTACTGTTACTGATTTGACCGACTTGGACAACTCTCATCCACAGCCACCAGTCGCTCACAGACAGAATGCAGGAGTCGTCGAACCAATCGACCACAGTCGTCCCCCTCCCCTTGCACACAACTCCAATGGGCTCATAGATACAGTGTCACCTCAGTATCTAGTAAAAGAGGAACCACAGAGCCCAACATCTACCACGTCCACACAACCCTCCCCACCTATCTGCTCCCCACTGGGAAATGGCTCAGACATGGGATTGAAAAGCCTGAAGCTTCTCCCCTGCAGTGTGTGTGGGGAAACCTCCTCTGGCTTCCACTGTGGAGCAATCACATGTGAAGCGTGTAAGGTATGTAAACTTCACGCAGATAATGCAACTGGTTTGTTGTCCTTTTAGTCTTGTTTTCATCATTTTCTGTGATTGAGAAAAGGCAATATAGTGGGGTTAAGTAAGGTGTGTGCCAGCTGGGTGGTAATAGTAGTCAGCTAACAGCTTAACTGCTTAATTTTGGTTTACAAATGTCTGTATGTAGATATAGATGCTTATATTGAAATGCTATTGTACATACAAATCCATATTGTTTATGTTGTCACTTAGTGGCTACTCTCAGGTGGCTTCCTCTGAAGTATAAATTACTTCCTTACAAATTCATTATTGAGGAAGAAGCACTAATGATATTAACCAAGGAAATACATATTTATACCTGGAGGAATTTGAAGTGGTATGTGATCATACATTACCAGTTTGAGTAAATAGAAGACAAACAGAATATTATATGCTTTGCTTTATGTTATGCTTTATTTATTGGAATGTTCTTTCTTGTATATCAATATCCGCCTAGCAGGGGTTTTGATTGCAAATGTATGCTATAAGTATTGTTAAACAAGGGCCTGTAAAGGATTTCTGTGACCCTCTGGATTTTATTGTCTTCCTTCACAATTGAAAGCAATAAGGGTTAGCTCTTTCTGGCCACATGTATGTAACAATGTGTGAATTTCAGTTTTCACATGGATGATGAGCAGCATCTTAATTATAGTATATATTAACATATCTTTATTTTCTGTTTGCCATTTTGTATTTCTTGGATGATTTTTTGAAAGTGATGTATATAGAGTATCAAGCAGTGCCTTAGGCCCTAATTTAATTTTTGATCCTTTAATATTATGTCTGCATTAAATTATTATATAATATTTCTTTTCAGTTTTCTAAAATATTGGTATATAAAGTGGTCAGCAGAGGTACAGATAAACTGTAGGGGTTATAAAATAAAAGTAAAACTGCACATTCTGGTGTTAGTGGCTGTGTCAATATTTATCATTGAAAATAGGTATTTTTTTCTGATATGAAAAAGGAAATCTCTCTATTAAATTTATTTGTTTTTTTAATGTACTGTCTTACTATGTGATCTCTGTGATAAGACATATGGACTTGTGCATAAAATCTCCTGGGAAAAGTGACTATGATCTTTATAAAATAGATGACAATTAAGGCTTCCTTAGGTTAACTTTGGTCCATAGTTAGTAAACCATATTACTCACCTCTCTGGACTATCTAATGAAATGCTTCAGCATCAAGGAAGACAGTCCTGCATTGTATCCAGCATGACAGGGTGGAAAGAGAAAATACACGATAGACCAGAGTTCAGAAGTCTCTCCCCCTACCCCTCTTTAAATTAAGGTATCAAATAATCTCAGAAATCTCAGAGGGTAGTTATATAAATATGCTCTTTAAAAGTTGAACATATCAAGATAAACCTTAACATAATTTCTGGTCAATCCAGCTAAAGAAAACTTAACCCTCACCCCCTTAGAGAGAACGAGAGAGAAACAAAAAGCAGAATGATTTCTACCAATTACTTTAAGTTTACTTAAGCATAAGGACATAACCAATGTTAGTGATGTACCAAAATAGTCTCAGCCTTGCAACATACTAGAATATGACTCTGTACCTGTATTTGACCCTGACCTAATTCCATCTGTTTTGACTTCTCTGAATGGACCATAATGCCATTATCTTATTTTTAAAGGTAAAGATTATAATATAATAATATAATATATTTATTTTGAGTCTAAACTCCATATAAATATGTTCATTAGACTTTACAAATATGTACATACAAATAACAGATAGACAACTGGTCATAACACACTGTGTACACGATCTCGCCTCCCTGTCATTGAATGTAGATTATGGCATGTATATACTGGTACACCGTCATACAGTATTGGATATGATCATGTGCATCAAATATGTCATTCTTTCATATGATCTGTTTCTTTAATTTGAGAAATTTGATATCAGTTTCCATATTATATAGTTATCACCTGTTTTTTATGTATTAGGTAAATGCTTTGCTTTTAGAAAACCAAATGCCTGATTATTGCAAACAATAGTTGTAGCATAAATAAAGAGTTCCTGTGGTTCATGTATTACATAGGGTCAGTGGCAGATGGGGGAATGGCATGTCCCATCCTTAGCTAGTTAGGAAGTACTCCCTCTGAGAAAAAAAAAAAAAGACCAACCAAGCACATTTTCCACTCTGTGCCCTACATATTATGATGGTAAAAAAACTGTCAACTCATGTCTTTGACTTTGCTAAACATATTTTTATTCTGGTATGATATCCCCTTGGCAAAATCCTGGAACTGCCAGCAAGACTGTATAAGAGATCACAAATACATTTGGTTGATAAGTGATTGTGCTGTTTTTGTTTTCATGTGACAGTTATTTACGCTATGTTTTTGTGGTATTTCCTCACAGTTAAAGCATTTCTGTTCTTTCATCAAAAAAATTCCAGAAGAAGCAATTTTAAAAAAGTGAAAGTAATAATAATAATAATAATAATAATAATAATAATAATAATAATAAAATCTTAATTTCTGAAATGTTTCATAAAATAGATAACAGGCATATTATCTATGTTTGTAAACTTGCCTGCATAATTCCACTGTCATTGAATGCTACATGTAATGTATTCTACTATTCATTCAATGTAGAATTCATGTATATATACTACACTACAGTAAATATGTGGATTTGAGGGTGTTTAGATATGTATAAATGAGATTAAGCAGTGAAGTATTTATATGGAAATAGATGGGTTATAAAACATTAATAATTAAGACCTTGCTTCTCGTCAGGAGTGCATAGATACAGTCAGGTCAGCACTGTATAAATCATGTATGGTTGAGAGGGTCTAAGGATAAGTATGAAATTATATAGAGCAGTGCACGAATCGCCATTTAACCTTTGCCTTTACTTATAATAACTGTACTGTCATATCTGTAAGGATCTCTTTTCAGATTAAAAAAAAACAAAAAAAAAACATATGACATTGTAAGATGGTGAGTGGGAGAGAAACGGGCCAGAAAAGTTATTTTAAAGCAGGCTGTACATTTGTCCAAAAAGTATTACTTCCTCCTGAGAGAGCCTGACATCCTGTCCAAATCCTGGTTCACAAGGACCTTCCAAACACAGTTCTCCTCACTAGCCACCCACACAGTCCTGGACTGACCCACGGCACTTCAGATATAGATTTGGTTCACTTTCTGATTAGCATTATTATCATTAACACCAAGTCAAAATGATTCTTGGGCTATTTGGGCATATTGATGTAAGCTAATCAACAAGCTGGGTGCACAGCATGAGTCCTGCTGGTTTGAAAGTTCACTCAGGTACTACAGAGAACAGACTTGTTGATTTTGAATCATGAGAATACATTGTTATTGACCAAAACAGGTTCATATTACTTTACCTACCAAATGGAGAACATGATACTGTTTTTTGTTATTACAGGATTTAGTATTATTTTATTATTTTCTTCATTTATAGAAGAATTTTTTCTCAGTAAGCCAATAATTCTGTACATAATATAGATTTACAAAGCACTGATAAGATGAATGTGATAACATGTTTACCTCCATAAATAGGTCAACAGTGCTCTAAATTCTAATTCGCTCATTTCAGTTGGTTAGTTGCACCAAAGGACCTTTAGATTACTCACTAGCATTCATATACAACATGATTTACATAACATCGCATCTACAAAATGGCTGGCTTTTGACGTAAAGAAAGCTTAGGTGCCATATCTGCACATGTCTCTGATCCTCTATCTCACTTCTGACCTTTTCAATGATTTACTGGAAACAATTCCCCTCTGTCAGAAGTAATGAAGGGCCTAATGTTGAAATACTTTGGTTTGAACTTTGCCTTTTGTGAAGGGATTTTTTTGGTTGTTGTCTTCAATGTGGATAGCCAAGAGAACAGTGGAATGACATGCTTGAGCGAACTCTAATATTACTGATTTTGCAGTGTGGAAGGGTTTCAGAAAATGTCTCTTATGAAGGGATATACTGCTACAGTAAATACTCCGTTAATCTTGTTAAAATGATAAGGCGATTTAGTCTGTTAGTGCTAATTAGTCAGGTTATTTCTTAAATTTATTACCTGGACTTAATTGATAACATTCGTATATTTCTGAATCATGTTGGCAAAGCTAATCTTACATGGTGGCTATAGGTGAAAAAGTTGTCTGTCCCTCATCCCCATGGCAACAGTTCATTTGATTTAAACAACACATGGAATTCTGATGGCTAAGGGTCAGGAACCTTCACAAGCCACCAGGTTTCTTATAATTTAAAGATTTACAGCATTAAGGGATAAGCTAAATGATGATATAGAATTGGTGCTGCCTTATCCATATCTATAATCAAAATGTGCTAGTTATTCTGCTATTTGTACATTGCTCTATGCTTCCCTGGGTGGCCTAGTTCTCATGAAAATTGATTTTTATACTTCAAAGGCTTTACTTAGCAGGGGCCACGATTGCAAGTCTCCATTACAGGCATTACTTCTATAGTGTTGTGAATGCTTCACATACTTCACTGAATATATCTTAAGCCGCCCGATATTCAATGGCAATAACTAACAGGAAAATGATTAGCTCTAGCTTTTTTATTGACGAGCCACAATTTGTTTGCATTCACGGCACAAGAAGAGAGAAAAGCAACAGAGGAGCAGACAGTAACATTTCTGAGTTAAAGGAATGAAAAAGACTCCATGTCCTTGAACAGACTAGCTGCCAGCATATTTTCTAATACCAGTATAATATTTATGGTATAAATATGTTATGATGATAAGCATATTATTGAGGGTGGTTGGTTGGTTCCTGCATGTAATTTCTTTATAGGCAGGTTACAAGGTGTACTGGAACAGAAATGATAATAAAGTAACAATCCTTTGTAAACTCAGAAACCATAATTTAGAATTTTGCTAGGTTTTTACCTGGATCTTTAATAACATGACTTGGTTTGTATGTTCACTGAGGGCTTACTTGCAAGGTTGCCTTATAGTCCAGTTGCCAGTCCTAGCCTAAGTAGTGGGTTTTATGTTCTTCCCCACACCTGTCAGTGGAAGGGCACTTGCTAAGTAATTGTGTTATTACCTATTTGAATGTAAGTACATAAAGAGAAAACTGGAGTGCAAAGTGTACATATCGCTTTTGGAAACAGAGAAGAGTTCCAACTGGAATTCACTGCAGTAAATCTGATATTCTTGCCATGTTATACATATGATTAGGTATCATTGCCTCTATTTATCCAGTTACTTTACTTAACTAACTAACTTATTCCCAGCTAGCTTTCCTTTTCTCAACTGCAGGTGCCTGATGTTATTGTATTCAATTGGCTCAGTTCAATTTATTAGTCAGATTGATTTGGTTTCCTCAATTGGCAGCCATTGCCCATGGTAGAGTAACCCCAATTGTGCATGTGCACAACCTTTCTGCAGTAGTTTATTACAGCAGCAGCTAGGTAAAAAAAAGCTATATTTGTTGACCTACATATATCAGTTGATATTTTAGTCAGGCAGTCATAGTATAATGGAGACAATTCAGTAGATCACAGTCACAAAGTATTCATTGAATGTTTTAAGGGGCATCTTACTATTTAGTATTAGCCCTGGTATATAATCCTTTGATTCTAAATCAGATCAATAAACTGTTTGTCTTCCAATTACATGCTTAAAACAAGATGTAAGATTGTTCACACAATCACATAGAAGGGCTCTTTCCCATTGAAACTATCAATCTACATAGGTCAATCCAACTTTGCAGTATTTTAGAATCACTTGTCAAAGTTTACTACCTGCTAAAAAGTTATTTCAAAAGCATTTTTGTCTTCAATAAAATTTGTTTTGTTTGATTTTATTATTATTCAGTGAAGATATTATAAAAAATTGATAATAAAGTCATTTGTTTTTTATTTTTTTCTAGAAATTTTTCATCAGGAGTTGCCAAGGAGAATCTAATAAATATGTTTGTACCAAGAATAACAACTGTGAAATTATGAGAGCAACTCGCACCCAGTGCCAGAGATGCCGCTATGAGAAATGTTTAGCAGTCGGAATGGTGCCCAAGGGTAAGTCTGCAATAATAAAGAAATATTCACACATTGTGATCTTTAAGTACCCATATCCAAATCAAATCATTATCTTGTCCATGACAAGAAGTAAAGAAAAGCTCATCACCAGTTGACATGTACTCTGTCTCATTAGTGCTGTATTTTACTACACAGTAAAAAGAAAAAAAAAGATTTCCATTATGTTTGCTTCATTTGTACTCTTCAGCTTAGGGTTTTCTGAGACATTTTTTTCTCCCATGTCAGCACATTCTACATTTCCTATCAATGTTGGTTCTTGTCTTTGACCTCTAGTCATTGCTTTGCTTCTTTTTGTAGAAAAAAAAAAAAAGAAATGTTTGCAGTGTGGCATGTGAATTGTGTGTCATGTACAGCTTGCTGAAGGTGGTCAAGTGAAAGGAAAAGAACATTTAGCTCTGTTTTACAATTATTTGCAAAGTGTCAATATAACTGGAGCACAGGCAAGATTTTTACATGTCGTACTGTAAACATATGCATACAATATTCTAATCAAATTGACCTAATTATCAATGATTTGGGTCAGATGTTCCAATCGTGCTTGTTTGGACAGTGCATTACTTGTACAGTAATGGTGAAGTGGGTGGTGTCGGGTATGAAAGGCTGTGTCATGACTTAATGGGAATCAAAGTGGCTATCTGACTGTCCATCTCGTGAGGAAATAAAGTAACTTGTGACTTCCCATACCCTAAATTGTTCTCTTAATCTCTAATTGTAGACTGTTTTTAGGCCAAAGAGTTGATGAATATATGTTACACATTAGAACTAAACTTGTGCGTGTGCATGTTTATGTGCTTTCCTATCTAAGAATCTATTTATCAAAATAGTATTACAACTAGAAAGAAGTTGTAGATGACAGACCACTGAGCCTTGTATTGTTTTCAAGTCTCAGTGAATTATAAAATAATGAGAATGGTCTGTATTATCATCTTAAATAATGAACACAGTTTATAGTAACTATTTCCCAAAATAATGAGAACAGTCTATAATATTGTCCAAAATAATGAGAATAGTCTGTGATGTTGGCTAATATGTTGAATGAACTTGGTAGTTATAAGCAACTGATATTTTGAGCTCGTCTGGCTTGAAATGGTGTAGAAATATAGAAGCACTCCAAATTGTTGAAATAAATTCCTTTATATATTTTGTCTTTCTTTATAGCTCTTTTCTACAAGGCTATGACCCAAGACCATCTAGTAACACAATCTCTACATTGTGATATGCACAATACATATTCCTTTGACCATCTTTCTTACAGCACTGTATTTGATGCCCACACAAAATCTTTTTTGTTACTCTTATTCTTGGTACTTCATGTGATGGACATTGGTTGAAGTGAGCTATAATTTCCCCCTTTCCCGTGTTGGGTCAGGCTTGGTGGTGGTCAGGGGTGATTCATGTGTTTAATAACCCTTAGGTCCATTTTACAACTGATGGTCACTTGGATCATTTCTTGGTTAAGGTTAAGGGAGGTTCGTGTATATAATATGGGTCCTGAGGCTTATTTTCTAACTCCCAGCCTTACAATCATGATATGAATCCCCAATTGCAAGGAAAGGCAGATTTTATATCAGCTGCACTGGATGCCAGCTGTGCTCTGTGTACTTCCCATCTTGTACCTGCCTACTTAGTTTTTCAAATGACTGCTCAGTTTGCATGCCATTGATCTGAACAGAGCACTGGTCCTGGTCATACATTTGATTGAATACGGTTCTGTTAACTAAGTATTTGGCCAAAGTTTTGATATGCTCTCCTTATTAACCCAGATAATCCAGTATGTAGTTTAAAGAATTGACCTTCAAGATAGAAGTTAAGATCACGCGTTGAATAATGTATTAAGCCTCATCAATTGCATATTTTTTATGGGAGTACATACAAAGTCATCAGAGAGCAATGGTTAGTTAGTCCCTTCTGAATTGTAGCCAGTTCATCATACTGAGGTGATAATAAAACCTCTGCTTGGTCTTATCTTGGGAGGTTATAATGACTATGACTTTGCATTTTTATCTTGTTGAACAGAATATATGCACCCGATTTGTTTTAGTTTTTCATGTAAAATTATATAATTAATATGATAAGCATCTTTGAACCCTAACAATTTAACTCTGAAGTGTGAACTCCTGCTATTACAAGAACTCTATGTTTACACTAACAAATTTCTCTTGATATGTTTGGGAACAGGGCATCTTTTGCCTGACCTATCACCTGAAATGAAGATAATATTTGTTTAAACAGCAACCTTGGACTTGAATTAAAAGTTGATAATATAAGTTCACATAATTCCTGGTTGTTTTTTTTAGGATAAGTTTGTAACCAGTAACTGTTAAATGTATATTCTTAACTCTTACTGCATTTACTAATAGTTTTAGATTGTAAACATCTGAGAAGTTCATGATGAGAGTTAAGTTTCTTTGGTAATAGCCCATCCTCCACAACCATATAAAAAGTCCACAATCAGATAAGTGCATCAAGGAAATAGGTCAGTCCTCCTCGGACATTGCAGTGGACCAGAGCAGATGACTATCACTGGAGAGTTGTGTTTTGATTCAGTGGGAGGAACTCTATATATAATGGAATATTTTTTACCTAGGATGGGGTTTGAGGAAGGGGGGTATAAAGAACCAATCTTTTGGCCCAAAATTGTCTTCTTTGAATCAAAATTTGATGTCGATTTTAAGCCTTTTCTAGAGTTATGTCAACTAAGGGGCACATAGGTCCACATTTCTGGGGGAGAGAAAAAAAACTCCCTTTCCTTTCCTTTTTTGGTCAAGTCAACAAAAGTCTTTTCCTGGATCTAACAGCTAGTATTTTATAGTGCTAGGTACATCATATCTGTCGGTGGGAATGTGTATTACAACAGCACTGGTTCAATACTAATGGTAGTGAGGTATGGATTGGCAGAGATATCACTGGTGACTGATGGAAGATGAAGCCAACTATAAATGAGAAGCCAATGCTTCAAAGGAAAGTGATAGAGATAAATGTAGGACTGTGTTCATTTCTTTGGTTTCTTTCATTTCAGAAGAGCTATATTGACAATATAGACACTAGCCATAAACTGCCCACGTAACACAAAGCCATTTGCAGTTAAACAGACTGAAGACAGCTTTAGTTAATAGGGATAGATCTCAAGTCTCCCCTACAGTGTCTAACTTGAAGACATGTTTTCTGAAGAAGGTTAATGAGATCCATTTTAATATAATGATCAATGTCACCTACACATTTTGCCAACTTTCTGATTTGATTATGATCTATGTGGGTGGAAGGGGTGGTTTCACCTTAGTTCCTAATTGAGAAATTTGTTTATCACATTCAACTTGGGAAAATAAAGAGAAGTTAACCTTTATTACAACCAGGATGGCGTAGGGATGATATAATCTGTACAATATAGGCTTACTTGAGAATACAATTTAATCAGAAAATCACACTTGTCAAAGGTATGGGTTTTAGAAAAAACAAAATTTTGTTGTTGGGGCGCTAGTAGCCTAATGCTCTGTTTAGTCTTGTACATTTCTGATGTAGAAAACCCAGATATGTACAAGAATGCATTCAAAACAGCAGACTGACAGATCCACGGATCAAATATGGCCAACACACTTGAATGCTTGTTGTGTAAGGGAATCTATTCAGTGTCAGAAATTAAGCACAAGCTTTTTAGTGGGTTGTCATATTTGATAGATCTGCAGATTCGTTAGTCTGCTGTTCTGAATACGTTCCAAAACATATAGGAGTAGGCACCCCCCCTCCTTTTCAACAAGTTCTACTTTATATCTGAGCATTGTTAATTTTTTTTACGCATATAACTTTCCATAAGTATTCCCATATAAGTATTTTTATTTCCACAACTCTTCTGTCACATTGATACACATACCTTCAGCATAGCATATGTCTATTATGATTTCTTTATGCAATCACAGGGACTAGGTTGGAACAGTGTAATAATAGATTCATATAGAATGGATATTGTGAATATTTGATAAGGTAGAAATGTATTTCACAATCTATTTTAGCATGCTGCAGCTGAAGTTGAAACGACTCTTTTTCAAGTTCTATGCTTGGCTTAACATGTTATGGCATACTCAGCAGTGCATGTGTCGCTTGAAGCAGACATTGTTATGATTTCTTTGGGTAAAAGATTGTTTGAATGTATATGATAAAGGAACAAAATGGAACTTCTAAATAACACAGAATGGTTTCTGCCTAATACGGTGTCTAGTGTGTTTGAATTAATCTTGATAAGAAAATAAAAGGCTGAATAAATGTGCAACAGGTGTAATGTAAGAGTTCCCCTACTTCTTAAGATCAAACTGTTTATAGTGAAGAGAAGGTACATGGGAATTTTTGAAGTAAGATATACATAATTACACGTTTGGCACATGCACACACTCGTTATTTGAGACAAGTGTATTTTAAGAATTTCCATCTCTTTTTTTCCCCATCAACTACAAGTAATGTTTGCAAAATTTTTATATTTTCAAAATTAATTATTTTAGCTATAGAAAATCTGTGAAGCATGAGCATTGCCGAGGTGAATGAATTACTTCCTGAATCATTGAATTGCTGATTCAGAAGTGATGTGTCAGCATGTTCCCTATCTCTGTATAACACTGTCCTTTGAAGACCCCAACCAATTCATCACCAGGTGCCTCTCATACTCTCTATATTACACTGTCTTCTGTAGACCTGACCCAACACATCACCAGGTGTCTCTCACACTCTCTGTGTTACACTGTCTTCTGTAGACCCGACCTAGCACATCACCAGGTGCCTCTCATACTCTCTGTGTTACACTGTCTTCTGTAGACCTGACCCAACACATCACCAGGTGCCTCTCATACTCTCTGTATTACACTGTCTTCTGTAGACCTGACCCAGTACATCACCAGGTGCCTCTCATACTCTCTGTGTTACACTGTCTTCTGTAGACCTGACCCAGTACATCACCAGGTGCCTCTCATACTCTCTGTGGCACACTGTCTTCTGTAGACCTGACCCAGTACATCACCAGGTGCCTCTCATACTCTCTGTGTTACACCGTCTTCTGTAGGCCTGAGCCAGTACATCACCAGGTGTCTCTCATACTCTTTGGCTCTATTCCCATAGATTTTAGATCGATCTATCCCCGCGGGGAGTCTCACTAGATTACTTCCAGATAATCCGATTAAATGTCCCTCCCGCCTACTACAAGCTGTAAGAGGGTAATTAACTTTCGTGTCCGCCCGGATGATAGCTATTTAGCGTGAACCCCCAGGGAGTTAGGTCGATCTAAAGTAGGTCGATCTAATCTATGGAAATGGGGTGTTAGTTACACTGTCTTCTGTAGACCTGACCCAGTACATCACCAGACCATATGCTTAAAATAAGTTCACCAGATTTCTATTATGATCAAATGGACAAATGCAAAGTTGATATTGAAAATAATATAGATCTGTAAAAAAGATACTCCTTGTAGATTTAATTAATAATACAATAACATGTATATGCCTTTCCATCTTTTTGGACTCGTGCATTTCCGGTTGATTTTGAAAAATGCATTTATGTGTGTATATGCCTTGAACATGTTCTTGAACTTTATCATTTCAGGATCCAAGGAACAGAAAGCACCATCTGTTCATGAGCTTTTCTCCAAGTTCCCTTGTTCAGTGTGCAAGGCCCCTGCCTCTGGCTTTCACTTTGGTGCAGTGACATGTGAGGGTTGTAAGGTAACAGCTTGCTTACATAAACTGATATACATTGCCTTGGTTGTCATGGAAATAGGGTTCTTAAGAACCATTCCATGCTTTTTGGTCTGCAGATCTTTGAATTTCTGTAAGAAGTAAACATGAAATCAATAAATGTTATGTTGATTTCTCTCCACATTTTTTTTCTTCAAAAAAGCACTTAATCCAGTCACCTTATCTATAAACTAAGTATTTGACTATTATGGCAGTTTTTAGGAAAAATAAACAAGTTATTATACATGTTTGAAATTTGCAGGGCTTTTTCCGCCGCAGTGTGAAGGAAAAGAATGGATTGGATTATTACTGTGAACAGGGTGGCAATTGTCCTATCACTGAAACTACTAGGAACACATGCCGCTACTGCCGTTATAAGAAATGCCTAGATGTTGGCATGTCTTTAGAAGGTGAGTGCTTTATAAAGCCATGACACCTGTGGACTAAAATTATGGTGTCATTGTATTTTGCCTAGCAGTCTGGTAATGTTAATAAGTACTCAAGCTTTTTTTTTCTTGGTTGTTTGCTTGCCTTGCAGTGCTAAATGTATAAGGATTTTTTTTAATAAATGAGAGAGAGAGGGCAAAATTGAGAAGCAAGAACTACGTGGAACTTTGTTAAAGTGAAATGTGAGACAAACAACTTACTGTTGTGTAATTATCTGCTTTTGAAAGAACCCCTATGTTGTATAATAAGGAGTTATTGATGAATAAATAACTATAAATACAGCTTGAAGGTAGTGTGAAGTTACAGGCTGGCACAAGATTGCATCATCATTTCCTAGAAGCACTCCTGAGATTTGGCATAAATGGAGAAAATTTGATATCATGGGTTTCTCCACATGATATTTTTACAGTGTATTTTGCACAGTGTGGAGCCTGTTTTCTTGAAGGTTTGTAACAATAGAAATTGTATGTTGTTGGAAATAATGATACAGGTGACAATAGTCACAGGAATAAAAACAGATTAATCCAGGGCTAATACAGTCCAAGCCAGCTACGCGAGCAGCTCAGGCACAGGTACCATTAACATGTTCTCTGTGTTAAAAAAAAAAAAAAGAACCATTTCTTTTAATGGCGTTAAGAATATTTTACCAAGAATGATTAACCAAATTGTCCAAATCTGCTCTAATGTTGATTTATACAGAGATGGAAGGTTTGTTTTATGCTACTTGTGAACTCCTGAAGGTTTAATCACCCTGTAGGAGTGATATTTGACTTGTTTTAATCAGAAATCAGCAGAGAATCGGTGTTTAAAAATGGCTGTAAATCCCTATTTCCAGCCTTTGCCAGGAAATCTCCTACTACTTTTGTGATGCTTTGGAACTCTTTTCTATCATTATGTACTTCTTTTGCAACAAACATGCAGATTATGAGCTTTATATTTTGACGTAAACAGCTCGGAATACCTCCAGAGGCTGATCTGGGCTGCTTGCTGAGAAATTTGATTAGAGGATATTATTTGTTAAAGGTGTGAAACCTATTATCTGGACAAATGGAACAAACATGTACAAATGCACCGGAAAAAGTGAAAATTTTCTTCACTGTAAAATACAGAATTTACCACAAAATGCCTTGGTACATACCATTTATGCAGAGCAGGCAGATTTATAGCAAGTGGGGCTAGATAATTTTTATTCTTTTTTTTTTGGTGAATGTGTGCCTTAAAGCTATTTGGGTTTGTTCACTTGATGAGAATTTGGAAGTGTGTTCTCTCTGCAACTGTTTTTGATGACGCATTTTCAGGTTTTATTTGTCAATTTTTATTAATTATTTTGGTGCTGAAAAATTAACTTGGTTTTAGTCTAGCTCAGTACACCAGGAAGTGCTGAATCAAATCAAATGCCAGTTTAAGTAGAATTCTGTATGTTGGCCTCATGCCAGCACAGGTTCATGCATACTTTCTCATCAATATTAGCAAGCAGCCTAAAGAGAAAGTGCATTCCCATATGGAATGATGGATTTATAAGATCTTTATACTCCTTGCTGGCCATTGTACCAGGATAAATATCTATACTTAACAAGGTGTAAAGTACAATAAATCTGGTGCAGGTTGGTATATTTGGAGTAAAAGGGGAAGGGGGGGGTCTCTAGGGTTTTTTTCAGGGGTGTACCAGGTATGCACTCTGCAGCACAGTCATCGCCTCATGGAGAATTGGTATTTAGTGATCAAGTTTAGTGATCAAGCTTAATCCAGAAACAGCTATATGCTTTTAACATAGATGAGATCCTAATGAACTGGCAAACTTTGATTGTCTGTATGTGTTGTGATCATCTTTCCTTTAGCCGTATTGTTACCTATTTGATAGAGGGCCCCATAAATAAAGCATGGCTGGGCAGGCAAAGAGGAAATACAGTTATGGAGAGTAAAATTACATTGGGATAATTCAACCTAGAAAAAAATACAAACCCTGTTTCTTATACATCTTGTACACTCGTGGAGTGCATTACCCGTTGTGTTTTGTATATTTAAAGTTATTAGTTTGTATAGACTTAGATAAAACGAGAGGAGGGTGAGTAGGGCTTAGTGGGACATTTGCAGCCCTGCAGCCATGTGGCTGTCCAGAACGGACCACTGTGGTCAAGACTGGACGACAGCAGGAACATTGTGAATTATATTGAATTAGATTCTGTGAACTTCTGTGACTTGTGCATGAGTGCAAGCTACAGTAGATTTCTTTTTATATCAAAAGTTTATTCCACAATTCATGAAGTATGTTTTAAAGAATACATATTAAAGAAGCCCTGCATTTAATACATTTATTTTATTCCCCACTGACAAAACAACAAAAATCAAAGCAGATTTGATATAAGAGCATCATTTGTGGTCAGTGGAGCTGTGTGCTGATAAGTTGCACTGGTTGAATGAATGTGATAGGAAAATGTGATAGTGAGCTTTAGATTCCTTGGTGTATTTTCAAAACCTTTCCATCCCCAACACTCTTATGTGACGTATGATCTAAGATATAAATGTCTAGCAATATGAACCGTCTCATTATTGCACTCTTGGCATATTACAGGAAATGCATATTAATACTAATCTTTCCACCCCTTGTGATGTGTTTTATGTAAGACATGGGAATTGCCAATTTTGCTGCATCTCACGCAGTCTTAGACTTAATAGGTTTCTTCCATTTCAAGTTAATACTGCACTGTACGATATTGCTTTTGTTATTGTCTAACTGATATTCTGCTGTATTCCAGGCAGCAGAATTGGCCGTCAGCCCAACTACATCAAACACAAGATCCTTCAGATCCAGCAGGAACAGGACAAAGTGAAGAAGGAACCTGTGACCAGTGAGGAGACCACCACCACCAGCCTCACTTCTGCCTCCTCTGACCCAGATCTGTCCTCCATGCCAGCCAATAATATCATACAGGACATCATGCGCCTTAAAGCGGAGCCAAAATATGTGTCACAGCCTGACTTGTCCGAGCTGGACTTCCCTGACCTACCCCCTTACCTGGACTATCCTCTCCCACCCCAGCTGCCTTCATATTCGTCATTCACTTCAACACCCTCTGACCTGACCTATAACACCACTACACCATCAGCAGTGACTGGGAGGCGTACTGTGTCAGCCAGCGAGGCACCACTGCGTAGGTCAGGTGTGCTGCCCAGTAACAGCTATCAATACAATAACCAAATGCCACAGCAGCAACAGCATCTGTCACAGGAACGCCAGCAGCTCCCACAGCCACAGCATCAGCTTCAACAGCCTCAAAGGCAGCAGCAGCAACAACAGCAGCAGCAGCAGCAACAACAACATCAGCAACATCAGCAGCAGCAGAAACAGCCTTATCCCTCATATGTGCCTAGTGCTGGAGGCACTAAGAGAAGTGTCAGTGACTCTGCAGTACCTTGTAAATCATCTGCCATAGCTGTTGGGAAGCAAATGACACCCACTGCCAACCAGATGGCGCCACAAGTTACAGTGAAGCAAGAGCCGCCAGATTTCTATACTTGTGCATACTCCTCCAGCTTCTCACCCAAGGATGAAAATGATGGCATCTACACTGATGAGATGGCCAGCTTTACTGCTGACATCTGCGAGGCTTATAAACATCTATTACCTATCAAACAAAAGGTATGTTTGTTGTTGCTGTTTAAATCATTTGTCACTTGAAACATATTCTAGAGGTCAGGAAATGCAGTACTTATTGTTTGTACAGAAAAAAAGTCGTGAACTGTTTCTGTTTTGTGTTGTTAACCACAGACTTGGTAAGATATCAAGAAGCTAAAATTCATTTAGCCTGTTGGGATTCTTTCTTGCTTTTTAGTATAGCTGTTTAGTCCGGAAGTCTTTCCTTGCCTTAAATTTACCAAATTGTGACAAGTTACATGAGAATCATTAGATGTAATAGTCTTATTATGGTTTTATTCCATCTGTCTTCATTCCTTGTTTTCAGGCCCCTGATGCCCAGGAACCAGAGGATCCATATTCCTTAGACAAAGAGGGGGTGTGGAAGCTGACGACTGCAGAGATCTTCAAGAATGTCCATTGTCTTATTAAGTTCGGCAAAAAGATTCCAGGTAATAATGGGATTGGAAGTTATCTTCCCGTTTCTTAGGAGACTGTATGTATACCACATAATGCCTACCACAGAGTACTTAATTTGCAGTTGTAGACACTTACCAGTTAGGTCAATACAAAATTGAAATGGAATAATTGAAAAGCTGACACATGCGTATATACACTTAAGTGGTGTGATGTTGACTTTCTTCACAGTATTGTCGCTGATTGAAAAATCATTAAAGCCTCACAAGTTATTACTGCAGCATTTCTCATGAGACTACTTTTATTGCAGGTTTTCGTGCCATTCCTATGGAAGATCAGATTTGTTTGGTGCGTCACACTAACTACATTATGTCCCTGGCCATGATGTCACAGATGTTTGACCTTCAGACCAAAGCCCCCAACTTCTACAACCTGAGTGTGCCCATGCAGAAGCGCATCTTGGAGGCGTTCTCCCAGCCGTTTGCTCACGTCCAGGAACACATGGTCAGCTTTGGAGAGAGGCTGAAGTCCATGGATATGGATGACATAGAGTACCCGATGCTGTGTGCACTTATACTGCTCCAGACATGTAATTATGCTTTCTCTTTCCCCACCATTTATCTTAGACAATGAATTAGACTCTTTGATTTTAACAGTGGCACTCTTAATCAATAAGTATATTTTGCATACTTATCTACGTAGGATGATTGTTTTTATAAGTGTTTTTGTAGTCATTTGCCTCAATGTAACTCGAGGTCTCATGCCCAAAAAAAAACAAATATAATGTAGTATGGTAATCTAATGATTGATTGACTGTATGCTTAGTGTAGCCCATTGTATTCTTTTGTTGCAGCTGACCTAGAGCTGAAGGAACCAGGGAAAATTGATCAGTTGTCTGCCAAGGTCAGCAATGCCTTCAAGGCATACATGACAAGTAAGTCAACCCTAGATTATTTGGTGCAGTTTATTTTTAACTGGGTCAGTCAATGCTTTTGATATGATTTGGTTATTTTATAAATGTCTTCATTTTGACCATCGTTGTAATACTTATGTGGTGTCCCATTCCTCACAGAGCCCCCAGTTTGGGGAATTGAGCACTTAGATCTAATCTAATTTGTCAGTTTTAAACTAAGATAGGTGAGGAATTATAAATTCCCCTGGCAAATCATTAGGGCCATGTTCCAATATGCCAGGCTTGTGCATGCTTGACTCGGATAATTGCTATTTCAGTCCCATTCTATATGTCAGGTGCAGTCTAGAGATACATGCCTAAAGTATTCTGTGCAATGAGTGCTGGTAGGATTCCTAGATCAGTGTTTTTTTTTTTTTTTAATACTTATTTATTTAATTTTTTTTTTGCCATTTAGTCATTTAAAAAAAATTAGATACTTAGTATAAGGCTTGGTTAAGTGTGCTATTTTATATTCTTTTCTGTTTTCAGACAAATATGGACCAAACAGTCCTCGCTACTTTAGCATTATCCAGATCCTGCAAGACCTCCACCAGGCAGGATTACTTCATGTACAACGCATGTCTATGGTGAAGACCATGGCTGATCTCCCTATCCCTGCCCTCCTGGCTGAAATGTACATCACATAGTCCTGGTGTGCCACTCTGCACAGCTAACAGTAGCCGGGCTCTGAGAGCAGCTGGATGTGCTGCCTCCCTCGTGAAGGCATCTTAACACTGTAGATTGGAGATTTCAAATTGCAAAAATGGGATCTTGGTTTTAGGAAAATCATTTATCTAGAGTTTGAAATTGTACATTGTGTAATCATAGCAACATGGGGAAATGTACATATTGTTACTTTGAACCACATCTTTAGACTGGTGGTACTTTTTTATTGCAAATCCACAGAGCATTGTGTTCATGGCTTGAGATGACTGAAGGGGTGTCTGGACGTGGCACTCTGGCTATTGTGATATGGATACCTAGACACGAGATTGAAGCCATCATCCTGCCAGTGAACATCAGCACAGTATTCTGGCCCAACAGGCAGCCTGCCCAGCTCTGTGCTGTTCCTCTCCAGCAGTTACTGTGGAAAATGGGGAATACTTCTTATTGACTGGAGAGACCTCTATCACTGTTTGGAGAAACCATGATAACTGACTAGAGAAATCACGTAAACTGACTAGAGAGACCTCTATTACTGATTGTAGAGACCACGGTCACTGATGGGAGAGACCTCTATAACTGAAAGGAAGATATAGAAAAGCAGCAATAACAGGCTGCATACATGAAGGTGGTTGCCTTTTTGTGAAACCACTTCATAAAGAGTGCTGTGTTGGGCACATGAACTGCAGTAGTGAGTGGAAGATGTATGAGATTTTGTATTTTGAATTGTTGCATATGTCAACAAGATTCATGATGTTTTTAAAGAGAGTTTCATCTTCAAAGACAGAAACAGAGAAAAATGTAAAACGTCCATGCTGTGCTGTGCAGCCAGGCATTCTCTATCACAGAGGCTGGGAGCTCTGCTCTACTTTGTACTGAATGTTCAGACACAGGGTTTTTACTGGAACTGGTGTAGATTTTGTACATATGTATATTTAGCATATTTTTGCATCACTAATTACTTTGCTTGAAGTGAAGGTTCCTTGGCTAATAGCCATACATTACATCAGATGTTATCAAAGGGGTCAAATTAGATGTTTTATCAGTGGTGTACTCTATATTTTGTGGTACAAATGTAGCTTCTGTTAATATGCCTGTGCTTAAATCCAGTATGTTTATATTGCTAGAATTAACTGTATAATTTTTATTGGATTTTTTCTATTAAATGAAAAAGTGAAACTTATGTAAATTTAACGTATCTATATTAATGAAGTCAGGAGAAATCAGAAGTGCATGACTTTAAATTTATTTTGTTTTAGTGCATATGTCATATTTTATAATAAAATTGTGAAGACCTGATCCTTTGTGGCCTAGCTACACCTGCCTTTGCAAAGAACAGTTAGCGCTGAGGTCAGTGTCCAAAATCAGGGCATTTTCACACTGATTGTCCTTGAGGATTTTATATCGAGATCCTGCCAGCGCGGTGCTTCATTAATAAGTGGTAGACTAGAAGATTGTCAGCATATTTTTACTTTGAGATTTTAATAATATATGTAAATAGTAATGAAGTATATTGATAATGAATGCAGGTGATTTAAGGGTGTGGCAGTGATGGACAGAAAATGGGAGGGGTGAATTGTGGAGGTAACAGGTGGAGCATACTTTTATGTGAGACTGAATCTAGAACGGTACCATTCAACAATCTTTTGCTGCCATACACCCCTAACAGAAAAAATGGAGTTGTGGCCCATTTCTAAAGTATTTTGCCACTTGTTTCATTTCATTTACTTGGGTTAAATATTTTTTGGATGGCATAAGTTTTTTTGTTGTTGTTGTAAGTTGACCTTGATGGAAACACTTCTAGTATGTTGTATGCACGGAGTGAAGCAGGTAGTGATTACGGGTTACATCTTTAGTTAAGAGACCTAGTTTGTCTGAGACACCCATTTGCTTTGTTCTAATTCAAGTCCGAATATAATCTATGAGGCAGCTTTGGTTAGCAAAGATTTCATGAAATTCTGTATTCGTAAGTGAAATACTTTAACAGTAGGGTACTGTAACATGATTAGCTCTATGTCAGACCTTAGCTGTCACCTTCACAGGTTCTGGAGTCTCTGCAGAGTTTGGAAAATTAAAGTTTAACATATATGGACATGCCCACAAGGAAACCATGTGCTGTTTAGCAGGGTTATGCTGACCTAATTCCCTGTTTCATTGCACCTTTGTCTTTAATAGTAGTTTGACATTAATCAGAGCAGAGAAAGAGAAAGGGATGGCTAGGGCCATCTGATAGGGGCAGCAAGAGTGGATACCAGTACCCTTAAGGTTATTAATATATTAATATATCATTTTTATGGATTGTGAATATACCTCGATAGACAGTAATTTTGAAACATTAACAACTCCACCCTTATAACAACAGCTTGTACTTTGGTTAATACGGTTATTCAGAAAGATGTCATTTGACTTGTATTTAGTGAGGAATATTGGAATTAATAACTTTGGCATTTCTGTTATTGAATTTTGCCATTTGCAGTAAAACAAAGTACATAAGGCTGAAGTGTACATGAGTGCCTTGTACGAAGATAATGCTGCATCGTGTAAAAATTGTGTGTTGAATTATTGATTCATTTAAGGGGTCGATTTGTTGCATCTGACCGCACATATTGCTCTAGTGTGCTGATATGATATTCATTAGTGACAGTTTTTAATTGAAGTTCTGTGTCATAGCGTAAACCTCTGTCCTTTGAAATAAACACGAGTGAATAACATGTCTGTGTTATTCGTCGAATGTTGGGCAATCCTTGGTTTGAACCAGGGGCAAGTTTGACAAAAGTGCCAACGCCCTAAAATGGCTCTTATCTCGACTTTTAGATCAATCATTTGGTCTACTCTAGTACAAGATGTTTCCATAGTAGTCCATTTGAATGAAGTATCGGTCTGAAACATTAGTCATAGGCTCTGTTCTCACAACTTTTAGATCGATCTATCACCGCGGGGAGTCTCACTAGATTACTGTCAGATAATCCCCCTTAAGTGTCCGTCCCCGCCTACTACAAGCTTTAAGGGGTAATTAACTTTCGTGTCCGCCCGGCTGACAGCTATTTAGCGTGAACCCCCAGGGAGTTAGGTCGATCCAATGTAGGTCGATCTAATCTATGAGAATGGGGTGATAAACTTCCCTGTCATAAAAAGGGTGCTATTTTCATGAATATTTCGTTTAGCTGGGCTACTACTGATTTTATATTGGGTCGAAGTAGACTACAATTTTAGTAAGAGCTAAGAGCAGTTTTTGGGCTAAAGCCGGTTCGTAAACCTGTTCGCAGGGTGGATCCAGGTTGTATTCACACCCAGCATACAGGACTATCCTTGGTTTGAACCAGGATTGGTCCAATCTGTGTTTTAACCGAAAAGAAATTACTACATTGGAAATGTTCGTATTCCTTTATTTTAAGATTAAAAGTTTTGGCTTTCATAGGTGCTGAAGATTTTCCTGTTCGGTGTTATAACTTATTGACGCTTGTGACTAAACGTAATTAAATATAGTTGTACGAGATTCCTTACAAAATTGATATCTTACTGAGCGACTGAAAGGAGGCATTTTAAGTTTAAGACCTTTATTGAAAGGGGGAATGGTTTACTTCGGCTTTTTTTTCAAAGACGTAAAAATACGTGTGATGCTGTTGTCGAGTGCTCATGTTCTTTTTTTTTCTTGTTCTATAAATTTAAGTTTTGTACAGCTTGTTCCAGAAAGTAAACTGTGTTACCTGAGCACGCTCACGCAAGTGGTAAAATTAAGTATATCTGTTGAATTAAAATGTATAATTCAAAAGTATTTTAAGCTGCAGCACAGCTTAAGTGAGACAGGGCCTACAGTTAAACAAAGATTGAGTGCATACGCTATATAACGTTGAAAGTTGGGAGTAGGCCTACTGGTCGAACTATTAGGAGCAGCGTTGCGTAGGCCTACTGTCAGAGGGATTGAGGGTCGCTTTCACCGTCGTTTTGGCCATATTGTAGTTAACGGTTTAAAAAGCCTTGGTTTTGTTCGCCCTATCGACAGTTTTTCGCGATTGTTCAGTATCAGCTTAACCTTACATGGATTCAAATCGCTGTATTCAAACGCATTGTCTATTTTTCCCCATTTTATGCGGGCGGCCCTGACTGTCATGTACAGTGTATTATCATCCCGCTCCGAGGCTTCGGGAATATTCTAAAATTGTAAGTTTTTTACATTCTTCTAAAACTCATCAGGAATTGCCGTGTTTTAAAAATGAAATTTTTTAATGTCTATCTTCATATTCATACTGATGAAATTCATATTAATATCCAAAACTGCATTCAAATGTAGATCGCTCGCCGACCAATACGTTGTTATGGCCAAGCATGGCTTTTAAAGTTCAGCCTGGTACTCCGACTAAAAAAAAGTAAGATGCCCCGCGTGTTCAAAACTGACCCATTACATAACACGTGGTGTCATGCGCAGGGCAGCAAACCAGGTCGAAGCACTTGTGTGACGTCATATCCCCCAGAGACCAACATCTTAATTGTAAAAAATATTGGTCAACGTAATTAGACGTTTTGCACTTACTCCCAGAAAGTCAAACCGATAACTTAAATTGACCAATGAAAATAATAATTAAACAGTTTTAGGGGCATTTATCCTTTTCTTTTCTTCTTTATTTCTTTAATGATACTATGATCTCCCCTTCCTGTCATAGTCTGGAGAATGAAAAGGTCAGTGTGTCTAGATTGACCGGGGTTAAAAAATACATTTTGCTTGGTCTTTACAAACAGATAGGTCTCTCCGCTCGATGCGGTGACGGGACTCTTGACCTCTTGGTGATTTATCATCCTGTCATTTTTCATGACACACACAGGGTGGACAGGGCAATGAACCAACAGAACAATACGTATTGGATTACTTTCCTTCCCAGGAGGATTACTCTGAGAGAATGAGGTAAGTGCTTGGACTCGGCTAGACACCGATGCACTGGAAGAATGAAGACATTGAACGAGGAGTGGTTTTGAGCAAGTGGTTTTTAGCTAGGTAGCTTTAAACAGCTAAGTATCTCTGAACAAAACAAACGCTTTCTCCTTTTATTAGTTGATTAGTCAAGGATATCAGTTGATCAGCCTAAGATAAAGTCACACATTTCGATATCACGTCTTTCGCACAAACCCTCTGAACCTAAAATCACCGCTGCCTGAAGACAGACAGACGGGAAGTACCAGGTTGCGGGAACATCAGTGACACGGTACGCCCGCCGAGATCGCGAGCCTGGTAAAGTTTTGTGAACTCTTAGCTAGTTGTAAACGAATTTTTTTTTATTTTCCTGTATATAAATATCGATAGAAGAGAAAGTCTGTTTTCGGTGGTACTTGAAGGTAGGACTGCATGCACCGTTTCTAGTACTAGCAGCTAGTTATTTTACCCTGAACAGTGGGTTAGTTCAACTTTGTTTTCACATGCCCTCTCGTTGAATAATTGGTTCATTTCCACGCTGATGGTGCGAAACGGGAATGCAGGTGGTCGTTCGAGCCAATTAAATAAAAAAAGCAAATGATTATTTTCTTTAGATGACGGTACTGACAGCTGCGGTTAATAATTTATGAAATATTATAGGTTGTTAATAGCTGAACACTGTCGGTACAGGTGATCACTGACCTTCATAAATAATTGCATATATAAGAAGGCATTCTTTTATCACAAGTGATATAAAACAGCAAGTATACTAACGTCTTTCCAGAGCGCTCTATGGAGTCATTTATTTTAATTTGATACACTATGATGTCATATTTTTGTTAAGAATGTTGTTGAATTGGTTGCTGGAGAAAGGATCAAGTAATCACACACAAAGTTCTTAAGCTAGAAATGCGTTTTATGATAGACGGGAATGTAGAAAAACACCAATGAATATGCAAATAGTTCAGCAAAATAGTGCAAATGTAAATATTAGCCATCCTGATAGCCATTGTGGTAGGTGTTCTGTATGTTGCGCAGACTAATTGTGTTTATTTAGCATGATAATGAAGACGTGCATGTATTCGAATGGTTACTGATTTCCCATTATCCAGCGTGTGTTATATTTTCAAAACAATAACAATATTTTCATAGCTTTTCAAAGGGAATGGTAATTCTTGACTTTGTTGCATTTTGGGATGAATGTTTGGTGGTGTGAAAAATGCTTTCACCGCTACGGATTTCAGATGGTCGATCTAAATATTTCCAAATGAAAACCATCCTAGGTTGTCGTCAGCGATTGGTAGTTTTGTTTAGCCTAAGCAAATTTCTCTCACGTGTTTTTACATTTTTCATAGGCGTAACTGTTTTTTGTTTTTTGTTTTTTTTAATTTTGACTCTCAAATGTGAAGAGAAATTGTTTGGTATTATAAGCATTCAACACTCCGAATTTTACTTTGCAGCTACATATACATGTATTTTTTTTATTTCAACACTTAACGCAATCACCACAATATGATAGTGTCTTTGTGATTTTTATTCATTTCCATAAAGCACAATATCGTAGTTGTTAAGAGAGTATGGCTAGTTCTTAATATTACTTGTGTTAGATGGGATTAATATCAGTATTCTCCTTTTGTAAAAAAAATTTAACTGTAACGCTGTTTTGGTTTTACTTTCTTTCTCTCTCTCTCTCTCTCTCTCTCTTAATTTTTATTACTCATTAAAGAAATACAGAGTGAGAAAATAAGACAAAGCGTGAATCGTTTAATTCATTCAAAAATTTACCTTTCTTTTTTGTCTGAAATATTTTTTCTATAGTAACACTTTCTTAATTACATGTGAAGTTATTTTTCATTCACATATTATTTTTCAGTTCATATCAACGCGAAATAAATAAACAAAAAAAAAAAAAAAACAAATTAATTAATTAACAAATAAATAAATAGGTAAGTTTATCTGCGCTCAATGCATTTTTTTGTTCTTGTGCCTACAGCTAAAAAATATTGATTAACGTTATTGAAAGCAGTTATTGAATATTTTTTATCATTTCCCGCATTTGTTTAGAGTATAAATGTTTAAAAGGAACAAGTTAATAGCTTTGACAAATAAAACTGTTCTGCGATTGTTCTTCTATGTCCCATATTGTCAAAATTTGGCGGTTTTCTTAGAAGTACCAAAATATCAGTCAGAGAGGATTCGACCGAAAACTAAACAATAAATCTGAGAATCTGTTTGATAAATATGAAGTACACAAATGTGTGTAAGGGAAAATGTCGAAAATACGCTCAAAATTATTTGTTTAATGTATTTTTAAATACTTAACATGTTGCTTTCATGCCTATTGACTTCTTTGAAATTTTTGTTTTGTCATTTTGTTATTTTTGAACCTTAAACCTCAAGCTAAAACGTGTGTTTTGTGTTTAACAGTCTTTTAGGTACGAATATTCTGTTATTTGTAAATAGCATTTGAAATGAAATTAGTTTTATCTGCTGCTTTCCAACAATTTTATCGATTGTTTGCATATTTGTTTTACTAACAATTTAGCAAATGTCCACTACTATACACAAATATGTCTTTTAAAACCTAGAAAGAGCACAAAAGGTTCTTTTTTACTAAGATATTTGAACATATTTTACTCACTAATTCTTCGCACTTTTATGTACTGTCCAAGGAGAAATTTTTGCCTATAGGCCTACTTGGCAGAGAGTAGCCTTCAAATACGAAAATAGATTATTGTATTTATTTTCATATCTTTGATTTTTGGCAAAAAGCGTTTGAAATTGGGAGAATTAGATAATAAACTTCGACTCACTTTAAACGTTTAAAATGTCATCCTTCAAAATTGGTGAAACATCTGAATTTTTTAATAAAAAATGCACTTTTCTCTTAAATCAAACCATTGTAGTAAAATACATTGCAATTACAGTAACGCTGATGTTTTTTAAACAAAATTGCAAAATTGCTTTCTAAATTTCAAAAAGCGCTTTTAAGCTGTAAAAATGAATATTTCAAGAAATTTACTTGAAAAGCAAAAATCACTTTTTAAAATTCTCTCCTATGTGTCACTTTATTATTGGGCGAAAACCAACAAAGTTATTTATGTATTATTATTTTTTATTTATTTATTTGTCATTTTACAACCAAGAGAAAACGAGTGTGTCATTTCCATTTATTTCACAACATAAAAAAATGGACAATATTCTAATATTCTTCAAGACGTCTCTTGACTTTTTGCACTGAGTCTTCGGTTGTATATAGATTTTGACATTTACAATATTTTCTTTATATTGGCATTGTACGCAAAGCCATGTTATAAACAAACTAGGCTGCATGTCCGGACTAAAAATACCCATCACTTACAAACAAATATTTAACTCCCTCCTAAATTCTTATTTTGCTCAATTCATATGACAATGTGGTACACCGTTTGTCAAGTTTATACTGGTGACCAAAGAAAAGAAGAAAAAAGAAATGAACTTTTGACCTTGGCGAATGAATCATAATGGTGGTCTAACCGGTGTCTTTTGTCCGCAAAAGGGTCACCCCGGGTAAAGTTCTAGGTGGTTGTGTAGATAGAAGAGGGCCATGTTTATGTCCTGAGCCATATTATGGCAAAATATATTTAGTTGGTGTAATATGTTACCCACAAGTGTTCATATGTGTCTTGAACAAATTCCAATGCTGCTGTAGCTCAGGGGAAATGGGAGGATGATGCATAAGCTAAATAGTCTTTAAATGTGCATCATTGAAAAATTTGAATTCATTAGCATGTGGAATGGGAGTTAAGGATATGTATAAGTTTGTTTCACCAACGTGATGCTGGTAAATAAAAGACGGAGGCTTTGTTGATAACGAGGAATTAATAAAATTTTTGTGATCCTTTGTAACAGCAAGTTGTTCACGAAGATTTTTTATAACAATCAAGCAAAAAATAAAACTCATTATTATTATTATTATTATTATTATTATTATTATTATTATTGAAATGCATTTATGCACAAATATTTCGTATGTTTTTAGAATGAAATTAGAATTGGCATTTTTATATGATTAAAAAATCCACTTAAGGCTTAAAGACAATTTGACCTTTTGCCTTATTTTCACGAGTAGAAAAAATCTTTATAACGCGTGTGATCTTTCACTGGGAATATTTTGACAAATTAGTGACTCGGACTTTTAAAAACGACCGCCTATTTGTTGTATGTTTGAAATAACTTTTGGTCAGTTAGTGAAAGGCTTCAAAAATAGGAGAAAAAAACGAAAAACCATTTGCAGTCACTTAGAATTGATAAAAAATACATCGTTTGTCCCAGGATATTGATTTGGGGCACCTGTTAACGATGCATTAGGCTACACGATGAAAATACGTGTACCCGCGTACCTTGTTGGAGAATGCATGTCGTCATAAGTGCCCTGATGCTACACGTGTATAAAAGAAGATGTAAGTTTAGGTCGAAATATGAAACATTTAGATGCAGAATGATAAGTGTGGGTAAAAGGCGTCTCTTTAAATGATTGATTGGCTGACACAGTAGATAACTTGATTATAGCAGGGCTATTCTGAATTATTACACGCTATAACTTGTTTACATTTTATCATTTGCTGATCTGAGATTGAGAGGAGGCCATATATTTGTGTGTGTGCGTGCGTGTGTGTGTGCGTGAGTGTGTGTCCACTGCCCCAGCTTCACTATAGGAAGGCAGGCCATCTTCCAAAATTTGAAAGAAACGGATAGCAGTAACGCATATGTACAATTGTACAGGTAAAATATACATGTAAAATGTATTCCATCAAGAGACCATCAAAACGCTAGAATCAATAAAGAAATAATTTTGATACTTGTACCATCACACCTACACAGATGTTATGCAAGTTATGCGGTCAGTATCGAAAACAATCACAGACTAATTGAGTAGAAAAAACGTTTAACGTGGGAATTGTGAAAATCCACGTTTAGATGTGATTCACATGTGAGAACTACTTTTTTTTCTTGTTAAGCTGCAGTAATAAGTATAAATAAACGCCAATGATCGGGCATTTCTTGAATTCTCTAGCCCACCATTCAAAGCGGTTGCGTCTGAGTTGATTGGTTTTTAACTAGGTTAATTACTGAAACAAACTCTCGGGCAAGGACTGTGTATTTAATGTGAAAAGACACTGAAATTATTTATGAGTTTGGCCCATATCTTGTATCTTGTATTTGAAATAACTGTAGGAACTGAATTACGAAATGTGATGATGATTTCAGAAAAAGTACTGATTTTGTTGTACATTCTGATGAATATTGTTCATGCAATGTGCAAGTCAATAAAATGGTAGAGACATTTATGAGTACACATCAGTACGAGTTACTCGTGGACACTTTTATCATTATAATTTTGTCATTCTTTATTGACAAAAGCAGAGAAATTGTCTTTCGAGTTAAGATGGGACAACCTGAAAATAGAAACAGCAAAAGCAAAATGGCACACAGTAAAATGTTGATATGTAGTTGTTTTATTCAATACAAATAAAATGTAATATAAATAAGACTATTCCAACTAGCTGTTATCTGCATTTCATGAAAATGAATCTTGTCGTATAAGGAAGTCCGTGTCTAGTTGACTTGGAGAACCGAAATCAATGTAGCTATCGATTAGATGGTGCACGTAGTTACCTCTATTAAGAAAACTGCCTCAATTCAAGTTAGACTAAGTGGAAGTGATGTGTCCGGAACCCGCTTGGGTCAGTGCACGGCTAGCTACAACGATGGACATTCAATACTGGAGAAAGAGTCTTGGTTGCAACGTGAACTGGCAGGGGAACAAAGGACTCTTTAGGTTACTTTAACTGGACGTCCCTTCGCTTTTCTTTCGTTTTGCGGTTAAAAATGCACAAACATGACCTTAGATATCCCCAAGATAGTCCACTTATGGGGTCTTATTCTATATTTTGTTCCCATTCTTTTGTTCTTTCTATTTTACACCTCTTTTGAAAAAAAAGCTTATTACAGCTTAGATGAAGTATTTATAGCGTTTCTTGATGTTTCAGTACTTGGCAGTTTTCAATTTTTAACCCCCCAAACTTATTTTTTGAGGTGGTTTATGGTTTCTGCAAGGGACTTGGTACCCATTGTGAATTATGTTTTCTTTGATATGAAGATTCAATTTTTTATGGTTTTATCAAAAGAAATGCGATATTATTCCTTAATGCTGTTTCATTTTACTCGAATGTTTTGATTTCTATATTCCTGTATAAGCCAACTTAATAAGCAGGCTCGTAGAGAGGAAGGTTAAAATATAATGTTAATATTCACTACAATATTGAACTTGAGGTGACTAAAAAATACGCCTGTAGACGGTAAATACCAGAGATATCAAAGGCACAACTATGCGTTTTGGTATTGAGTTTGGTATAACTAACTGTTTTGGTATTGGGCATGTTTAAAGCAACTCATTTTCTTTCTAAAATAATTTGGTATTTACTCCTCTGCGTGCAATCTCGAAAGCAGATCAATAGGCAATTGCAAACCAATTGTATTGCGGTAAAGTCCATTCATCGCTTCTTTCTGCCGGGTTATGTGAAATGCAGCTATATATGGACCTGTGGTTCAACAAAGCACTTCTAAAGTAATATCGATTATTGGGGACTTAGAAATTTTTTGCCTTAATTTTATAAAATCTAAGAGATTTCCTTCTTTTCAGGTAGCTTACAGTCTATTTTATGCCAGCATAGAAATCTTTGGAAGAACAAAATTATGACTGCAGTTTAGATTGCTACAACAGAATGCAAACGACAGCGTACTAATCTCAATTTTACTTATTATTTTTTTAAATTTTGTTCAATTTAAATTAATTTATTTATTTACTTATTAAGTAGTCATGTGAAGCAATCAATTGGGATTAGTGTATGAACTTTGGCGGCGAAAAAAATACTACATATCCCGACTGTATTCAATAAACCTCAATATAACTTGCATGTTAACGTTATATCGAGTTGCAAACTCAGAAATGTTCAATGAAGAAACGTTGACTAGGGTCAAATAAAGAATTATATTTAGTTCCTTCCAATTTCCTTGGCATATAAATAATACGACTTTGGTGTAGGCGTAGTAATCTCATAAATTAAAAGGGTGCTACGAACTGTACCCTTTGACATGGAAACTAATGAAAAAGAAGATAGTGGGCATTGACTTTAAAACAGTTTATCCCTTTAAAGAAACTCATTGATGAGATGCGTTTTTGAAGTTATCGATATCATTCATTTCGGTTTTTTGCCAAATATGTTTTATAGATTTGGCCAAGAAAGCTCATCACCAGGTAAATGTGTTATCTTATGTATTAATCTTGACACTTAGTAACATCCTGGAAATTCTTATGATATCATCAATCTTAATATCAGAGGTTTGTCATTGAATCAGACAGCCACAATAAATAATTGTGTACACGCCAGGAACAAGTACATTGAATTATTGAATGACCATTTCTTGAGTTTCATCGGAAAGAATCTACAACAACAGGGCGGGTATATTTATATATTGAAGGGTTTTTTCCGGAGGCAAGTTGACATAGTATGCACATGTATCAGCTTGAAGTATTCTACCTACATAACATCACAAACTAAAACCGTGGAACGTGCATCTAATGGGTACATTTACTTCAATTCAATAAAATTCATTAACTTGACTACTTGTTATTTCTGAGGCATATAATTTTCATAAATTAATAATAAAAAAAACAAACTTTTTAGGTATCCATTAAAAACAAAAGCTCTCGAAAAGCTAAAGCGGAATGATGACTTTTGTTATCTGTTTCAAAAGGTAATTGATTAACCAGTCTTCAGCACATTGATATACTGGTCTTGCTCTCTTCTTGCTGTGTAATATATGCCCTAACCTCTGCCAGAGTTATACATGTATCTTTGATTTATTTATATGTAGTGAAATATGACTGCCTAAGAATAGCTGAACTAAGGAGTGCGCGGGATAAAAGACCAATCATTGGATCTCAAGCCGTGGATTTTGAATCCACTTGATCTTCTCGAAATGAGACGCAATATGTTCGAAATGTTCTTATGTAATATGTTAATAGTAATAAATAAATAAATGAATAAATAAATAAATAAATGAATTAATAAGAAAGCTTATACAAAGACTTGCGTCAATGATACCGTTTCATACATTGATATGCAAACATGATAGATATATACTAAGTTACTATAATTTAAAAGATGCATATTATAGCGAGTACTTGGGTCAAATAATTCCGACTAGGTCCAAGCAAATGCCACCACAGTGTTTCAAATAGTATAACTTAAAGAAAATATTACCGGGTTACATTATCTCCCCCTAAAAATATTGTATATATGTAATTTCAAGAATTGGTATGTGAATTATTTGTTAGAAATTCGTACTAAAAGTTTAGGGCGTTTACTATGATATATATCTTAAGAAGTATGAAGCATGGTGTACCTAAAATAAGTACATAGATAAAATCAGGTACTGGAAAAGTTGTATGAAATAGACTCAGTATCTTTATAATTACCTATTGATGATGAATGCAGCTCAGCCCTTCTTCGGAAAGGCCAAGAATAAATACATTTAGCAAATGTTATAGTCATATGTTCAGCGTTTTGCTGTTCATCAGTGTGACAAATTTTGTCTTTGGATGCTACGACGCTCATATGATTTTGCAACATTACCATCCTACTTTTCGTTCGGACAGAGTCGACGACAGTTTTGAAGAAGGCCATCACCCAAAAGGTCACGAAACGCTTATTCGGCCATTGATATTTTTACCATTTTTGTATTGAGTTTTGTCTGGACGAAATTTACACTTTCCAGAAGCAACACAATGTTGTAGTTATATGCAAAACTAAATATGGCACATGACAAAAGACTGCCTCACAATTTATTTATTTTTGTGTTTGAACGTAACAAAGAATACAAAGTAATGTATCATCTTTTAGATCATGTCATTATTATTTTCTTTTTTGTGTATCCATTTATTTGAACTTCTTTTTTTGTCAAAACAGTTTTAAATAAAACAGTGCGCGGAAAACCTTGACGTGCACTTGGGTCTAGCCACCCAACTGTGTTGTTACTCGTCTTTATCCAACACTGAAGATTGAGAAAAATCCCTCTTTTTATCACAATTCCTTTTACCTTTTCATTTGCAGATGTATGGCAGCAGGACAGCCAACAGTGTACAGAGGTCATCCAAAGGTCACCAGGTCGGTACTGCTCTTAAAAGTCCAGGCAATTTATAAAACTTTATGCATCTCGTCATATACATATACGGGTTTGGTGATTATTTTGATGAGGGTTCCCTTATTTTTTATTTTTTCACATGCAATTTATGGTAGGTAATTGCTGAATCCGAAGATGAAACGAAATCGCAATTTTGAAAATGGATGTTATTCAGTTTATATCTTTTTGTTGAACATTTTCGGCCTCTGCTATTTGATTTGTTATGACTGGTCAAATAAGGTTACTCCTCAACACTGTCGTTTTCATGATATAATAACTGCTCAGTGATCGTGAGGCTGTTTAAGTACGAAAATAATCTTTCATGTTCTGTGCAGGGTTTCTATTGGCGTTTACGCTAGTAAAGACAAAGGGGATGAAAACAAAGATTGACATAGAATTAACCATGGACGCCAATAAAAGTTCGTGACAAAGATAAATATGTTTAGAAAATGGCTATTTGAAACCGGTTAAGATGCAAGCCCAGTTCCTTCTTTGAGAGGTAGACAAATGGCACTAATCGATACATATTATTTTGGGGAAATTAAAGATGCCCTTCATGAAAAATGCCTAATACTATTAGGAAGATGGTAAATGTATCCACTATATAACAACAGTAATTTACAATCCCAATAAATGTAAGAGAGTATAGCAAGCAAGTGTAAGGTATTTATGCTAGACCAACAGGAAGAGAATCCATGCTGTTATTGGATTAATAAATATCATATTTACGAAGAGCGATTAAGTTTATCTCTGGCATACGTTCACTGACGTTGAAATAGAATAAGACTTCGTTAATTGATCTGTTCGCTTTTTCATCTGTTCTCTTCAAATTTCTCATGTTTTGTGTTAAAATGTAGATTATTATAAATAAATAAATAAATAAATAAATAAATAAATAAATAAGAAAAAAATGTGCTTAAGATAAGCAGATAATTAGATTCAATGAACAACAATTAATAAACGTTACATAAAATGTAAGGTAACGTTAAATCAGACTTAAATTAAACAAGGAGGTGACCTAAATTTTATGGCAGTGCCAAATACCCAGGCATGAAGAAATATTTTTCCATATGTCAGTTTTAAAGTAGGGATTAGGGTGATGCTTTTTAAATCCAGCTGATCTACGCGTCTCTGTGTCCTTCCCGTATATTTGATTGAATTCCGGACCCAGTTTATGTGGCAGAATACACAATGAATAGTAGTTAACTGTGTTTTCTTTTCAAATATCATTTCAGCGTCCAGTGCTGTACGATTTAATTTCTCTCTTTATTATATTTTACTTTAATCTATTAGTACTATAATTTTGTTCACGAGATTTGAGCACCGAAGTCTACGTAATACATTTCAACATTTATAGAAAGAAACAATACATTTATTTATTTATTTATTTATTTATTTATTTAATAGGAAATGGTCAGTGCACTTTGGTTCTACACAAGAATAAAGTGGAATAAAGCGAATTTTGTGGCTGTATTTTTTTTATTTTGTTTCCTCATCGCCGGGACGAAATTATAATGCGTGCCAGAAAGTAAAGCATTTTTAATATATCATTTGCACCCAACCTATTTTATTTTTGAAACTTTTTAGTCTTCCTATTTGCCTCAGTTAATAGGGGCAAATTCGCTGGGTACCGTTGTTAGTTATTTGGTGTTTACGTATAATAGGCAAATTAATTTTGGATGAAAGAATTTGGTCTTAGACATTTCCCCCTAGAGTAATACTTAAATACTCGTACACATTTTTTGTAGTACACATTTTTTGTAATATTGTGATATTTTCTTTGTGACTTTTTACGACGAACTCTCTTAAAGATATATTGAATATTACAACGCTTCCAAATTCGTATGTTTGCATATTGACACATTTGGTATTGAACCGTCGCCTGTGTATATTTTAATATAACACGTGTCCCAAAAGGTATAAAATATCCATTGTCAGTTTTATACATAATAATATTGTACTGCTGTAGCTTTGGGCAGATGCCAGGTCACAACGTCCCAGCGCAAACTATTTCGGGTATTTTTTATTGCTTTGTACCAATTTTATTTGTTGTTGCCATACAATGAAAGATGAATTTACGGTTTACTGCGCAGCCAAAACCATGGAAAGGTCACGCATAAATGATTTAAATATGACGTGTTGCCTAAATCAGGCACTGGTAATTTTTTCCCAAAGGTCAAACAAAAATGTCCTCTTTCTTTCTGGTCACATGTGGGTCAGAGGTAGAGTGTACTGTGCTCTGCTACATATGCTTGTAGCTTTATGATACAGTGCCGGCTTGCTACAGAATCTCTTAGCACCACGTTCGTGTAATGTTATTACAAATTTTCAGTGTTAGTTTGCTTCGATTATTTTTGTATGTAATTACGTTATATTATAGACTTTCACTATTTGGGTGACAAATTCTGCAGAAAAGACACGGAGTGGCTGACAAACTTGATGTTCTTCTTTATGAATGAAATAAATTGACCTTTGGTCCATACTCATCATTAATGTTGTTGGCAGTGCATCTGTTAACTATACTTCTTATAAAAAGCATATTTTCGCTAGTACTGCTTGATCTTACACTCCATTCCAAGTTCACCTTAGATCTTTAAAGCATGCCATTAATTGGTTTGTTGCAATTGCAGCACGTAATACAACCAAATTGCTTTACTTGGCTGCCACTTAATTCTTCTAGTAACGCCCTTTAAGATGCGCTACATATTCTATCAAGTTGGTGTATCTCCTGGCTCACAGCCATTTGAAGCATATTTTATTTTGGCAGTTACTTTTTGTTTAACAAGCATTTTGGGATTTTTTACTGCTTAGTTTTCTTTTGAAAGAACTCACATGTCAGAAATTGCCTTTACGGGCATATTGTATGTAGTAACCGTCTTGATATGCCTTTTTTCTTTTTTTTTTTCAGAGGAGCCCCAGCAATACCAGTTTAGTGTCAAGTGGATCTTTTTATATGCAGTATAAATCATTCATGTACATACCGTCCTAGAGATTTGCCAGAATCAAAACATATTGTCGCAGAACATTAAAAAATAATGACCACCGGCACTATGTTCAAGTCAGCCGTTGGGTACCATGCAGGAACACGTAGCGCAGTGCCTGTTTCTTTAGATAGTTCATAAAGTTTTTATCTGCCAATTATCATAGTAGCAGGTCATATATGTGCCAAAGAAGATAAAGTCATTGTTCCATCTTGGTGAACAGAGAAGCCACTTGAATGTTAACAGGGATTTGAACGCCGTTCGCGCCTGGAGTGATGTTTAATGGCAAGGCGAATAGTAATGGTTGTATCATATATTATTTCCTATATAGTATTTCCTCTTTGAATAATGTATTTTTTTACTCTAAACCATGTAACCCTGGGGATAGACTTCATTGTGCAAAATCAGCATTTCCTTTTATCACGCCAGGTGAATGTAGCTTTACCCGTTCTATGCAACAAATATAATTAATAAATTATTTTTTACTATTTTTCTGGTCATTCATGTCCATGCATTACTACAAAAGGATAAGCATTTTTTCCTAGATATCCTGAACACATAGCGATATTTTGATCTTTTTGTCATGTTCAAATAATATCTTACTCACGATCTCGATATCATATTGATCAGAAAGAAGAAACACTAGATGTTTCAACCCATTTAATCAAAATCGATTCTATCAGTGTAAAATTTAATATTGAGGAGATTTTCATCGAATTCAACACAAACTTAATATTTATAAATAATCATGTTGATTCGAAAGCAAATGATGGAAAATAAATTGCCACCACCCGGTATATGTATCTTCCGCTAAGATAAACAAACGCATCCGTATTGAACCATGATCTTTCATAACCAAACGAGCATTTTAATATATGTATAACACACGGGAAACTCGACAGTTAAACCACATCTGTTTATTGAGCTTTCCCCCATTTCAGCCTACATAAAGAATTCGTGCAAATTTGAAAAAAGAGCAACGCCACAACCCGCACACAGTAAAGCGAATGTGTAACTCGACACGTGAAACCGAAAATGAAAACCAATATTACGAAGCTGAAATCTGTTTTATACACATAATATAATAATAGAAGTTAAGGTGGCGTTTTTTACACGTACTAGAACATTTTTTCTGAAAATCCCTGAAAAGTTTTGTTTATTACTTTAAAGACACCTGCAATTACTAAAGATAACAAATCTGCACAGTCTTACAACAGAGTGAAATATCTTAACAGCTTGCCCAACTAATGGCTCCATCTGCATTAACGAAAAATAATTATTATAATTGTGTACATATGCCTTCTATATAATTTTCGTATAAGTAACACGTAACGCCAAGGTTGTCATACGGTACTAAGTTTCCATATTACCTACAGAAAAATAACAATGCAGTGAAAGCAAATAATAAAAAGATGAAACCTGACCATGTCGAAATCTTTGTGTGAAATCAATCTGCACGTACTTGGACCCTGGTCCTAAAATCTACCAATACACCACACGCATTGAGTCACAAATATATTAAATTATTTACAAAAATATGGCACTGTCTTCACGAAAAAATCTGTTAATCAACTGCAGATCACGTCTAAAACAAACAGAACGTGTTTTTGAATATTAACGGACATTTTGATTATTAATGTTCCAAACAAAAATGGCATCATGTTTTGTGTACATATGTTTAAAACCTTAATTTTGGAAAATAATCTTACTTTTGGAAAGCTCAAGTAAACATCCCTGCACATTGAGAACTTGTGTTTCTAAGAACAAACAGAAACAAAACAGACTAAATGTTTTCAGATGAGAAACATTTTCTTCAATATCATGTCAAATTCTGTACATTACAACCCGTATGCTCCGTAGTGATAACAAGGGCTAGTAAATCTGTGGTACCCCAACTCCCTTCCTCATCAACACTTCTTATATCTTATTTGATTTGCAATAAATGCAGTGATAAAAGATTCAGTTTTCAGTTTTGTTCGCTGAAACTGCTCTTTGATGACTTTGACGAGAAATGTCATCATAGTGTGTTTCCAAGTCTTTCGAAAATAAAACTGATTTTCTGTCAAGCAAGGAGGTTCAAAACATTAGAAATGGTTGGTTATACAGAATACTATACAGAACTGTCTCATTTCAGACAAATTAATATTATTACTGTAATCTAAAATGATGTTTTAAAAACAAATATTAAAAACAACAACTATAAAGAGAAGAAGGCAAGTCGAAAATGTATGAATTTAAATGTGATTTAGAGCAGCAGGCATGTACATGTATATTTCATATTCAACATAAAACATCATAACCGCTGGAAATCCCAAAAAATATATACATGTATATTTCCATTACATTGAAAGACATGCGTGGGCGATTTTTTGGCCAAAAATACTCATCGAAACTGATTTTCACTTTATCCTCGCTACTTTACATATGTTGCCCTATATGAACGTTATCTCATTAATTCATTCAGAGCACTAAATTCAAACACGTTTCCCATGTTGAATCATTACCGGCATTTGCCACTTTAAGTCCTTGCGTGTGATCTCAATTTCAGCCAATGAAGTCATTAAAATATGGGTCATTTCAATCATGGTATGGTTATCAATCATAAGATAAACTTAATTTTGATACCAGAAAAATCCGCCCACTATGCCTGTCAACTTATAAACAAAAACCTGAGCACAAAGGAGATTAACACGAGGTAGTTCTGTTATCCGCTGTGCCTCAGAGCGATACTGTTCGAATGTGTTTAAAAGGACCCCCTCCAACCACCAACAACAAGGTAGTGCGCTTATGTCTCCCTTCATGGCGCCATACTGGAAAGCGCCAGAGTCCTGAGGTTACACTCAACTTGGTGTACAATCATATTGACACAACGTTCCCTGGCTATTTGCATTATGAGAACTGACCCCAAATGACCTTCTCTCTCAAAAGCTTTATATTGGTGTATACCAACACGTCAAGCATTGGCTAGCTGGTCAACTATTTAGCACAGTAGTGAGGTAGTGGGTTTATTGGCGGATGTGTGGGTTAATGTATGTTTGTGTATGCGGTGTAAGTGCGTAAAACATAAAAATACAGAGCGAGAAAGAACACGTCCAGGACCATATCGGTTGACAGTGAGTAATCTCAATTCAACCATGTTTGACACCAAGCATATTATTTACCTGGTGTTGACCCGACCGTATATGAACTAGCCCTATTCATATAGGCTCGGCAACAGGGACCATACATTGATCGTGACGCCTGGTTCAGTGCTTGCCTCCACTGGGTATATATATTCAGGTCATTTGAGGTTTCAGAGGGCCGTTTTGCCAACATGTCCATAATAATAATTTCACCACGCAAACATACACACACACACACATTTACTGGCCTCGGTGAGTTAGATGTTGCCATAGACACTTAGGTAACATCTTTTTTTTTCTTAATTGATGCACATGGACTGACGTTGTGCTCAGTTTGGAATAGAATTCACTGGGATTCTTTTTTACTGCTTTTTATAGATTTATTTAAATGATAGAAAAAATGTAGAGGGTTCAAAGTGACCGGTGGAATTTTTTTTTAGTTTTTGGCCTGGAATATTAAGAAGACATTTCATAATAATTATGACATTTGGTTAATATTGAAATTTAGGTATAATATTTACTTGTGTTTTAATTATTGTTGAATTAAGGTCACGGTTTTATTTATTTTTTTCCAAGACAATGTTTATGTAACATTCTGGTATATGTGAAGAAAACAATTGTTATTTGAAGCAAAACGGAAATTACCTTTTCTTCACATTACTCGTTCTCTGAATAACACGAAAAAAATTTAAAATAAATTCGTAAAAGAAATCTCACGACTGTTTTTAAATGTTCAGTGTTCCATTGCATTATCAATGTTTTGAAACTCCTTGTAAAATACTCAAGAAAAAAGGTAAAAATAAACCGTAATATTTTAAATTCAGAAATCAGACGAGGAAACCCCATTGCACAAATGCACATCTACATATTTGCAGTCTAGAACTTGCATGTCCTACTGGTCTAAACCTATTAAAACGGATATATATCTACATATTTGGCTGGGTAAAAATATTACACACCTTAACCTACATGTTCTATTGGCTTAAACTTGATAAACACAAAGACACAACTTATGTTTGGGTGTGTAAATATATTTTTACTTTGTGGCTTATATTTTGTACTGGCTTGAAATTAGTTTTAAAAAAGCAGTGCGTAAAATATACTAATTCTATACTTAAACAACAGACAACTGAATTAAAAAAATATGACCCACTTTTTAAAACCGGGGTAACTGTTAAATAACTGTAAAAAAGACATAACACTAATAATGTACACATAAAGAAAAAAATTAAAATACTAAATATTACACCTACCCAATTAACTAGTAGAAGACGTCCTGAATAAATTCACAGTTGTATGACATCTGTAAAGATTCATTTTTGATTCTGGTCCTAAAAGAGAATGTTAGTGTATACAGTGAGGTATTTATGGTTTACGTCCCTGAAGTCACCCCCTCTGAACATGACCGTGTCATGGAGTCAATCGCAGCGTACCTGATGTAGGAATGGGAATATCTATATTCCTGAGCTGTAGCACTGTAAAGACTGGGCGTCTTCTCTCGATAAATGTCTAGCTGTTATACAACATGCATCGGAGTTTTGCAGTCTCATTTTTTAACGAGGCAACCTCTACTCTTAATTTGAGGTTTTCTTGCTCGAGAAATGCTGCCCTGATCGCAATCTCGTCCTCTTTGGCTCTTCTTGCGTCCCTTGACCGCTTGGCTGCCTCATTGTTCTTCCTACGTCTCTCCCAGTACGCCTGGTCTTTCTGTCCCTCAGGGAGTGTCCGAGGTTTCTTGCGGTTATTGTGAGTAGCATTAATGGGAAGGTGGGGAGATGATGAAGTGGATGAGATGGAGGACGTGGGGGAGGAGGGGGGTGGTTTGTCTCCCGATTCATGATCATCTTCGTCATCTATTTTACGCTGTAATACGCTATTCCGGTAAAGTCTAAATAATTCTTCAGAGGTAGCCGTGATACCTTCCAATCCTGGAGGTGCCCCGTTCATGCCCGGGATGCCATAGTAGCCCAGAGGTAGAGAGAGCGGATCCTTGGGGTATGACTTGAACGGTCTGGACGACTTTGACCCTTCTATAACTGCGTCTGGCACACACAAAGGTGATCCAGGCAGCATCATATTTGGTGGAAACCCATTCACAGGGAATCTCCCTGGAAACCCGTGGAACGCCGGATAGCCCGTCACTGGAACGGTCCCCGGGAGCGCCGTTTGAGGTTGACCCAGAACTGAGTGATACTCCGAGTCCGTACTGTAGACTGAAGCGCAGTTTTCTTCCCCTGAGATGCCATTTTCCTGAGGTTCTTTTTTAATATTACATGCTATATCTTCAATTTCTTCTTCCTGGTGCCTTTTTTTCATAGAAAAGTCCAGTGGCCCTTCATCCGCTTCATCGTCTGCATGTCCGTTTGTTATCCCATTGTATATGTCACTTTGTATAGTAGTTTGATCTAGCGCACTCGGGGGCTCTTGCTTGATTTCTGCCGGCACCCCATGTATGTGTTCTTGACCGTCCATATTACCTCTCATTGATACGGTTGTGATAGCGGGCATACACAACAAGCTAGTCTGAAACAAAAGGGATCAAAATAAGAAACCCCAGTTTCTCTTCCTCTGACCGCCATTTTGGCCATGCTCTTGAAATGTCCTTAATAGCGGATGAAAGTGAATACATTTTTCTTTCAAAGAAACCCCACCCATATGACCTCCTGGTATTAAAAGTGCACTGAACGGATGGTTAATTTATGAGTGCATTTCTTCCACCGATTTTTAACGAAAAGTATCGATAAAGATATTTAAATTTCGGTTAACCTCCCTACCTCCTGTGCGCGTCAGATGTATACACGGCTCTGCGCAAAACACGTTAAACCAAATTGCAAAGCGAAGGCGAAGAGTAAAATTATTGTTACCCCTCTGAAGTATCTAAATACAAATATTTTGCCAAGCCAAGAGAGTTTTATTCGATTTTGGTATTCTTTATTTATAAGTTTACCGGTGCATTACAAAAAATTAAATATTAATCGAAAAGATCCGAGAAAAAGGAATAAACACTTAATCTATCGCACTCCAGCACCAAGTCGTCAATCTTGTCGAGAAATATATTTCAGACAAAGAATTTAAACAATTTCATTAACTTTGGATATGATAAGGGAAATAATATCATTTTACCTGTGTATGGCGCGTTTGTGACCCTCAGAACGCGACTTGTGCTCCTAGTCGTCAGTTGGATGACCAGTGTTCAGTTGTTGTCCGATGTTTTAACTTAGGTCGACCCGATCCGTTCACTTGGCCCGAGATGACGTCTTCATTGTGGTCAGCTTTTCCATGTAAGTACACTGTTCATTCACGTAATCCAAAATTAGGTATCCAATAGCGTGTTTTATGTGTACGTTCCGTAGCAGAGCTCATCGTCACTCCTTGTCTCGGACTATTTGATTGGCTAGAATCCTCTATTTGCGAGGTTACGTAAGGACATTGCTGTTTTATCGTGAGGGCAAAAGTTCATAGCCTCGCTATCATTTAAGTTGCCCTGACCTAAAAAAAAGCCTGCAAATGTGTAAATATAACGTTATGCAATGTTCTTCTGTAGGCTTAGTAGTCATAAATGGGAATAACCATGACGTGTTTGTGGCAAATGACTTGCGTCAGAACATCTGTGAAATATGATTGTTTGTGATTTCGGTCAATAACCGAATCGTGAAGAAAAAAAGGTTTTGTTTTTTTTATGTTGTTTAATTGTCTCTGCGAATGCTTGGTTCGATTATTGGACAAGACTGTCGATTACTTCAATATCGTAGAGTTTTTATAGGAATTAATAAGGCACCTTAGTCATGGATGTTTGGTACGGTGAGATAAACTACAAATACCAAGTTCAACGCAAGGTAGTGAAATGTTAAGTTCAGTCAGGGTCATCTGGTCAGAAATAGACACATATTAAAGCGCATAATTAGATATATGGTTTCGGAATGATAACATTAAGAGCAAAATACTCTTCTCTGTTGCCAAGAGTATTAATCGAAGACCGTGCCAGCTGCATCAACACAATTATTTAGTACGCAAGCATTGAATATATGTAGGCCATGACCCTCTACCTTGCGCATATTCAGTATTGCAGCGTGGAGAGGCATTAGGCATGAATAAGCCTTTGGGGAATAAAGAAGCAGCCGGCACTGGCCTGTATTGCATGCTGTAAACAACCTTTCTGTGGCCAGGTTGAAATAATCAATGCGGTGTTTTAGGCAGCGCTCTTAGACCTACTACCCTGGCAATGACCCTAAACAGGTTGCGTGAGGTCAATATTGACCGCCTTGTCTGTATAATTGCGCAATTCTGTTTTGACCTTCAAACGCTTGAGGACACGTACTCGGTGCATTTTCTGACGTCACTCAAGACAAAAGTGCGCATGGTAGAAATTGTTTATCAAGCGTCCGGATTGGCGTTTTTTTAATCATTTGATGGTCTTCATAAAATCAACACTAGTAGTAACAAAAGCTTTCTTGCTTGTCGAGGTAACCCTTTGCAAGGAGAGTCTCACTGATCCTTTTTTTGTCCTTGAAGAGCTGGATGTCGATAACTTTCCCAGATGTTATTTTACTTGAAATGTTTGGCAGAGGGGAGTGGGAGGTTGATTCGCCACTTCCTTATATCTACGCAATGGTCAAAACGATTGTACTGATCCTCTCTACGAATTTACCATGTGCTTTTGTTATCTCCTGGTTAACACACTGGTTTATTCACTTTCGAGTTTTGATAACCTCTTTATTTTTTGTTTTTGTTGTTGTTTTAAAGACGCTTTCTTTTGAAATGACCACGTGCTTCATTCATCACCGAATGCATGTTACAGAATAGCTCTATGCCTAAACTAGGTTTTTTAATTTCATTTGTGCTAACACTATCACGTTTTTCTATCAGTTTTATGAAAATACGCATCTAAGTAATTATTTTTATGGTGGTCGTACTTTCCTCCATGTAAAACGCAAATGCAAACTAGTTCGAAAAATGTAAAACCAAAAGCAATGTTCTACATAAAAAGGATTGGATGCCAACAATGGACAGAATATATATGAAATTTAATTATAAACGGAGTTCTTAGAAACTTATGAAACAAAACCTCTGGCTGAATTTTCCAAGAATTCAGCTCAAACATATATAAAGTGTCATTATCAATATTATCTTACATTATTTGTTTGAACTAGGTTTGAATGTAGGTTCCAGTGCACAATGCAGTATACAAACAAATGTGTCAGTGAACACGGTTATTTTTTCAAAGGTAATGAAATAAACACGCATGCAGCTTGCAGAATAACCGGCACATATCTTGACCATGCTTACATGCACATAGTTACAGGTAGATGCTGTTGCCTGAAACATAAGCTTCTTTTAATTGTCACATCAGAAGCACCTGTATGAATCCAAGCTTTGTGACACCGCGTGCATCCATTACTGCAAATTTCCAATGACACTACGGTTACATAGATGATAGACTATAACTTTTTATAAATAAAATGAACTGACATTCAGGCCCTAATTAACTCAAAATTTCGCCTTTTGCATGCTGTATCTGTTTACTGGCCATTATATTGCAAAGTATCAATGACCACAATGTCCGTTAGCTTCACAATACAGAATGATAGGACTTCTCAAAATAGTTTTTTTTTCTTTTCCTGTAACTTTTCATGTAGGCCCTAACGTTTGTCATTCACATTAAAAACTACAGGAACATGCGAGGGAGGTAGCATTGTTGAGTTAATATATCTTCATTGTACTTAATGTGTATTGAATCGTTTAAGTTTTAATTTTTAAATGTTCTGATCATTAAAAAAGTGTGTGAAAAGTAGAATTCTTCTTTTAGTAGTTTCAATTGTAAAGATTGCATATAGTTGCCATATGTTAAATTTTATGCAATTTCGTTTTTAGATATTTATGTCCACATAGAAATATAGAAAATTTTATGCTACACAGGATGCCAGAAAATAAGAGAGAACCATCGGTTCTATTCAGTGGTCTTTTGCTTTGTCAATGGCATTCATCTATTAAGTGTGAACAAATTGAATAATCAACTATGATGAAAAGTATGAAATATTTATTTCTATGGGATATTTTAATTACACGTAAAATTGAAGTTTTATACTGATATTAATTTTCATTCAAATTTAAGGTTCTTAATGTGTCAATGATTTCATGAAAGAAGCACTGAGGTGCATGTGTTGTGCAATTTTTTGAAGAGTAAATAATTATTATTATTAGTAGTATTAGTATTATTTTTTACCCTCTGGTCTTCTATATTTGGTTCCTTTCGTAAATATTCTAATTGAACATACATTATTAGTGTTTAACCCTTGAATTTCAAATAAGAATTTATTGATCAGGGCTGATGTAAATCCTTAAGTTCTGAGTGAGAAACACGACCCGTTCCATTGTGTTGAGGGTCAGCTTTAGGTTAGCGTTACCACAATAAAATTTGACATTTGTGTAGTTTATTAAAATCATATTATGTCATTGATGTGGGAATTAAGGTCGACAAAGTAGTGTGAATGGTGTGGCGGTTTGGCGGTTTGGCCCATATAAATAAAACTGAGTCTGTTAGGTCCTGACAAGTTGATAAAGCGTTACCACGTATCTTTCTTTATTGACAACCAATTTAAACAGCTTTGCAAACTTTTATTTGATTATGAGGATTTTTAACTACATAATATAACAGTGTTGTCGACATTGTAATTCGCAACGACATACATACTGGTAAATATATGTATTCCCACACAAGCATATAATCATAACAAACAACAACAACAACGCATGGGGATAAAATGCACTGAAATCATTAATTCTTTCAATACTAGCAAACTGTCAAACCTACAAATACATGTATCTATTTTGTATTCATAGAATTGTAATATCATTACAAAACGTTACGGCAAAAAGTTGGCAGAACTGCTTGCTATCTATTCCTAATGTACAAAATTTATTAATATCATTAGATATTCTCTCTAATGACAGAGATAGACACATATGCTTGTTTCAGTCATTATTCTCGGAAAGGACTGGGCTTTTATTTATTTGCATGCAAGCACAAATCCCTCCAGGAATTTTTAGCTTCATTATTTACTTATGTACTTATTGAAAGGGATTTTGTCATCCAGTTCTTTATAGACATTGTGGTTGACTTGCACCAATTCCGATGAACATACATCTGTACTGTGTGCACTGTGATGCAGCGTCTCATTGGATGTCAAATACGCTAGTGGCACTTAATAACAAGATTGATAGTACCATAGAAACGTCCCTTTGTGGCGAATTTGCTACAATGAGGTAAAAACTAGTCTGATGCCATTGTTTTAGCACTGCATACGCGCATCCCCGGTTGTTTGCATAGGCCTACCTCCCATGCATTTTATGATAAATATATTATAAGCCGCAGGCAACGATGATCACGTTTTTCAAGCACACTGGGCTTTCCGTGCTCTATGGAGCATACTTGGCTGATTGCATTCCATCAAAAGATCGATATTTGCCCTACTTTTAAACCATTGCGTCATTAATGTGGATCAATACCGCGGAAAACGGAGATAGCTCTTGTTTCATCAACGCGCGTAGTTATTCTTGTTTACAGTTTCCAGGAAAATATGTTGTTCCATTTGGTACATACGCTGAATCCATAACATTCGCGGAAAATATAGAATTCCATGTTACTTAGAATCTAGAGTGAATAAATTGAACCTTGTAAAGCCGGAAGGTACAATGCAGTTCATAAGATCAAGAAAACGGCTGCTATGAAAAACCATAATGATAAGTCTGGCAGTTGTAAGTTGTCTCGGCACTAAAGTCGTAGGAGATTTGGATCCGATGGGTGCCGGGGATTCTCCCCCTGTGCATATATTACAGCGTATTCAATAAATTGATTCGATAATTGCAATAGTTCTTTCCACGCCCTCTTTCACTAGTGGCAAACTCACCGTTTATCATGAGGTAATTGTTTGTATACTTGTTTGCTAGAACATGAAGAATATACGAAAATGAAACTGATAACAGCGTTTACGGCTGAGTTGCCCTCGATATTATTACACACAAAAATCACAACCGGATTATAAGGTAAAAGGACTGTGGGTTTAATGATTTTTTATAAATAGATCTCCTATACACCAAACAGAGCTTTGTGATACTGTGTGGTTGCAGCAGGTGAGCCCCTACTTTTTTCATTATATTTCACTACCGGTACATCATTGTCCGGACATGCTTAACCTCACCTAAAACCTGGCATGTAACACACCGAGGGCTTAAAGAATTAATAAAGCAATAAATGTCACAGGGAAGATTTAGCACCCACACAAACTACTCCTTTTCATGTGTGCATGTATGCATGCGTATATACGTCTAATGTTAGGAATACTAAACGGCATTCAGTTATGAACGACACTGTTACTCAAGAGGGTCGACGTCAACATTTCAAGGAAACCACTCGAACGAGAAAGACAGTTATTGATGTTAATATAAATCGTATTTTTATTCAGAATGTGATATTGTTAATGCCATTATACAAGGGAATCCGGTGTTAACATTCAAGTGCCAAAACCTGATTATATTCTCTTTTCTTTTTTTCAAAAAATTTTTTTCCTACTCAATAACTACATGCTTTTAACCAACACTGTTTTAAATGGTTCGTTTTGCTTATCTCTTTTTAATCAAAAATCGACTAAGGTTTCGTTTCATCAAACGTAATTGTTTGAATAGCGTCGTAGTATCCAAAAGGACGATCCCCACGAGCAAAGTCACCACGAATATAATTCCCAAAGATCCTATAGCCGGGGCCCCGGGCGCCTCCACAGGGTCTATGGCGTGCTTCCTGGATCGAGGCACAAACCTGAACGATTCCCCTACAAATATGTCATGATATCATTTAATAATTTGTATTTTTTAAAAATCTTATAGGGCGTGGGGGTATACACATCTTAGTTCGTAAATATGAAAAAGTGCATCAAGGATACTTGATAAAAATATCGACCGTAACTGTAAATGTGGGAGACTGGTATGTACAAGTATTCCTCATGAAACCATAGAGTATACGTAATACAACGATGACCTAATCAGTAAACGGAAATTATGTCCAACTGCCAAAGAATTACTTTTAAAAAACAGAAGACATAGGAAATACTTACCAGAGCAACCAACCACCAGTTTCGGATGCCATTTCCCATCTCTGCCACAAGAGGTGGATCGCGTGGGTCGATCATCAGCAAATGTCATGTTATTCAGACATTGGTATTGAACAGTGACACCAACGGAAGTGTTGTCAGAGACAGGAACAGCGTTGGTGATGTTCGGTAAGACAGGGCAGTTGGTGATTTCTGAAAAGTGATAAAAAACCCGAAAGAATTTCAGCAAATGACAAGTTATCTGTGGCATTTATCACTAGCTGCTGAATTACTGAATGTTCTTAATCATCCAGTAGAACTGAAATCAGGAATAGACATAAATCAGATTCTGGAACTCAGTTGGCTTGTTCTTGAATTTTACGGAAGTTGCAGGATTTGATTATCTATTTTCTCGAAACACTACGTGTTGATTATGCTATCAGTAATTACATACAACATGTACACGAAAGTTGGTCTCTGCACTAAAACGTTTGTGCTACATGTACAATTAAATTAAAAATTCAGTTCAATGCATAATTTAAGAGTAATATACAGCAATGATGAACAATCTGTTACAACCCTTATTCTCACATCATTCAATGTATACATGTAATTATGTGCAATGATGTATTGGGAAGGACCTTATCTGTCAAAATAAAACATTATGTACTTTATCATTGTAGCAGTTTTGACAGTCTGTATTAGATAAATAACATGTTTTTATTGCTTCATTATTGATTATTATATATATTGTTAATGTAACCCACCAGCACAAGCAGGAACCGTATCATTCCATGTCCCGTCATACCCACATGTTATATCATGTCTTAGAGAGACGTTGGGAAATGTATGGTAGATCTCACATTGGAAGCTAACCCTGACCCCAGGATCGGTGTAGTTCACTCTGGGTATGGTGTGGTCGGCGGCGATAGGGGGGCAGTAGCCTGCAGACATACAATAACGACATTACGCCCATTGTACAGGAATGGTAGTCCACTAATACATGTAGCATTAGTTAGTTCCCCTTTACTTTGTACAGGTGACATTCGCCCCATATATTTACCCCAATACTCCGACTAACCCTGTGTTAAAAATATTCCATCCTCACTGGACATGAATTCCTAGGACTACCATTCTTATAACACTACTATATATATATATATATATATATACTGTACAGCACAACGAGGGAAGCCAAGAAAATATATTTTAATACACTTGAAGAATATAGTGAGATCTTGTAGTCTTCTAGCTTAAATTCTGTGACAATTTTGAAAATAAAGTCAAATTTTTATTTTATTTGAAAATCGATATCTAATTCCAACTGACACATCGTAATTATGCATAAATAAAGTACATGTTTAAAAACAATCTAGCGTGGAGTCTGTAAATGTGACCAACCTGCAGTCAGCGTTCAATAATTTTAGCATCTCCAACAGTGTCAGTCCCTCGATATTGCGGCCCATTCAAACTGAGTTGTGTATAAGTTACATGTAGTTTGCATGGATGGTCAAATTTCAAATTCAAAAATTATTTCAAATTTAAAAACTTACGTTGGCAGTCAACTGCAGGTGGCTCCCACTGCCGACTAGCCCCACAAGTTAATGTCTTCTCGAGAGTGAAGTCAGGGAAGAGGAACCCCTGGACACATGTCACAATGGCCACCGTGCCCACCATCCTAAAGCGCGTGTTTACTGTAGCGTTGGTGAAGTGTAGGTAAGGACATAGGGTGGGATCCTGGGTCGTGGTCGCAGCTTGGGTTGTGAATGAGGTAGTTTCTGTGCTTGTTTGAATGTCTGGAACAAAAAAGGAAATTCGTACCTGGATCATTTGTTGCAAAGATAGGCATATGGTTTACACTGTGCGATCTAAATATATTTTATATTAAATGATTGCAAGTCTTTAATGTTGTTTTTAGTTTGATGAAAATTTTGAAACAATGGCTTTTCTAGATAGAGTCGTTATTTCTTTGTGGAAAATAATTCGCACCGATTGCGTAACATAGATAATTGAGAAATCTTGGTAGAAGTCTGCTCTCTCTAGGTGCTTTTCTAGTTACTTGGTACTTCTTAAACACCACAGAAAATCGCACTATTACAAAAGGGCACCCAATTTCAAATGGTCGGAAAACCAGTTGGTTTAAAACGTGGTCAACCGCTGAAATTCTGTTTGAGACATCATTCCGTATTCTTCAATTACCTGAGGGTGCAATGGTGCCAGTGGTCTCACCGATGCTGGTGCTGTATGATGAACTGTCGCCTATGCTTGACGGAGTGCTAACAGTATTCAGTTGGGCTGTGGTTGTTGTTGTTGTGGGGTTTTGGCTAAATGGGTGGTAGCTGGACCCCGTCGTGCTGAAGATAACGTAGTTGCTCGAAGATGTCATCTCTGAAACAATTGAAACTTAAACTGAAATATAAATACACATACCGCCATACCTGACAGCATTGTAAATCGTCCGAGCAAAACGACGAGTACACTTCCAAATACCTGTCATCTATCCATCCTTGCAAGTTGTGAGAATAGTCACCAAAATAATCTTTGAAGAACATGCAAATAGACGTACCAAGACTTGATAGTGTGCTGTCCTCGGCCAAGATGTTTGTGACCAGTCCTCCTCCGCCACCACTGCCAACTTCTCCGCCACCACTGCCAACTCCTCCGCCACCACCAACTCCTCCGCCACCACTGCCAACTCCTCCGCCACCACCTCCTGCACTGGTGCCGACGGTGCTTGATAAAATACTGGTAACTGTTGTAGTGTCGTTGTTGGCGGGACCTGAAATATTTTGCACATTAATACTTATGTCAATCAATTAAACCACCAATAAACTTCAATACTGGGTGGAATTCAGAAATTGCCATAAAAGCCGTCATTTCGATATCAGATCATTACTTATAGGGCCTATTGTAGATCGTGTTGATCCGTGCACAAAACAAGGACCAAAACAAACAAAAAAAAAAAAAAAAAAAAATAATAATAATAATAATAATAATAATAATGAAGAATTATATACAACCTTTCATTCGCGTAAAAAAACGTTTGAGTATCATTTTGATCTGATTATCCTAGCATGTGCTGGGTATTAAGAAATCAATGGATGATGTGGTCGATATTGAACAATTAACTGTTTTGAGAATACAGAGGCTGATTTGAATAGATAAAGAGCATTTCAAACCTAGATATTTATGCATTTTGACAATATTAAGATCGGTTAACATAAAAAAAAATAAAAAGAAAAAAAGAAAAAAAATTGTTTTCGATTTGTACTTTATAACTAAAGTGGAGAACTGAAAATGTTCCAGAAGTGATACTGGCTATTTACGGGAACCTGAACCAGCGATTGATTCTTTATGGACTGATTGTTTGGGGTTATTAAAGATACCTTTTTAAATGATACTGTGGCAATTTTTTACTCGCACAATAGCCTTTTATTATACACAATTTGTACACGACTTACTGTATATCTGGCATGCCAAACTGGTAGGAAACTGATGAGACCAAACGCCGTTTGCCAAACAAACACTTGAGAGAACGTCGCTGTCATTTAGCCCTGGCACGTAGTCCGTTCTACATCGTAGAAGAGTTATCACAGTCCCCGAGGGATAGCAGTTGTTGTGGTTCACATCGTCGCCATATTGAACAGAATACTCTACATTGTTTGGCATCGTCGGAGCACTAAGGCAAGGGTAGCCTGTAAAGAGAGGGTATTTTAAGAAGCAAATTGTCAGCGTGAGACTTATGATTGTGAACCTTATTACGTCTTATTCCTTATTATCGATTGCATATTCACTCCTTCTAAAATGATGGAAAATAATTAGGGATATAATTATCATCAAGGTAACATTTCTACCATTGCACCATTTAACAGAAGTTCATTTAATCTCTCGCTAAAAGTTTTTCAATTGATACAAACTGGCCAATTAGCCTCGCTTACATATCCTTTAGATTATTGCAGGGATTTTGTATTTTACTTACCATCTCTCTCACAAACATAACGTGTATCAGTGGCGGCACAGCTTTTAGTCTGCCAAACTCCGCCGTGTCGTTTGCCGCTCACCGTGCATTCGCCACCAGAACGGGAAACGCCAGCCGCATAATAAGAATAGGTGGATGGATTTGCTATCCAGTAGTCCTTGTATGAAGAGCCGGAAGCATTCCTGGAATTGCATGTACGTGGGGTCATGCGTGTAAGGGTATGAATTTGATTAATTACATCATTATCAAATTTTCGAAATTTTTCATTTGGCCTTTTTTACAGAACACTGCTACCTTTTTACCACCCATGAACGGTTAAGGTTCAGTGGTCGCCAAACCCTGATAGGCATATATCTGAGAAATTACTCTTTGATCCGTGTAACTGTGCCAGCAATTTTCGTGCCTCCAATAATCCACACAGTTTTTATATATTTTGGCGACCTATCAGGTTTTCAGAGATCGATTTAATTTTACTAGTAGAATATTTTATTCTACGCCGCCAACGAATGAAACATCAACCTCTATGCCTCATATTTTGAAATAAATCTTTAGAAGTTAATTTCTTTGAATTAAGCCAGTAAAGTAACATTATACATAAAGATGTACTGAGTCCAGGGTATGACAATTTGACTTGAATTACAAACTTTGATTTAAAAGCCAAGTATATATACTTACAACAGACTGTATACAAAAGAATTCTCCTGCAGAGTTCCAATCTTTGCTAGGTAGCCACAAAACCCCTCATTTTGACACCTTGAAAAATGAAAATGAAGGTAAAATACTTAAAAAGTCATTTTTTTTAAAACGATAACCAATGAAATAAACCACTTAGATCATGATAGAGTATAGTATAATCAGTTATATTCACACATTTAACCACAAAGCGTAACTTTTCAACACAACTGTCATAAGAAAAATGAAACATGATAAAATATTTTATTGAAATAAACACCAAGTTAGCTTACTTTGAAGATCCAGAGTGTTGAGATGATGCTACTGTTGGAGACACGAGATAGCATTTGCCACTGTGGGCTCCAGTCATGGCTAGGTTTTTATCCAGACACGTATACCCTATAAGAAAAAATTTGTAATTTTTATAAGTGAAACTTACCGGCATAGTCAACCAGGTCTATAGGTCGTACATTCAATCTTCTTCAAACATTTTGCAAACACCCCCCACCCTGTAACTTTCTGTAACTTTCACTTTTCAAACAGTTTTTTACATTTTCTTGTTCATCTCTGTCAAAGCTATTTAAATAAAATGCTTTTGCAATTACCTGTGGTCTTTTTCGAGTTTTAATCAAGTTTAATCCAGCCCATTGACATACATTGTGAGAATCTACCATGCATCTTGCAGTCAATAACTTTCCGCGTTTTCATTGGCTAACTCTAAGGCTACATGACTTGCCAGACTCAAGTTTTGTACTTATCATCCCTATTATGTGAAAATGATTTCATGTGAACAAGAAGCTAACAAATTTCACAGAGGAAGTCCAAGTATACAATGTATAAATCTGATTATGTTAAGAAAGAACATGAATAATAAAAAGGGACTGATGTTGACTTCAAGTTTTTATTTCCATTGAGAAAACAAAATGTTTTATAATGATGGGACATCACAGAAGCTTCATAATCCTTTTAATATTTACTGAATTTCTTTAAAACAATTTTCAAATGTGTTTTCCCCACTGTCTATAGTACAAGTCAAAACTGAAAGTCATGTAACCTTAGAGTTAGCCAATGAAAATGCGGCAAGTTATTGACTGCAAGATGCATGGTAGATTCTCACATTGTATTTCAATGGGCTGGATTAAACTTGATTAAAACTTGAAAAAGACCACAGGTAATTACAAAAACATTGTATTTAAACAGTTTTGACATAGATGAACAAGAAAATGTAAAAAACTGTAAAAAACTATTTGAAAAGCGAAAGTTACAGGGTGAGAGGGTATACTACAAAAGTACCGACATTTTTGCCACAATATTTGAACGTTCAGCCTACTTAATACGGCCAAACATTTTGCCACTAATTTGAATTTTCCTTGTATAAAAAAATTATTTATAAAGTGAAGCAGTTACAAGTAACACTTAATTCATTATGCGGTTTGGCAAGGTTTACTGGAGCTCCTTTACACAATACAACCAATGGTGGTTAAGTACCTTTAAGTATTTGCTCATCTGATTCATTTAGTCTGTAACCCCAGTATCTAAGGTCGTCAAGGAGATAGGCACCACAAGAAATGTCTAAATAGCAATCACAAACCATGGACGCTTCACCGCCGAGCTGGACTATAGTCTGTCCTGTTGACGTCAACTTTGAGAAAGGTGCGTCTTGCGTCTGTCTGGTTCCGTTGACAGACAACAGCAAAGACTCCAGGCTCCACATGACCATCACGTGATGCCACGCGTCCGGCTGTAATTGGTGGCTTTCTAATACCCAGGCATCTGAGAATTATAAAAAAGGTTTAATAATATATATCTATGTTTATACCTAAACTTGGCATTTATTCGTTTATGCAGAGTCTTAGAGCGCATCCAGAACAACGGACTAACAGACGGATCAAATATGGCCGACCCACTTGAATGTTTGTTGCGTAATCCCCGCGAGGAGTCTATTCAGTGACTAATCGGGAATTGAGGGACAAGCTTTTTAGTGGGTCGCCATATATGTTAGGCCTCTGCTCTGAATGCGCTCTTAGTAAATAAAGACTCATATTTTCCGCCCCTGTATTATAACGAATAAATGATCTCATCATAGCACTTGAAATAGGCCCAATTCAAATGTAAAGAGAATATTTTTGCTTATTGCCTTAA